CATGCTTGGATTTGACTCTCATCATGCTGAGATAATACATGGTTGGAACGTTGGGTGAGAAAAATCTTTGTAAAATAAGTACGGAATGGAAAAGGATGGTTCATGGCATGATAATGGATAACATTGATTCAGTTCATTTTTGTTTCTCTTCATTTCATTAATACTTCTTTTGTTTATTTCAACCTTTCAGCAATCATTATCACCTTTTACAGGTAACAATACATCAATGAATACCAGTAGATGTGTTGTGAATCGTAACAAATTAAAATAGTGTTCAATCTTGGCTGAACTTTTCATTACTATTTCTTTTGTTTCACAATATTGGAAACTGGGATGTAAGATGAGATAATGAGGTTGATTATTACAATTTAAAGTTACTAGTTTAATTTTTCATTTAGATCAGCTCTGTAACCAGTCGGTTTAAACATTTGATATGCACTGAAATAAATACATAATGGCTCAGAATCTTCAGATCTCTCAGGTAAGAGAAGATATCGGTCTATTCTACTAATCAGTGGCCACGGAATCTTTGGATTACTCCTTTGAAAGAATCCAAAAACCATTCTGATCTTTGCTTTTAGTCATTTGAGGTATTTTGAAATTCGACGAGTCTCGAACAAATGCATGATTGTGCCTCTAATGATCAAAATATGGTTTCTAGCGCTAAAAAGGTATAATGTGAAAAAATAAGACAAATTTTGTCCAAAACTTGCCATATGAGCATCTTCATAGATTTTATCTCAAGGAACAAGTGTATTAAGGACTAGATATACATCCCAGGCTACATTTTAGATCGCATGAAAAATATAGAACTGCTAAAAAAGTCAGTCTTGAATATAATACTATCTAAAAGGCCATTTGTTTTATCTTGCAAAAAATAGATATTTGTCTGTAGGACTGCAAAAAGTTCCAATAGCAGTTCGTAATGAGGCCCTAAAGACTGGAGCGCTGTCTAAATCGCAGGTCTCCAGAATATAGATTATACGTTATTGGAAATTGTGCGTGTTTATATAAAAGATATATAGGGATGACCTCAATTATTAAGTGACAGGGAATGATGATATCCAGGCCATCCGGCACCCAAATGGCATTGAATTCATAAATAAACATCGATCACCAAATTTGAGCAGCAAAGAATCAGAGAAATATTGGACTAGCCTAAAGTGTACGATTTCCAGGTTACTCAAAGGAGGCATGAACGCTTATATGAATCTATCAGAGGCTATGAAAAGAACTGTGATTATTGGCGATTTCAATGCTGAAATCGATAGGGAAGGGACAGAAGACATTTTTCTCGAAAAGTTAATTGCTGATTTTCATCTTAAAAATATATTAACTAGTAAGGATGGTACAAGAAGAAGGTATAATTACATTGTATTCAAACAAAATATTTCAATTTCCCGACCGATAGCATGTGAAGTCAAGAGTGATCATCAAGCAATTTCTGCTGAATTGAAATTATTCATAGGCCGGTTTGAGCAATAACAGGGCTGTGAACTGTAATCTACCGTGGCAAAGTGGGTTGATTTATGCAGACAAATTCATTGTACAAGCAGAGAAAAAACTAATAATTCAATGACAAATAACTTATTAAATTATATAATAAATCGAATAAATTGAAACTTTTATTTGTACTTATTTTGATTATTGGGAATATTGATTAATTATAAAATTCACATATTTCCGCCGTATTCGAGCGGGCCTTGTATTACTCTGAAACTATTGTCGAATAAAACACCCGACTGCGTATTCGTTATTCACTGGTGAGGTACAAGCTGAAGCATGCAGCAGGGAAATAAACCGGCATTTTCCTGCTAAAAGGCGGATTCAACATGTCTCTTCAACACAATGACCTAGAAGCAACATTTATGCTGATATAGCATTCCTTAGGCAAACGAATGCTAACCGCTATTTCCCTTTTAACACACACAGAGCTAACATCGTTCTCTCTCTTTCTTTCCCTCTAATTTAAATTCTCTTAGAGTGAATTGCGGCATTCCGTATACTGTCATGGCCATACTTATTCAAGATGTCAAAATCAGTGAGTAGCAGATTTCTGAGAATACCATTGTTGATTTACTGACAGATTAGCTAGTGTAAAGAGAATATTTATTTGCAAAGTTGAGCGAAATGAATAATCTATTGGTCAAATGTAAATTCGAGTCGTGTGGGATGATAGCCAGATAATTGTCGTAAACGTGTCAGAACTCACTGGGAAAAATGCATAAATCATTTAATTTCAAACACACCGCTGTCTGATCACGATCTCAGCGCCTGTCGTGTTTTCGTTAATAATCAATCACTCATTTTCAATCTTGAACCTTCGATATCAAACCAACCATCCACATCGGCATCACTAAGCAAACTTTCACTCATTTGGCACCTAGAACACCTTCACCTAGACTATCATCGTCATTCTGCTCAAATCCATCGATCACACTAGCAGCAGACTATTATGCTAAAAAATCGCTTACTAAACGTTTAAATTAAAATAGAATCAGGCAAACTTTAATACATTGAATTTCAATTTAATAAAAGAAAGAGAAAAGAAAGAGCCTCTTATTACTGGCACCACAGGTGCAATTATCAAGCAACGAATCGGCCTTGTATTTATCGCCGTCTCTATCCCTCAATCGACCTGTTTTTGTGTCAAGTGGTATTCGACAATCTTGAATTAAACGTAACTCTCGAGTTAATCGCTAAGTTACTTTCTTAACTCAATAGATGATGCTATTGGCATGAAGTTTGTTGCTATTGCAAAGCTATGCGCCATCTGTTGATATGAATTGATTGCTTTTCCTTCCAATAATTTCAACATTAATAATCTTACCATTCAAAGGTCGAAAGTCACTTCAGGTCAATATCTTGCCCTTGTCTAATATAAATTGGGAACCTCATAAATGGTAATACATCTGTACAACACAGGTGTGAAATGATAAATTGATTAACAGATTAAGATGAAATGAGGGACACAATTGACCTAAAGAGAAGTAAACAACAGATCTATTAGCGTTCTAATTAATTATCAATTCAAATTGAACAGATCTTTTATAGCCTGAAGATGATGAGAAATAAAAAAGCAGCAAATGGCACGTAAACATTAGACTAAATGTAGTTTGATAATATTTGAAGAATGAGGAAGAAATCGTAAAAATAGGAAAAAAGTTGGACTAATGAATGTTGAACGTGGAAACAAACTCAAGTGAAAACTGTCCATTTGAGTTGATAACAAATATTTTATCCTCTTCCTGGATTAAACCAGGTAAACAGTTATAATTTAAATAATAATCATGTTTGATTACAATAAAAATTGTCCAAGGTAACAAAAATAACCACTTTTTTACCTTTACAATAGCAACAACTGAATGAAAACTTGACAATTTAATGAAACATTTGATGAAGCTTCCAATTTATACCTTTAATAATGAGCTTGAAGAAAAATGCAGAAAATTTCAATTCCAAATAAGGTGAAAACATTTGATTAAAAAATTATTGGCATAAATTTAAAGCTAAATTAAAATGAACAATCCAGTTTAGCCTGAAAATATCATTCCAATAGCCTCAAGCATTGACATTAAAGTCAACAATTTTGGTTCCTTTCCTTTGTTTATTACCTGCTACAAATCCTGTTCAATACAATACAATTTAATCCATAATCACAATTTAATTGGTTGAGATTGGGAGAGTTGGACAAACTTGCTTTGGGTTAAACAAATGGTCAATTCAATTGAAACCGGATTTAAAAGCTGGTGAAAGGCCTAAAAATAAAGGTATAAAATTGCAATTTATATTCAAATTGGTATTTCAAGATTGGCTGAAAAGGTTCATTCCTTATTATTAAATCTATTTGTTGAATAATTGGAAATTCAAGAAAGCAGATTGATCAGGTTGGAACCATTGAATAACCAAAAGTGATGAATAAGCAAGAAAGTCCAATAAGATTGAACCAATGTTTCGCCAATTCCTTGTGTAAAGTTTTGCAAAATATAAAAAGACTCAAGAGTTCGAATGGAAATATTCAGAATTCAGTTTTTACAGGTTGACCTTTTCTCATCTTTTCCAGTCGCCTTTAAATGCAAATCATGACTTCAAGCAGAAATGAACATTTTTATCAATTCAAGTCAAAATAAAAGCAAAAATTGATTCTGTTTCAATGTTTCTTTATTGAGTTTAACCAAAAACCAATTTTTAGAGATTTCCAGAAATCGCTTTTTTCCATTAAAAATTTTCGCCTTTTCTCCTTGAATTTTTTCCTGCAAAAAGCTCGATAAACTCTGATTTGAGTAAAAGATTTTTTCAAAATTGTTGCATTTTCCATGAAAAATGTTTACCGGCGAATCTGAAATTTTTTGGTTTCTTCTCCTTGAAATTGAAAATAATGAAGCCACAAATGCAAAGCACCAAACCAGTTTTTTTAATCATTTCAAATCAACTTTACAAATTCATCTTTTCCCAATTATCAATCATTGATTAACATAAATGATAATGAATAATATCACTGATGAAAAAGTACAGAAAGCATAATGAAGATGGTGAATTGAGAAGTGCAAATAAACAAACTGATCGGGTTAATATTGACGTAATGGAAAGCAAAAAAGTTGAACAATTATAACTATTAATAGTCAGCTTAAAATTAATGTAAAAACAATTAGAGACTGAAAATACAATTCAATTTCATTCTCATTTCATTTACTTTTACCTTCCCTGTCAAGTTATTGAAAAAACATAAAACCAGTTAACCAGATGCTTTGGTTTAATCATTATTTTTCCGTCAACTCAATTAATGGTTGGTCAATCATTAATATATAATATATTTTATAACTCTAACAACAGTTTAATTTCAATGTTAACAACTAAAGAGTTCAGATAAAGAGGTTCAACTTGGCGACTCAATTTGCGCACATTTTGAGTGTTTTGTTTGCTTTTTTCCAGTTACCTTGCCTTGCCCAAAATCAACATTAACACCATTCAACTATTATAATCATTTTATGCTATAACTATTACTAAATAATTAATTTATTAATCTATTCTGAAAAATTCATTTTAAGCCTAATGTGACATGTGAAAATGATGTCCATTCGTTGATGATAAAATGGTCAATCTTAGTCTTTTTTTGTCTCAAAAAATAGCGTTCCACTGAACGTCAACTGCTGACTGCCATTTATTATCCCCTTCTTAATGGTCCATATAAGTAGATTTAATTGTCGATAATTTATAGCTATTGTCCATCACCATTGTTCATCAGTGTCCATTATTGTCCAGTTTTTACTTCGATTAAGGTTAAAGTTACTCTGTATTGTTGCATTTGGCACCATTTACTAGGTTCATCTTTTGCTTCATTTTTTTGTCTTTTTTTCCTTTCTTTTCTTGGCTTTCCTTTTTCATCCTTTTTTTTATCATCCTTTATTGATTCAATTTCCGTTCCAATTTTGCTGAATTTCCTTCCCTTTTCAGGTTCTCCAATCTGATTAGCTAATCACATCTTCTTTTTATTCTTGCGTATTCTGTTAATTGTCCGGTAAATTGTGAATGTTTAAGAAGAGAAAAGAAAAGGTAAAATTAATTCAATATTAACCTTGATCAACACATGGTACTTACATGATAACTTTAACAATCCCTTTTCGTTGGTTCAATTTGTTATTCCAATCATTACTGGTTTCTCCTTTTCGGACGGTAATTTCCATGATATTAAATCTGGAAATTCTGAGTTTGCAAAGTAAAGGTGAAAGTGAAAAGCAAAAAGTTGATTAAATTTGTGAAATGAATAAATGCATGCATGAAATGGTTCATTTTAAATGATGATCAATTTGAAACCAAATTGAATTTGAGTTGAATTTTGAAATAGCTTTTCATGATGATGAAGCTATTTCATCAGTTCGAGGTTTTTTCTGCTTCTAATTTTCATGGAACAATTTGGTACAAAATGATAAACATTAGATTTGAAAAGTTGGTCATACCTAAACTTTGATAAAGTCGAGTCGGTGAGAGTGGAACGGAACTTTTAAGATCAAGTCCGTCCAAAATTTTGTACATTTTAAGTGAAGGTATTTTGGGCCGAGTGGGTTTATGGACAGCGGTTGAATTGTTGGGAACTGCTGGACTGCTCATTCGTCGATTGCGAAGTTTAGTGAAAGCTTCCGATGAGGAACCTGGAAAGCCACAAGTATCATCGGGCAACGCAAAGCTGATCCGCTTTTTGGGCTTTGGGTTAACCGCGGCAGTTGTGCAAGTTGCAACCTCACTGAAATTATCTTCGGTGTTGTTGTTGGGATCAGCGTAAAATGGTTTACTGTAATTATATGGTGAGGTAACGTTGTCACTGGGTAATGGTGATATCGTAGGTGATGGTGTCTCTCGGTTATGATGAAAGGATGAGGTTGACGATTGAAGAGGCTCTGGTGATGGATAGGGTGAGTAGAGCAACGGTGATGGTGTCAGGTTGGCTGATGAAGATGATGCTATCGGTGGTGGTGGCTGTTGTGCCCATGAGTTGAACATGGTCAGAAGATGAGGAAATTCAGATTGGATTCAGATTGGATAAGATAACAGAGCAAGGGTTTCATCAACCAGTATAAAATATACATATAAGAAAGAGAGAAAGAAATTAGTCTTTTTGCTATTAATTTAGTCTTCTTTCGTTACTCTTTTTTTGACCTTTTTTTCAAACGTGTAAAAAGCCCTCTCTCATGAACATGCAAACAATTCAAATGCCAAATTCAATTGCATTCATGAGTAGTAAATAAAAAAATACACAAAATTTCGTTTTCTAAACTAATGTAATCATGATGATGACTGAAGGAAAGTGAAATTAATTTGTAAGCAAAAAAAAGTGAAACAAAAGTTGTTTTGTTTGTTGACAAGGAAAAAAAAGTAAATGATAATAAATAGTAATTATTAAAATGTATAGATAATGATGTGGTAATGATGAGGTGAAGATGATGAGGATGATGTTTGGGATGCTGGTGAATGGCAAGTGCAATGTAAGAATAAAAAAAGTTGAGTTAAAAATGGAAACTGAACAAATGAAGGAAAAAAAACTTTTGGCAAATGAAGGAGGATAAGACAAAAGGTATTGCAATAAATAATAGTGTTGCTGATAAAAAAACAAATGCATCAATAAGTTAGTAAAATAGTGTAAAAATGTCAAGCAGCCGCTAGTTCAGCCATCCTTACAGAATCAGAGTCCGGTACTGGTGAGACACTGAATCGACCTGAACGACGAACTGGTTCCTTGTTGTTGTTTTCATTGACTTTGGGTAAAGATACTTGAGTTGCTTTACTGTCCCAACTACCAAGACTTGAGCTTCTCAAGATGGGCTTACGAGGATGAGCTTGAGAAACCTGGCAAAAGATTGAGAAAAAAATTGATGTAATTAATTTACATTGTTCAAAGATGTCAGTCTTTATCATGTAGAGATATTTGGATAAATGAAAGAGAGGAATAAATGAACAGATATTCATGAGGATTGGCCATGGGTAAAGTTGACTTAACACTGACAAATCAGGTTTGTTAACTTTTACTGAAAAGTCAGGCAAATGGCAAATTGATGTGAAAATGTAAAGGCTTCAAGGTAGAGATTGAAAGGTATGTAAAGAGTTGGGCTAAAGCTAAAGTGTAATTGATGTTTAGTTGATTGATACAGTTATAGCTTGATGATTTGTTGAGCATCAAAGCGAGTTTCATTTTCAAATATAACTCAAGGGAACATCTTTCTCTGTCTGAATTTTGACCTAAGGTTCGCCTCTAGATTGTAAAAGTGCTTTTGAGTAATCGATTTTACCTTTCTCTTTCTGGTCTTTCAAAATGGATAAAACTCATTTCTTGGTTCAATTTGAATGGTCAACAAAACTAATCACTGAACCATTAGTAATCAAAGTAGCTGAAGGGTTATCATTGATATATTGATTTTAAATTTGTCTGCACTCATATCAAGTTTGAGGCCATTTCGCTCAACAAACAAGAAACTATTATCTCATGCAATGGAAATTAATACTTTGTTGAATATTATGTACTCAATTAACCTTTGTTTACTGCCTGAAGCAAGATTAAATTTAAATTTTTACCTTGGTTAAAGGGTAATTAAGGAAAAGCCATTTCGTTTATTGATCACATTGTTCAAGATGAAAGTAAATTTCACTTTTAAATTCAATGTTAACAGTCACAGTCTTGGGTCTGGTCGACTCTTGAAGCACAACCTAAACTGTGACTCTCTTGGGTTGAGACCAACATGTCTGTGAGACTCTAGTCTTGTGCTTTTGTTTTCAAGCTTATTTTACAATCCAAGTTGAAGTATCAATTTCAAGTGAAAATGTTTCATTGATAAAACTATTTACATGCAATACAATAGCATTAATTGGATAAATATTAATCCAAATATCTTGATATTAATACTGTGAAACATTGACTAATGTTTGCATGACGATTAACTTACTTTTGATTGATTATGTGTTATCTCTTGAAGGGAATCAGAAATCTCTTGATAATATGAATTTCTGTATTCAACCTCAGATTGGTTGAGTTCATTAAAAGTTCCATACGGAAATAGATCAATCTTTGCTCCTGGAGATTCTAATCCCTGAAAGTAGAAAGAAATAAAAGAAAGAATGGAAACATGAGACCATGTGGAATTGGATATGAAATGAAATTGGAATAAAAATGATGAATTCAAGAAGGAAACAATTGAGAATACTTTAGGGTCACTCTTTACTCTTCAAATTCATGATTACGCTTGTCAAACATTACGAGGTGAAAATTGAAAGAAGAAAAAAAGAGAAAATTGTCTCTCATCTTGATAAAGTTTATCAGGAAAAACTGAGTTATCTTTTCATGAACCAATGAAGATGCTGAAACAATGGCGGTATAAAGAGTTGAGCAACATTTACTTATGGATAGCAAATGTAATCCAAAACTCGACAAAACAAGCATTTGTTTTCCTTTTCATGTTCATTCATGGTAATAATTTGTATTCATTTTGATTCAGAAAACCATGATAATTATCAAAGTTACCATAGAAAAAAATAAACACCAAAAAAGACAAAAATAAATAACAAATTTGTATTTACTTTTTGCTTTCCTCTTTGCACTTTGCTTGCATGAGATAATAAATAAAATGGTAATGCCAGATGAAAAGGTAAATATCATTTACAGAGAAAAAAGCTCAGAATAATCAGAATTTCAGATTTATTTATATTCTTTATGATCAACTTTTCTTCCTCATCTTTTTGCTGGTTTGCTTTTTGATGACAAATCATAAAATAACATTTCGTTTTTCACTCAACTCTCTGAGTTCATCTAACTTTAATTAAATGTTTCACCAATACAAATGATTATCAATCTAGTTTATGAGTTCATTAATATCATCTGGAATCAGAACTGAGTGAAAACCGTTTCATGATTAACCTTTTTTCACTTCTTTCATTGGATAATTAAAGTTTGAAAAGAAATGAAATGTTGAATTGTCTTGGTCTTGATGGTCTTGATGATCATCATGATGAAGCTCTTTACTCATCAGTTGCAGATAATGTTACATGATTTTTGTCTCAAATTGAAATGTCGAGTTAATCATCTTTATCTGATTCAACAGCTCAGAATGTTCCTCTTCTTCAGCGATCAATTTTCACTTTTCATGCAATCGATATGGCATAAGAATAAATCAAGATCAAGTTCACATTTGAAAGTATAAGCTGCTCATTCTGATTATTAGCATGATGATTATGGTTATCATCATGGTGATGAAAAAAAGATGAGATTATTTTTTCTGAGCAAAATCTGTTCGATAATGTTATTCATGAAATGTGAATATTTTTTTCTTCAACTTTCTTCTCCTTTTCTCATTCCACTTCGAGTATCATTCAGTCACGATTCTTACCTGATCAATGAAAATAATGTCTTCTCCTTTAGCATGAGCCTTTTGATTTGATTCACAGGCAAGGTTAATTTGTGCTATCAATTGTGAACAGTTGGTCGATGAAGGATCGGTTGGATCTTTTGTTGAGATTATATTATTTGAAATGTCCACTCGAAACACTTGACGATTTGTTTGAACTGCCAGGCAAAGTGCAAGTAAACCTCTTTCTGCGATGTCATTTTCTCGAAGGTCAACTCGACGAAGATTATCTCCTTCCATGAAACAATCAGCTATCGCAATGGCACCTAAATAAACAAGTCAAACATTAGGTCAAAGTTGAACAAACGCCTTTCAAGGTTAGATAAAGATTTAAGAGTAAAAAAAGTATCTTGTGATTCAAAGCATTTTGAGGCGAAAAAAGTTCCAAGTTTAACATTGAACTCATGAACCAGCTATTTTAAGATGAACATAAAGTTGTCTTTTAACTGAAAGATGTTGACTCTAACAGACTTGACAGACTCAGATAAACATTGCCGTGTTTATTTGCATTATTACAAGAGTTGGATAGCATCTTGAAACGACATTGATTGTTGCGATAAAACTTTGATCAAGTTTTTCATGCTGATAAATTATCATGCTTATCTGCTCATATACATTGTAAATGCCATTTGAAACATCTATTAATAAATTTATTGCAGCAAACTTTGATTTGTTATCCTTGGTTTTGGTTCAAGGTTTCATTTATTATACATAAAGATGAACCCAAATAAACAATTGAATCAGTTTGATTAATAATAGATTTTACTTGTTCCAACAAGAAACTAATTTCAATCAAAATTTAATCAACAAGGAAAGTATATTCAGCTCAACCTCTGACCTTAAGATTGTCCTCAACACTTGCTGCCTCAGATACAAGGCAAAGTGAAAATTATCCTCAAAGATTCATCTTTTTGTAACAATAATTTAAAGCTGAGTTGATTCACTCACTTATGAGCTATCGCCAATATTTATCATTAATAAGTCATTATCAATTAGCAGTCTTAACGACAATTCATTGTATGCTTTAATCGCAATCAAAGTATAGCATGGTTAATTGGGTAAAGAAAGGAAAAGTCCAATTGTTTTCATGAGAATCTCATTTTTCATCTTTACATCAATCTGTTGACTAACGATGGTTGAAACCAGAATATCAATCAATTGGACAAACTTGAAATGGTTAGACAGTTTTAGCTTTCCTTTTACTTAACCATTTCATTTGATTATGATTAGTGCTGTAAAAAGGTTGATCAAGGTGAATGTTGGTTAAATAATAAAATGATGAGAATCCAAAATGACTTACCTTGACAATTAAGTTTACAATTTTTAAGACCCAAAGCGCTAATTTTAGGTGCCATTATAATTCCTTCTTTAAGCTTGATTATTCCTTCATCACCTAAACTATTATCATTAAGATTAACTGTGCAAAGTGATTTGGTGTAACGCTGAAAAGGGAACAAGTAAAATGAAGAAAAAAAAGGTGAAAGTGATTAATGAAAGGTAATCTGATTAATTATTGAGGAAAGGAGTGAAAATGAAATTATCATGAAAAGTGCATAAATTTTATTCTGTTGCTTGTTCAACATTTTTGTTTGTTTTTTGTTTGTGTTTGCTGCCATTTTACAGTTGAACAAACAAACACTTTGTAACTTTGATGAGCAACTTTGACTTACCAGTGCTTCAACTAAACTGTTCATCCCTCGACTGGTCATTTGATTGTTTGAGATGATTAAATATTTCAACCCATCACCTGGTCCGGGTTGGCTTCTCAAGGCTTCCGCTATGTGTTCCAAGCCTTCATCTTGAAGATGATTGTCTCGAAGATCAAGAAATTCAAGAGTTGAATTGGCTCTAAGAAGATTACCTATTTGGATAGCATCACCTGAACACAATTTATTGTCTCCCAGGTATAAATATTGTAAGGATGTATTCAGTTTAAGAGCAGCAACTAATGAAAAATGAAATGAGGTAAAAGAGGTTGAGAAAAGAGTTGGACAAGTCTCTTGAAAAGTGACATGAAATAAGCTAATTTTTGAAATGTTATTCCTCTTCCAACTGACCAATCCCCAATCACATTGACTACGGAATAATATTGTAAAACATTGAATAACTTGAATCGTCAATAAGCTGACAATTGAGTCAAATTTTATCGATTCTTTGACCTGTAGGTCAAATGGTCAAATGGTTGCACAAGTTTACAAAAAACTTTACAGCCAATGAAATTGAAAACTTGCAACTCGATAACTTTCAAATGTCAAACCTTTGCAATTACAAATCCAAGCTTAGCTTTCAATCAGCATGAAAAGGGAAGCTTTAAAGATATATTTTTACATTGAAATGCATTGAAAAACTGCAAATGCTTTCAACATTTCTGTGAAACTTATGCAGTCTTTTGATATTTTTTCACCAAATTTCAGGAATTCATTTCATGTGATATGACATTGAAATGAATTTTCAGTGTTCTTAATCTCATGTTTACATCTGCAAAAGAAGCAAATGTTCAATAAAAGTTTCATTAAAAATCAAGTGTTAATCACAGAAGCATAACAAAAATGAAGCTCAAAAGACTTAAAATTGAATTGAACTCTTCACTGAATTTCCCAGAAAAGGTTTCACATTTTCCCCTCAATCTTATTTGCGCACAGCTTTCGTCCAAATTTGAATAACGATCTCATCTCATATTTCAATTTCAAATGTCAAAACATCGTCAACAACTAAAAGCATTTTCTCGGAATCATCGAAAATTATGACTCCTGTGATTGACCTTAAGATCGACTATCGATTCCAAGCTTTAAATTTGTAAAGTTTAATATTTCTCAAGTTGGATCTTCAAGCCCAATCGAAATAAAGATTTTGAATTTTGTGAAAATTTCGTGATTCTACATTCATTTGAAAGTTCAGATTTCGATTCGAAAAATTTTGAAACTTTTTCGTTCATTCTGGCTTGCATGAGAGATTAAATTTTTAAAAGTTAATTCCAGCATTCAATTGAACTTTTTCATCGTTTAATGAATTTTCTGAATGTTGTTTTGTGATTTAAATGACATATTTTTTCAGAGCTCATTTGAGCGACACGTAAACTTGATATTAATACATTAGCTTTTCATCGAGTTTTGTCAAACTAACAATTAGGTTAACCAGTCTTGACTCGAAAGTAATTTGGTAAACTTTTAAATCTTCAATCGACCCAATTAAAGTAAATTTGTTTTCCATTTCAAGAGAAAGATTTACCGCGAAAATGGCCATTTTTTAAACATTTCCCGATATGAAATGATCAAGTTGCCATTGAACTTTATCTAAACTGATTTCACCATTTGGCGTCAATTGCCTTTCAACAAACGCCAATTGGCATAATTGAATGGCACAATCCGTCATTTAGATGTTACTTTAAATGACAGTTTAAAGGCTAATTCAATTGATTTCAATTGTTTCACTCGATTGAAAAGATTTCATTGTTGACGGCTTCCGATGAAACTTTCACAATCAATCATCAAATTGTGATCGATTGTCCAATCAAATTGTAAACTGTAATCAAGCGTAATCATATCTTACCCAATATTGCCAAAGCGCGACTTGATATTCCACTTCGTTCCAATCGAAGGGAAACTAAATGAGAACCTATTCTTAATGCTCGGCCCAAGATGAGTAAAACTTGTTCACTTAGACTGCAATTACGTAAATCCAAATGCTGTAAACATGGAGTCTAAATGGAAGAGAAAAAATTGTTTGAAAAAAAAGAAAAAAAAATGAATTCATTTTTCACTCTTTAAACACTTTTCAACCAAACGGATAATTTGCAGATTGAAAGGTAATACAAAGTATATCATTATTGATACCTTTTTCAGCATTCGGCAACAAGCCTGCCATCCTCTCATTCCAATGGCTTTGTTATTGGCAAGATTAAGATGAGTTGCTGATTCATAGTATTCAATCATGTCAAACAATGATGAAGCTCCCTGAAACCGGCAAGAAAAAAAATCAATCAATAAAAGTAATTCATGTTTCATTTGAAAGACAAGAAACAAATTCAAATGTAAATGCAATTGAAAAACATTAAATATTAAAGAGTAAAAAATGTTGGAAAAAAACATTAAATTTCTTCTCTTAAAGGTCATTTAAAATTTAATCAAGTAAAGTTTCAATTCATTTTCAGGTTCAATTGTATTCAGGTTGAAAACAAGGTTATGAATGAATCTATTATTAATGTTTTTCTGTTCAGTTCAATTGAAATTTTGAGACAAATTTTGTTCAACAAAAATTCACTGCATTCGTGCCACTCAACAATAAACAAAAAACTGATTAACTTTTTTTCGTCCTTCATTGATTGTTCAATCGGACAATTGAAGATTAACTTTGACAAAATGTTCATTTTGAGTTTTCATTCAACATTGTCAACATTCAGTTTCATGGTGAAATGATTGAACAAACATTATGGATCGAGTTGATTCAAAATTTGTAAGTTCAACTTTGAAAATCTCTTTTTTTCGTTCCTCTGTTCTGTTCATCTGCTGAAGGTAAATTATTCAGTAATGCTATTGAAATGTTCAACGTTAAATCCTCGAATGTAATTAATAATGAATGGCAATTGAATAGAGTAAATTAGACAGATTGTTACCTCTTCATCAAGATTACATGATTCCAGGTTAATTGAGCGAAATCTTATTCGTTTGAAAATTTCTTCCAAAGCTTCACAGCCTTTTGCGTCTAATTTTTCACCTGTTTAAATACAATGAGATTAATATGAAGCACCTTGTGACAGCAACAAATGAGATAAAGTCCCATGTGATGAGATTTACCTTTCAGGTTAAGATCTTCTTCTCTGTCGGTAAAACCATGGAGTTTCTGGAATGAGAATGAGAACAAAAATGTTGATTAAAATGTTTACCTGGAAAAGTGGAGAGAAATTGTTTTCCAACTGAACTTTTGAAAGATTCAATTTTCATGTGCAAAATGAAATTGCTAATTTTGGCTAAACTAATTAAACTTGAAACAAAATAATGAAACTTTTTTTTTAATCTGAAAGGTTGGAAATGAACATCTGAAAACATGAAAATAGTCAACATGCAATGATAAATAATAACATTTTATTATAGTTGACAGGGCGAGTTTTTTTTCATGATAACAATGAAGTTGAATGAATCTAATTTTGTGGCTCAAAATTGTTCATATATTTGGCTAATGTTTTTGTCTTTTTGTCACTGAATTTTTGCTACTTGAACATTTCATTATTCAGAGTAAATGGTGAAAAATGTTGACAATTTTTCCTCATTCCAAGGTTCAGAATAATGAAAGTCTTGAAATATTTTTCCTTGCGCCTGATGTTTAAAAATTTAAATTGTGCGGTTAAACACATTGTTCACTTGATTAAAGTTTGAATGCTTTTTTTAATATTGTTATGATTGACTGGTGAAAATGCGAATAAAGTTAATTGCATTTGTGAATCAACAATCAAATTATCTGTTGGGCTTGATAAATGCAACTATTAATTTAATATCAAGATAAATTTGTTAACCATTTTCTTTGGTTACTTGGCGTTTCCATAATAGTTTAGTAATAATAATGTTGATGAGGTTTAATTATATTAATAGAAACAAAAAAAGGCTTCTTGTTCACAACTTGATTGGGAAGGTTAAATTGAATTATAAGAGATAAATCAATATATTGAATCAATATTTACCTGAAGTTGGCTCAAGACTCGCGGTAAAGGTTTGGTTCCTTGGTTATCACAGGCATTTTGATATGCTTCAATCAAACTTTGAGAGGTCAATTGATGAGGTGCTGAAGAGGAAGGAAAAATATGAACAAAAATTAATTGCAAATCTCGACTAATTGGCCATTGTGATTGGAAAAGTTGGTTCGTCGTAAAGAGGCTGACATAGAGTTAGAGTTGATGCTAACAGAGCAAGTCTTTAGCATCAACTTGGGTCAACAAGTCAGCCTAATAAAATGTTATCTTTGATTGGCAACAATGTAATCGTATAAAGACTTGAGGCATTCAATGGAACCATGAAATTTTTATCACTCAATTTCGATCAACATTCAACTTGAACAATTTTATTTACTTTCGTTGTTTACCTCGAACTTTTTTAGACAATGTAATAGATCGAAATATGCCTTTGAGCTTGGCAACTATTGAAATTAAATGGAGAAATTTCGAAATCTGTAAATCTCTATTCTTGAAATTCTCAGCTTATGAGTAGCACTTATGAGTTTTAAGGTTGAAAACTTTCCATTTCACTGATAAATTATTCAGGTTAAAGTTTCAGGTAATGATGCAAAATCGCAATTTCAAAACAATACAATACTTGAGAATATTTTATGAAACTTTTTTTTTATCAAGTCAATGTTCAAAGTTGAAAAGTGAAAATGAAAACTTTCCTTTTTTAGAACTCGAATTGAGAATTCAAAAAACCATGAAAATCTAAACATTCAGTGGTTAATTAGATCAACAACTTTTTATCTTTCATTTGGATGAACAATTCCGAGGAATCATTTCGTTGAACATGACTTTCATGTTATTTAATGAAAATTCTTGTCATCAACATCTTCATCACTTTGTAAATAGTCATTAAAATCATCGTTGAATTGAGTTGCTTTTTCATCAAAATTCACTGAATGAGTCAAACAAGGTTGAAATTGAAGACCTTCTGGCGCATTCAATGAAAAGACATCGCAATCGTAAGAAGCCATGAGGATCGTTAGTGCCATTGTTTCAAGCATTTGTCACAATAATAATCCAATGAACATTTGAATCCTTGTGAATTAGTCGAGCAACATTGCGATTGGAATTTTTGAGCCTCCAAATTGAAAAGCTTTTCAAAATTTGAACACATTTTACCATGAAATTGAACCATTGTAATCAAATTTATTAAAACTCTAATTATGTTCATTTTTAGTTTAGACCCATGATAATCTCAAGAGAGATTAATGGTTGACTGAACATGAATTTTCATCAATTTGATAATTAAACTTGACCAAGGTTGAGAAAGGTTTCATGAATTACATTATCATTGAATGGAGGAAGTGAATTGAAACTATTCAATTGATTTTTATAAAGAATTGCATCTCAATTAATTGATGAAAATTAAAGTTATCAGTAAAAGTCAGATGAAAAGAGATTCTGTTTCTTTTGTTGAATAACCATGAACAGTGGAATCATTGAGCCAGCCTTAGGAGCATTAATGAACAATTCAATGGCGATGCCCTTTTACACCTGAACATTTTAAAGTACGGAAAAGGCCAAACCTTTGAATAATATTTCCTTTCGGGACAACATTATTCAGTTAAAGTCATTAGTCTTATTGGATTCAAAGTTGTTGTTGTTTATCATTTCTGTTTTTTTCTTCAAGTTTCGGTTTATTCTCACGGATTCAGTATGATGATGATGATGATGATGATGGTGAATATAATGGAAATGAAAGAGAAACAAAATTTACTTTCAACATGGGTTAAACAGGATCATCATATGAACTTTTGCTTCTTCTTCTTCTTCCTACTTTCATCTTTCATTCCGAGATTTTTTTTCAACAGACAGAAGCAGTTATCATCATCAGTTATTGCCTTCATTCACCCTCAAAAATAATGCCTCAAGACATTGAAACTTGAAAGTTTATCAAAACCAAAAAAGTAAAAAAAACAATAATAAGTGGTCGAATAGAAAAGGTAAAGAAGAGTTAAGAAAATCAATTTTTCCTTTTAACTTTTCATGTTATGTTGTTTGGCAGTTTTTTGTCACTTCATCCTTTTTTTTATACTTAATGTTACCTTCAATCTTGTATGTTGTTTTGTTCACAGCAACTCAGAACACCCAATCAATGATGATAATAATGATCATCATCATCACCATGATGATGGTGATGACAAGTTGGATGACAAGGAAACTTGGAAACAGTTGAACAAGGTAAGGTAAGAAACAACAACAGCAACAACAAAATAATGAATGTTGAATGTTAAGAAATATAATAAAAAAAGATTAGTATTTATTGGTTTTGAAAGAAATAAAGAGTTGAATTGAAACAAAAAGGTAACATTTTTCAATTTTCCAAATGGTCAATAAATGGGATTGAAAATGGGTCTAAACAATGGAACCTTTACTTACCTAAATAGGACCAAGGGTCGGGGGCATCAAAATATTTGGTCACAATCTCTTCATCCGATGGGAATTGTACTTTACGACCTTTAACCGAGAAACCGTCTATTGATGATTGGCTTCGTTTCTCATCACCCGATGAGGGTCCGGTTGGTGTTGATGGAGCAGAGTTTGATCGTTGAACAACTTCCATGTTCAAGAATAGGGATAAATTCAGATTCAGGTTGGCCTTTAACGTTTTGGGTTTCAACGAGAAGAAGAAAAAACAAGAAACAATTTACTGTTAAGATGATGTTACTTTTTTTACTGGTTCAACTCACTGGTTATTTTGGGTCTTTTGCTATGTGAATAAAGGTTGTTAATGATTTGATGAAAAACGTTGTGAGCTAAGCAACAACTTGAAAAACCATGCCATTTACAGTGTTGTCCTAAAGCCTGGTTCACGTCAATACACTTGACTCACTCAATCATACCAAACCCTTTTTAACAGGTCTGTAATCGGTAATGTTCAATAAATTAATCCAATCTTTGTTGTTGAAACGGTTGTTTATCTTTTGGTGTTTAATGCTTTTTTGTTGTGTTGATGGTGTGTTGTTGATGTTGTTTACTGGTAAATGTTGGATGTTCAATGTTTACTTTGGGTTGTTGCTAATAGTAGCAAAGAAGAAGAAATAAGGTTAAAACAAGATTAATCAGGTAACTATTATATTACATAATATATAAACTGATAATATAATAAACATAAAACATGACGGAAATTATTTTGCACTCTTTTAACAAATCACACAACTCAAAAAGATGATGAGACTGTTTGCTTTCATGTTGAAGCATAAAAAAACTCACTCAAATTGTCAAGTGAAGTAAAGTAATGTAACCCATCCCCTGAAAACTTGAACATTGAACAGGTAACATCATCTATCGGTCTGAAAACTTCAACTTTCAGCTGATTTTATCATCAGTTATATCAGCTGGTTACTGGTTACTTATGGGTAACCATCAAATGTATTACATCATTCACACAATTTAACCGCACTTGGTTACGGTTATGCGTATGTTTATAAACAGTTTCACATTTATCCGCCAAATTTGAAAATCAATACAAGTTCACTTTGATTCAAACGATATTTTGCTTTGATTTGAAAATAGCAAATCAAATCGTTACAGTAAGGACTTACTGTTAGAACTGCCTTTTGCGTTGAGAGTGCCATTTTAGCAACAATAATTGTGACAAGTGTTGAATAATGAAACCAAGTTCAGGTCAAAATTCAACTTAACATCGGTTTCGTTTTCAATGCTTGTCTTAATTTATCAGGTTATTCAAAAGTGACTCTACTTGGTCGACAAATTGGTTCACTTTTGAATCTTTGTAGTCAGTAACTCATCAAAATGAAGCTAAGAAATGAATTTTTTTTGTGATCAGATCTTTTTATTGGCGGCTTATCTCAGCGGTTTTAGCAGTATCGGCCTTTTGAAGTGCTAGTTTGTTCAATTCCTTTATGAGATTGGTCCGTCATATTTGTCGTCGAATTGGACCCTCAAGTAGAGTCTTTCAATGATTAGATTATCATTTCGTCTTTTTTGTGTCCTTTATGAGACACAATTCAGTCTTGTTTTAGCCTTCCTATCTGAATCTCTTTATGCTCTAAAGGCTGTTCTAAACTTATGCAATGTTTCTGCACCAGTTAGTAGCAAATTGGACGGTTTAACACTGGGTGATAAGGCTCTTATCAAGTCAAAAATAAACATGTTAAAAACCGTTCGAAACAAAACTTGAAATCAAATACACAATTTGAAAAGGAAAATTTCGGTAACACAATATATCTGAACCAAGTTATAGCCGATGAAAGTTGTAAAATCAAAAGACTTGATACAATATGATATTTCATTATGCTCGGAGGTTGAGTGTGTCTGAAGTCAATGATTCATAATCTCTCGAATATCTCGCAAGTGTCTTTGCTAATCCCTATTTTAATTTTTTTAGAGACTGCAATGTAAAAATGAGCATGTATGAACAAAACACTGGCGTCTATTCGAAATGCTTGTGATGCTAGAATTGGTTTTCCGTCGTTAAATACGATTTCTTCTTCCTCGAAAAGTCCCTTTGAAGTAATTGCAGAACTTGGCGAATTGAAATCAAAGTTGCATCAAAATTCAGTAAAACATAATTATTGCGTACATTACCTGAATGAATTGACTTTCATCATTATACTAACAACACCGATTATAACTGACGCTTTGATATCCTGCATTAAGTCGATGTACAAAATAATATTTAATAAACTTCATACCTTAGCAGACATGAATAAGCAATTCTTTGCACAATTAACAACAAATATAGAGTATCGAGGTATGCTAAACAGATTTCAAAGATGAAGTCATTAATACCGAGATTATCTACACCATGATCCATTTGGTTTCAATCAAAGAGTCATACTCATTGGTTTGGACTAATCGTAGGGTTATTATATAATAAACCTAGACAGAACACACGCTTTGGTTAATAGTAAGTGATAGTTAAGCATATATCTCGAAGCTATGAGATATGCTTTATAAACTCTCATTTTTTCACTTCAAACTCCAAGCCAACTTCCCGACTCCGAACCATTTGATATCGGGCATTACATTCATTGGAGCTAGATCTGATGCTTTCGCAAAATTGTCAGAATCTTCACAAGCGATTAGTTTACTAGTAGAATTAGCTCGAGGCAATACTGATCCAATGTAAATTTCAGTAAAAGTTGCTGGACCATCAAGCTTGTCAATGTTGGTATCTTCATCCGCATCTTCTTGCCAGATTTTTTCAGCATTTTTTACGAATATGCAATGCCTCTGTCGGTTGGTTGTTATTGCAAGTTTGTTTGAAACACAGCTGCATACGATAAAAATACATAGCAGCGGAATCTATAATTTTCTATTTAAAGATGATTTCAGTCCCCTTTATCTTCGTTAGATGCAAGACTTTTTGATAGTGTTGCTTCTATTTTCTCTGTTGATGCACCATTCTTTTCAAAGAATATACTACATTTATCTGATAAAAAGAGAAGCGTGTACAATGAATAACTACCCGGAGATAATAAAATGTAATAGTACAGTATTTTCGTATTTCTGGCAACAAGGGAATTATCTTGGGGTTGGTAAAAAAGCCGAAGTTGAAAGTTGAAGATAAAGATTGTTAAAAACTTGTTAAAGATCGATAAATAAAGAAGTTGGTGTTATCTTTAAAAAGTGTCTTTTTCTCTTATTTTATTTTATCTTTCTCAGAAACATTAAAATACATATGTTTCCACATGGAGGTTCCACTGAGAGTTTTTTTTGTCACGTTGTTGCTTTGAGTTGCCTCTCTCTTTCTTTAACTCGATTTCCAGACACAAAACTCCTAATTTCAACATCTCAACTCGTATTTAAATTTCAATGTCACAGTTTTAATAATTTGTTCACCTCATTTGCCGAAAAATACCCATCCAATTTCGGCCATACTGGTACCGAACAGTTTCTTTTCAACACGGAGAAAACGTTTCGCAACTCAAAAATTTCACTTTCAAATTTTCAAATTTTCTCATAGGTTTAACATGGGCAGGTTTTGGCCAGTTTTTGATGTCCTCCTGAGAAACATACGTCATTCTATTGTCCACGATTAGGAACAAAATCACTATGTTGTCCGAATGTACTATATATATACACGGAACGAATACACCAGAACAAAAATTTAAAAATATTGGTCACTCAATTTTTCTTGAATCACCAAACCGATTGCTGCCATACTCATGTTAACAAGTTTAGCTCTAAACAAAGCGTTTATAACATTTAAAATTTGAAATTCAAAAATAAAATTTTCACCCATAGGGTTAACATGGGAACAAAAATTTACTAATTTTGTTCACCTAATATCTCCTCAACTACTTGCCCCATTTCAGCCATACTGATGTTAGCAACAAAGCTCCTTCACTTCTTCTCCATTTATATTAGTAACTCGCGTAATTACAGTTGAGCTAGTTGCCATTGTTGTGTTATTATTTTTACTAAAACAAGGTTAAAAGTAATGAGAAATTAAATACTACTATACTTGCACAGTGTACAATACTTGGTGTGTGGTCAAATTTGAGATTTTAAAAGTTTTTGTAGAGTCCAAAAGAGACTTTGGACGAATTGTAGGTGGGAAAATCGAAGATAATCTGTTTTCCTCTTACTTCCTTCCCCTTTGTTTCCCCCTTTTCTCTGCTCCTCTCTTTAGCCTGAGGACTTAAGTTGCACTTAAGTTCTATTGCTCTGTTTACTCTTTTTATTACTCTTTTCTCTTGTTCTTTTTTTTAATCTTTTCTTCTTCCCATACCCATGCGGGCAAACATCTGCAACCCAACTAACCAACAATCTTATCTATCAAAAAAAGCAACAAGAGAGGAGGACGGCACTTAGGCCGGGATGGTAAAAGAACGAAGATTACTTCTTTTATCCCGTCTGGTCATCTCTATCTTTTCTTTTCTTGAGAATAAAAAAGTATTCTTATTTTGATTTTAAAACATTTATCTTCCCTTTTATTTTAACATACCTGGCAGTATGTTTTAACATGGAGGTTCCCGCCCCAATCAGCTTAATCAACCTCCGAGAGCCTAACATACTAATCTGATGAGCAGTCCTCCTGCACCATTCCTAGGTGCTCTTTGACTCAAATCTAACCACACTTCGAGTTAGTCATCAATACACATCTTTCGAGGTTTAAAACAAGGTCTTCAATCCTTGGGATCTAGACGTACGTCAGTGCTTCTCTTGAGCCAACTGAGCTATAGAACTCCCCCTTGTATACACGAAAAATTGACGAATTCGTGAGCTTTCAATCCTGGTTCGGAACTGGTTCGTTTTCTCCAAAACGAAGAACTTGCTGTCGGAACTCATAGCAGAATGTATAGTCAGCATTTATTTCCAATTCCAACATTCCAGCAAAAAAACTTGAGAATCGGCACTAATTAAATATATAAAAAAGTTATCACGGAATAAACCGTTTACATAAACTGAAAAAGGCAGAGTTCAACCATCTTGTCTACAGTTGAGTTGAATTTAAATTTTAACAATTTAGAATTCGAATCACAAAAGATTATTGAGATGAAGCAACGCTATCTTGAGAGATTTAAAGTAATAATGTATTTATGAATATATGACTGCTTCAATCACCAAATGTGTTACTCAAATGCATATAATTAACCTCGATTTCTATTGCATCTATATTTTTCGAGCCTTTTCTGAATGTGTACCACAAAATATTGAAATTGAACCAATCGCTAGTTCATCTAAACAAGAAAGTAAGAAAAACAATCTAACATTCAAAGTTTTATTAACACAAGCCTCACTATACAGACAAAAGTGCCTGCAACATCATACATATCGGAATTTCAGTCAGTGAAGATTTACAATTGCATACATAAAAGAAACTGGAGAAACCAATTGTGGACAAACCATATGTGTTGAAATACACAGAGACAAAAGATTATTTGATCGACGATTATTTATGGCGTTCAGGATGCAATTGACGGCAAATGTTCTTGAAACTTTGAAAATCAATGGAACAGGTTTGAAGATAAAAATTTAATTTCAACTTTACTCAACAAAATGACCCATAGTTATTGATTAGATTTAATTTCCTCTTCAAAACGTTGCTTTGATTAGCTTTTTAAGCTTATCACCTTTTTTGTGCAATATTGCTTATTATCTTACACATTGACCGGTTCAGCTAGTTTACTCACTTTTAAGTCACCGGGCTTGTCAATGAGTGTCAACAGTGACTTAAAAGTGAAAATTTTCATTAACAAGCTCGGTGCTAGAATGTGCGGAAACACGGTAAAACTAACCAAAAATATAAAAAACACAACAGTTCTAGCGAAAACTAAAATTTGTTAATTTACTTGATGCAATGAATCACTTTGTTGATTCTTTGAATGGTTTTACTTCAGAAATCATTGTGGAATGTTTCGTCCAAATTAGTCAAATAACTGTGATAAAATTCGCTAGATGGCAGAGTTCAGTTTCTCACAACCTTTTACAGGGTTTACTGTGCTGTGTAATAAGCGATTTAAGCTGACATTTCTTCTTGATATGCTGTTTGATTCAATTTACTGATTCATTTTACAATGTCTCGTAGATGCTTTTTATATCAGAAACTGTATCTATTCAGTTCATGAAAATGTTTTAGAACTTTTCTTTTTAATCAATTCAGAATTGAGATGCGTTAAACTTCACCTCATTAAAGACTAACGCTTGAATATGAAGCCATCGGGATTGTGACTATCACAAAATGGCTGAGAAAAGAGCTGGTGAAGAAAATTGTTGGAGGTTCATTAGATTCCGATTTGAGAAGTCGAGTCAATCAGACAATAAATTGCCCGTCCAAAAGGTTTAAACGAGCCTTGCGGTCGGCTTACGCTAGTCTGAAAAAAACCATAATTATGAATTGAATTGTGTTTTGATTAGTAATTTTTATTGGTGTCTTTTGAATGTCGCGCCTCATTCGGCCTTAAACATCTACATGCATGTCTTACATCATCTAGTACAGTCGAGTCCCTGAAATTGTCGGTTCCTAAAACTGTCCATTCGATATCAGCACCATCTCTTATAAATAAAAAAAACCATAATTATGAATTGAATTGTGTTTTGATTAGTAATTTTTATTGGTGTCTTTTAAAGTCTATCAATTATTCTAGAAAAGTATCCTTTGATTCACAGAGACAGAGTTATTATATAAATGATTCTTCTGCTTATCAGATTAAATAAAATCGTCAGGTCTGCAAGTCGTTTCGAAGTAAACATCAATTTTTTGATCCTTATTCTCAATCATGATAACTCATCAAGGTTAATGTTAAACCTAAACAGTGAAACTTGATTAAAATGTGTAAATGTTTAAACTGTATTACAGATAAAAAGCTTATCAGCAGACAGTTTAACTGGCGGTCTTATGTACATGTATGTTAACCGCCATTTTTATCTGTCATCATTTTAGCTAATGGTTAGCTATTTGGTTATGTTGAACGCTTTGTTTATTTGAATGTGATAAGTGACTTAATTGGATGACAAATCTAAATCTTCAACTTGTTTACTAATGGCCTGAAATATCTGATGGTAAGTTTCAAAAATCAGCTCATCTTGTTTTTTTCTAGTTATGAGTCATAACTTATGATTTCCATTATTTATGCTTCTTTTGTTTTAATTTGTCAGCCATTTTCTTATTTCTAATATGCTTTTATATTTTTCAGGTTCACTGGTACCGGTATTTTTCGGGTTCAAAGGTGTCACACTCATGACATACTGTAATGAGTGTAATACTGGATTACATCTTGGAATGAGATGAATAAGCGGTTAACTGGAGATCCATTGAAGATCCATTGGAGATGACGAAGGACAACCATTTTCGGGAAAAGGATGGACTTGTCATTAAATGGGAATCAACTTGGTTATCAAAGATCGGTCAATATTCATTACCCTCTATTTTGAAGGAAAATGAGGACAAGGAGAATAAGAAGAAAATGAAGATTGATAATGGTGGTGATGATTAAGGTGAATATAAATGATTGACTTTCAGGACAGGAACCGTAAGTTAACGGAAGACAGTTAGGAAAGACAGTTAGGAAAGACAATGAAAGAAAGTGAAACCGGAAAAAGGCATGAAAGCTGTTTATATCAAATTGATTAGAGAATACGAAAAATATAATCTTACTGATTTAAATCTAATCTAAATCTAATTCCCCCCTTTTTGTATCTTTTTCTCCCTCTTTTTCATCTTTTCTCAGTTTTTTTGGCCAATCTTCAAGCTCCATTTCACGTTCACTTTCTTTCATTGCTCTTATCAAACGCAACTTGTTGTTATTATGGTTTTTGATGCTGTTGATAATCATGATAATGATGATGATTTTAATGATGTCGAACGGAGAAACCGGAATTGAATTAATTCATCCTCACTTATTTATTGTAGGACTTGTTTTTATCGAGTAATTTGCCATCTTTTTTCGAAGTTATCTTAAACCCTTATCTCATTATCTTTCTCACTCTTTCTCACTTTCTTAATCGCTTATCATTCAAGTATTGGCCATATTTTTCATGATATTACTTTTTCATCTCAAAATTTGATGACCATTGGTGGTCAACTGAGATAGTCCGCTTAATTATTCATAAATACTAAAGTGTTGTTTTGTTTTTCAACCTTTTTCGTATTTCTAGATTTGTTTTCAAGTTGCTTCGGAACAGTTTATTTTGGATCGAAAGTCAAGTTGTTTCTATTTTTGATACTGATTCTAATCAAATTTTTGAAGGACCCTTAACAAGACAATACAAAACTGGTTCGATTTGCAAGTGTTCAACTGAATGTGTTTCAAAGACTTTATCGTTTACTAACTCCATCATTACCACCACCCGACATCATCACCAATGACAGTGACCCGGCGAATAAGTGAAACAATTGAACTGATCGAGGCTTTAATCAATGTTATTGGTACACTGGTAACGGCAATTTCAGATGATTTGGCTATTTATTTACAACGAAAATCGATCAGCTCGTCTGGTCGATTGATTAATTTAATTCAACAAGCCGTTGAGCAACTTCAAGCTCATCTTGTAGTCCGACTCGATCATTACAAGGTTATTCCAAAATTAACATGACATACTTAAACTTCAAATTTTAACGTACCTGCAATACTTCGACCAAATTATTACCTGATTTGTTTAAGTTTGATAAATTTTAATGTTTAATGGGCCACTCTTCACAATTGTCCTCCAATGATGTTCAATTTACTGTTAAAGGTGCTAACCTCTGGATTACAAGCAAAGATGCAGCAATATAATGTTTTATACTTGAAGAAAAAAAGATTAATTTGTTTTTAATTACTTTTTACCATCGAATTGCGAGCTAATTTTTTACTTTTGTATTATGATAATTCGTACAATTTCCTGACAATCCAGGAAAAAGCCGAGTTTTATTGATGTTGAAGCCCGAGTAAAATCAAGTTTCACTGAGACTGTCAGAAAGAAAAAAAGACAGTCAAAAGGATAGACAGACTCTGTTAGGTTTCTAATCTTCTCTTGTCATTTAATAATTTCTCCTTTGTTTAGGCTCTTCATCCATTTAGTGTTGTATGTAATTGTGAATAGATTTCCCCAGTAATTTATTTGATTTCTAATCACACTCACTCTGTACACCTATTGGAGCTTCTCTATTTTTAACCTGTTCACGTCTATATCTTTTGGTTCTTCTATTGAATCAATTTGTTACCTTTCAATTCCTTGTATATTTTGGTAACCATCAGTCTCTGCAACATCATCTGTTCTTATTCCATTAACCTCAGCGAATCAACAGTTTGCCTGGATATTATCTTGAGATTTCATTTTTGCTAGTTTCTATCCATCCTCAATTTTAAACTATTACTGTAAGTGAACCTGATGGCTACTTTAGACGATAAATTATTGGGAGAGAAAAAACATTATTATTGCGATAGTAGTGATGATGAAAGAGATGAACATGATGAAAGACCAGCATTTGGAGCCAGTGGTGGACAGACTCGGTCTTCCTATGCCAATCAAATACAATCACCACTTTCACCAACAGAACCTTACTCAACTAATGTAAGTGCCATTTCATTTCATATTTCTCTCTTTTATTGTATTTATATCAATAATAATCTTCTCGGTGGCGTCTTACCTCTTAGACTGGTCCAAAAGGAGTGCTAAATGACTGGAAAAGGTACCAAGAATTGAAACAGGAGAGAAAGAGATCCGAGGAAATTGATAAATTAAAGCTTATGGAGAAATTATCCATGTCCTGTAAAACCTACATTGAAGAAATGGAGGAGAAAAAAAGACAAGAGATAGTTCAAGATGAATTGGATAAGCTGTTAGCTGATGACGATGACCCTTTCCTGAATGAATACATGAAAAAAAGAATGGCTGAAATGATGGAAGAGGTTCAGTTGAATAGGTCTGGACGAAAATTTGGACAGCTGATACGTTTAACAAAAGGTGAAGACTTTTTGGAAGCCATTGAAAAGGAAGCCAAAGATGTTCTGATTATTTGTCATATTTCCAACGAATCATACGAAGGGTGTATTGCCATGAATGGTTGTCTCTCATTGTTAGCCTCTCAATATCCATTTATTAAATTCACTTCTCTCGATGCTCGATCAGCCGGCATGAGTGAACGCTTTGTAAGTATACACCTTCAACATCAACAAAACTCTAATCATCTTTAGCCTCATAACGATTAGCAATTAAATTAATAGAATATTATAGATCGATTTGTCGGTCAAATATCCTGTTACTTTTAAATAATTTAAAAACGTAATTTTATCCTCACTGGTCTGTTTCCTGTGCTTTAAAGATATGAACTTAGAAAGGCTTTTCCAGGAATACTTACAAATTCAGTTATTTGCTAATTTAAGATTTTTATTGCGACCTAGTTACATTATCCACAATATCGAGAAAATCAATAAGAATTTTTCTTTGAATTTGAAAACTTCATTCTTTTGTAATTTTGTATATTTTGTCTGAATTTATTTTGACTGATAGTTTTCATCTTTTTTTCTTTAGAAAAAGCAAGGAGTTCCTGCATTATTGATCTACAAAAATGGTAGTTTAGTTGGGAATTTTGTTCGTTTAACAGACGAATTTGGAGAAGACTTTTATGCTTCAGATGTTGAATCCTTCCTCATCGAACACGGATTTTTGCCTGATCAAAGTTTAATACCTGAGCTTATGAAAAAAAAGACTATTCGAGAAGGAAACAGTGCCGAAGCAGATTCAGACGATGATAGCTCTTGAATCCAGCAAAATCCCACGTCAACTGGTTCCTGATTTTTTAACACGAAATATTGAGTGATATTAGTAATTGGATTGTCAATTTTCAGATTGACTTGTAGACCAAAATGGTTATTTACAAGCATTTTGCTATTGTAACTCATTTTATCGTTGGGTTACAATGCATTTCATTTTCGAAAAATTTTGTCCTCGTTTTTAAATTATCAATGCAACTCTTGTCAATCCAACAAGAGTATTAATTAATTGATGGATCTCATGCAATTTTTTATACCTTGTTCTCATTCTTTGTTGTACTAGTATCACTTACAAGCACCAAATTTCATTTCCCGAGTGAATACCATTTTCTTGAGTTTCAGCATTCGAGCATTTTCACTTCTCTATCCAAGTCTATCATAAACTGCTTGTAAAACTCATTTCTCCGTGGGAAACAATAAGGAAAATGCTAAAGAAAACATTTCCGTTTACGATAATAAACATTCTAGAATACATTGTTCCATGATAATTCAAAGTTGAGACCAATTTTCAGTTTGCTAAGTGATTTTGTCATGTAAAATCCCTAAATTGAATCATCAAGCTAACAAATTGTATCCTTTTATAAAATCATAAACAAAGTAAAACTATACTCATATTCACAGTTGAACTCAATTATTCATTAAATTCATTGGATTAAAATAACAATTAATAATTGGTCAATGTTTGTTTAAACCAAAAAAATTATTCCCATGAAAGCTTGAGAGTGAACTATTTGCAGTCACTTGTTTCATCAGTTTATCTGTTATCTCTGGTTAACAGTAGTAACCAGAAAGTAACCAGTAGTTGCTGTGAAAATAGCTCTTCTTATTTCCACTACCACTTCAAAAGAAAGATTTGTTTCTTTTCACTACTATCTTCGATTCTTACCTCTTTCATGATGTTTTTATAAATAATCTAATAATTTAATTGCTATCTTGATTTAATTGATTTAACCAATACATTAACGTAAGTTGACCATTGAAATGTTACCCTTATGCGTCATCCATTTCAAATGGCATAAGATATTTCACTTATGCTGTTTTCTCCTTTGCTCATTTATAAACATGCAATTGGCTTTTGTTTCTTTGTTTTCCATTCATCTCTTTCTTTGTTGATTTTTCCCAATTAGTTAACTCTTCTGGATCAATACTCATCTCTATACGTAATCCTATTGTGTGAAGAATTTTACGTATCCCAACAAATCTGTTTTGTTCAAAGCTTCGGCCGCAATACCGATCCAAAAGTGAGGACCCATCGCCTCACTTCAACTCTAATGTTGAACTTATCACTCATCTCAAATTTTGTGTTAACATGCTCATCAAGAATTGGTAATTTCCGTCAAACACTTCCATTGCTAATGTATTCTTTGTGGTAAACAACAAATCGATACATTTTGTTGATTTAATGCCAATCCCATTGATGTTACTGGTGTAAAAAGTTTTCTCCATGTGATTCCTGTTTTCTTTTTGTTTGTACAGGACTGCTTCTGGTTGAATGTAAAGTCTATGATAATAGTAAGATTTTTGCAAAATGGCTTCATTAGAAGAAATTAAAAAAATTTTAAAATCTTTGGTGATATCACATCAAAATGGCCTCAGTGCCATAGCCTTGAATAATGAATTTCTTGAAATAGAAGGAAGACATGTACCGTGGCAATCGTTTGGTGCTGCATCTCTGAACGAATTTTTCTTAAGCCTTACTGATATCCTTGTATATCAACCTAACAAAGCTGGCGCTCGAGTTTTCTTTGCTAAAACTGATGAAGCAACAGCCCATATTGACAGACTTGTTAAGCAGCAAAAGCCTCAGCCACTTAAACGACGAAATGAGATCTTTCGCTATGAAGTGGAAAAAAGGCCGTATAGAGAACCAAGTCCCGAACCAAGACAAATTTCTCCTCCCAGTAATGGCAATTTACCCGATTCCACTCAGAAATTTCGTAACCCCAGCCCACCTCCTCCAGATCCAAAAAACATGTTATTTCGTTCTTCCAGTCCAGAAAAGTCAAAATTGAAACGTCCTAGTCCTCAAGATAGCCCCCCTACAGATCCTTATGAAGAAAGCCTAAGAAGAGCTAGAGAAAGGAGAGGCATAGCAAGACGAAATTATCGATCAAGAAGAAGTCGATCCCGCTCATCAAGCCCAAGACGGACAAAATCACCTAGCCCTAAACGAAACAGCTCTACAGCTAATCGCCACACGTCTTCACCAAACCAACGTAGACAAAGATCACCAACTCCTAAGCGTGGAAACTCTCCAGTTCAACGCAGACAGAGATCTCCTAGTCCTTGGCGTGGAAACTCTCCAGTTCAACGTAGACAGAGGTCACCTAGCCCCAGAAGGGGAAGCTCTCCAGTCTATCGCAGACAGAGATCTCCTAGTCCCAGAAGGGGAAGCTCTCCGGTCTATCGTAGACAGAGATCACCAAGTCCTAGAAGAGGAAGCTCTCCAGTTCATCGTAGACAGAGATCACCAAGTCCTAAGCGTGGCAGCTCTCCAGTTCAATCCAGGCAAAGATCGCCAGTTCGTAAAATCCCAACTAAATCCATTTCTTGTCAAACTGATTTTGAGAAAGTATCAAAATCGTGCCAAACCGAGGTATCCAATACTCACTGCATTTCTTGTAAAAATCAAACTTCAAAATCTCATGTACCAAATGGAACACATCCTCGCCCCACAAATAATTCCAGACAAGATTACTCTAATGCAGATGAAAATGTTGATCTAAACCAACTTTACTACGGAACGGAATACAGTGTAGCTCCAACGTTCCAATGTTTGTACAATCCTTACTCAATTTTACCAGTTTTAGATCCTAGTTTTACAGAAGATACTACTCACCCTGAGCCAGGCTTCTATTACGATTTTGATGCCGGTGATCATAAACCAATACCTAGAATTCCTGAGTACTATGCCTATTGGATTATGGCTGGTTGGATTCCAGCAGCTCAGGAAACTACACCTCAAGCGAACCATGCTCCAGTTTTGCCTTCCAGTCAATCAGCAGATCCACGCGTCAATCCACCCGCAGCTAAAAATGCAAAAGCTAGAGATCCTAGACTTGCTCGATCAGAAGCTCGAATATCTCCTAATGGTGCAGATAAAGTGGCGGCCAAAAGAAAATCAATTTCTATTGATGACTATAAGAATCTGCGCAAGTTGGGTTCAAACGAACAAAGTGATAAATCGGGGGTCATTACTGGTGCTGGAGAAACTATAGACTATGAACCTGTCATTACAACGGAGCCCGTAGCGAAATTACCGAGAGATCCTCGATTGAGAAGAGCCAAATGACCAATTTTATGCAACTGAACAAGGATACAGATGTAAACATTACTTAAGATGGTTGGTATTGAATGTTTAATGTTTAATATTCAAAATGTGATCATTATTTTGATTGATTGCTTAAAAAAATACAACTTTGTGAATCATTCAATCATCATTTCTCATTATAATGAACCAATTTTTTTATTTTCATCTTATTTTTCAGAAGCTTATTTCTCTATTCAAGACAATTCAAACTCAAAAGTATTCTTAAAACTCAAATTCCAAACCTGAAACTTTCCAATGAAGCGCGTTTGTCTCTGAACAAATCGGCAACTTTTAAATCTTACACTTAATCAGCTAAATCAATAAAATTCACAACAGCCCAACAGACATCAAAATCATTTACCATGACCAATTTCATAATAGCTAATTTGATTAATATTCAGTGCCAGTAACAGTTGAGCTGTTTATCCATATTGACGACTCTGTATTGTTATAAATTAAACTTTGGCAACAAATGAACACCAAAATATCCAACACAAACAAGTACCCAACATTATTCAAAGATTTGTAATAATGCCAGAAATGAAGGCTGAAAAAAGATCCAAAGGTAAAAACACTTTTGATCAAGATGAATATTTTTAAATTGCTCAGACTCGGCTTTCTTCAAAGTACAATGATTTTTATACCCCAGACAAGACACGATCAAGTAAACAATTTAACCTGCCAATTGTTTCAACTCTAGTAAACTAATCTTAATCACATATCTTGTACATACACTGTAATCTGTGAACCTTGATTAGCGGATTAAGAGTTACCAAATGATTAAAGCAAGGACAAATTAAACAAAAAGAGCAATAAGTTTATCAACAAAAAACCAAGCGAAGCTTTTAAACGTCAATCTACTGGATAAGAAAAGCGACAAACTAAAGACAAATTGGCTTAATTAAAGCAATTTAAAATGGACCTTAAAGATTCAAATTTCCTGCTCAAACATCAACATATGGTTGGCATCGTATTCATCAAGATCAACTTAATTCACCCAATTTGTATCATTCGCCGCAAGCCTTAAAGCCAACTAATACGATGTATAAATTAAATCAACATAATGATATTGTACCAGATTATTCAAAAGTGACTTTTTTTCGGCTATAACTTCGCTCAGATGGGATTTTTTGCGAAAATTTTTGCTGTTAAATTATTTCGAACTGTTTAAACTTATTTTTCACCTCAAAACAGCCTCATTACCCGACAGGCAACTCTAAATCTTCCAATTTTTTACGAAATGGTGCGGAAACAATGCAAAAGTCAGCCTTTGAAGTACAAGAGATTCAGATAGAAAGGCTAAAACAAGACTGAATTGTCTCATGACAGACACAAAAAGACACAATTTACCAAGAATCAAATCTCCTAATCATTGAAAGACTCTACTAGAGGCTTAATTTCACCACATTTGACAATAATTGTACATAAGCTTCATTTTGATGAATTACTTGGTACAAAGGTCCAAAAGCCAGCCAAGTTATCGTCGATCAAGTAAAGTCACTTTTGAATTACCTAATAAATTAAAACAAGCATTTAAAATGAAACCAATTTTTAGTTGAATTTTGATCCAAATTTGGTTTCATTATTCAACACTTATTGTAAAAATTAACGTTAGATTTAAAATGTTTAAATAAATGTAAAATGTGTGAAAAATTTCATTCCAAATAGAATTGAGTTTTAAAACAAAAAAAATCCTTTTTTTTACTGCGAAATTTTATCTTCTTATACATTTTTTTTAACTAATTTTCTCGTTCTTTCTCTTTTCATCATAATCATCAGCCTCATCAGCTTCATGAGTTGGATAAAGCCTTCAAAATCAGGAATCGTTGACCAGATACAAGGACACCAAGTCGACGATAACGTGAAGGTTTTAACTCTTTTTTTACTTCATGTTTTTTTACTGATTTTTTTTGCTGATGTTATTATTATCACTACTGTTGCCTGCATTTCAACTCGCAATAAATCAAAAACAAAACGATGATTATGCGGCTGATGATCAGCTCACTGGATATGAATATGTAAGCCAATGTTACAAGTATTTAGATAAACGCTAACGCAATCGGTACCGATAAAGATTGGCGTACTTTGAACGTCTTTCAATACTTTTGTTGTTTTTTTTCAGTTCAATCCATTTCATGCCTCATTCCTATCTGATTTTATCCTCTTGTTTGTTTCACTCGTTCATCATGGTTCACTGAGAAATTATCACTCAAATTATTTTTTTTTCTTGTTTCTATTTTTCTTTCTTTTTTATCTCGACTCAATTGAAACCCTTTGAATCTTTAGGTGTTTTTAAACGCTAGATTATTGTTATTATCATTTTCAGACTTTCACTCTTTTTTTGACATTAATAACATTGAATTGTATAAAACATTTAACTTTGACTTTACCATTTAGACAAGAATCAATTTTACATTGAAAACAATATCGCCAGTGTTTCCATATTTCTTGATTATCTGTAAATTAGAGTCAAAATTAGGCATCAAATTAGTCTCGATTATGTATCCCAGTGAATCTCTATGTATAAATAATATGTATATCTGATGAATGATGATGAATGATGATAGTTCAATGATGGTTAAACTTGTAAATAACTTAGATTATTCAAGGTATTCAAGTAAACAAGGTTTTGGGTTTGCAGTTGCAACATTTACAAACATGTTCAGCCATTTTGATGTTTTTTCTTGTTCATGTAACTTTCAGCCATAATAATATCGCTGACTGAGTATTGAGTCTTCTTTTTTTTATTAATCATGTAAAAACCGTAAAAATCACATATTCTGGTTTTCTGACTATTAATTGCTACAATTAAAAGGTTGTACATTGAAACACGTCTGTGTAGCTGAGGCAAGTGAATGTTTAACTTTCTCACCCAACAAAGTCAACCCAAACAGGATCACTTAAAGCCAATGAGCCGGCACTTGAAAGTCAACTGACAAAACCAAGTTTTTTTTTGTTTTCTTGGTTTACCTTCAACTAATGATAATGATTAGTATTGATTACATGTCTTGTCAACTCTTAACAACAGTTAACAGTTACAAAATACAATAACTAATTGTAATTCAAATTGTCTCTCTCTCTCTTTCTCTGTATTAATAGTCAATTTGATTGATAACAAAACAAAAGGTAAAATAATGATAATGATTAAAATAAAAAAAGGTGAAAGTAATACTAATTGAAGCTGTCAAACATAGAGTCACAAACAATTGCTAAGCCTCATTGGTGACCTGATTTCATCCTCATCTCTGGGATAATGATTACCTGTTAGGTTGACAGGTCAAAGGCAAGTGAAGCCACTGAAACAACATGATTATCCCGGATGTTTATCAATGTTTCTAGATGATAATTCCCATGATAATAGAGGGGCTCATTATCATGAGCCGTATCATCTTCACGGAGAAAGTCAATGAAAAATGAATGGCATTACTCTTATTAGCGCGTCTCTTTACAGTAACACTTACTAGGAGTTTACATTGAACCATTTAAATCGCAGTAAACAATCTTTACAATCCATTGATCAACTTTCACTTTATTAACTTATTAACTTTAGGTTAAATTAATTGCCTGCAAAAAGTAATGGCAAGAAAAGGTTGACAATCAATTGCAATCTGTTGCTCTTTTACCAACAATTTACATAAAAATCTTTTAATTTGCTGTTGCCCATTCATTTCACACCTCGATTCACTGAATATGGTAATATTATTAAAAACAAATTGCTATTTTTATACACTTTTCTTGATTTCCATTCAATTCCTTTCAGATTATGATTAATAATTCATTTTTGGCCTGCTTTTTGGGTCTTTGCGTTCTTGTCTAGTTAATTTCTTATTATGTTAATAATGGTTAATGGTTTAAGCCTAAACTGTTAATCAATGCGACATTGGAAAGCATTCAAGTTTAACATTAGTTGTACATTTCATTTTATCAACTATGGACTTAATTAACTCAACTAACAAGGCAAAACGTTTGTTGGCTTTAAACTTGGTTTTCAACTTGTTGTGCCGGAGCTCAATTAAAAAGTTGCAAGAAAAACGGATCAAATTAATTCGATTAATCAGCGTAACAATTTACAATGAACAATATTGCCATCTCTTCAATGTATATCTTTGGCTTTCTCATTGTAATTGTTGTTGTTGTGACTTTTTGCTGTCGTGTTCACTGACAGTTCAATTGTCAAATTTGCAAATCATTTCATTGTCAACTGATTATTGTCAACAAGTTGAAACCAAGATTAAGTTCATCAATCAATTTAGAGGCAAAATTTTGACCCCATTTTGGGTTTCATTCATGGCTATGGACTGTTACCAGTTTTGTTACCAGTCAAAAAATGTTAATCGCGACACAATTAACCCGTTATCAATTGCTAATTGTCAAACGTTTGTCATCAGTCAAACTGGTTTAACATGATGATGACCATTATCAACCTTTAAAGGTTAACAAAAAGGTGTGTTGCCATTAATAGCAAAATTAATTCGCAATCAAGAGCAACAATTTGCTCTTTTTTGTTATTCAATTTAATCCTCAAGCAATTCATTCCTGTATCATCATCATCATCAGGTTCATCATCACCAACCTCATCAAGGTATTAGTAGGAGCATTATCACTCAGCATCATTAAAAAGTCTCTTTCATTATTTGGCCTTTGATCAACTCAACATAACACAATTAAATAACAAGACTCAAGATCATCTTAATCACTATTGACTTGCTTCAAGTCAATGGTCAAGTTTAACCAGAAACAGTCGACTTTTACTTTCATTGTTTTTCACATTTTTCAACTTCTATTAACATTCTGACCATAATTGTTATCATGATCATAATTTTAACGATAATGATTGTTTCCAAGAAGGTTTAAGGCACTTGTTTCTTGGGCCTAACCATTTCAATGAATCAATAAGTTTTAACTATTGAACTGAAGGTGGTCTTGATGAGGGTGAAGATGATGATAATCATAATCACTATCATTCCTCATCATGATGTTGAAATGAATCAGGAAAATTGTGTGCTCAGACTTTACCTGTTCATTGTTGATCCTTCGTCAGCCTATTATGTTAATGGTTATGATGCACAAATGATTATTGATTGCAATGTGAATTAACTGAACTCATCCGGAAATGAGGCAGCTTTAAATTAAACAAAAAACTGACTTTTATTGACTAATCAATAATTAATCAATTGTTTATCCATTTGTACACTTGAAATCTCAATGCATTTAACTTGATCATTTCAACTCTTTCACTTTGTATTTACTAATTTATGCTGACAAATAGCCTTGTTAAACCGTTTTTTAGCTAACACTTAATCATGATCATGATCATGTTGATCATGCTAATTGACAAACAAGTTTAAAAAGCAAATGTCATAATAAATTTGATCATTTGCCTGGAATGGCTCAAAGTTTCAATGGGCTTTAACCTGAATCTTGAATATTCATTATTTATACCTTTTGATATAAATAATCATTTACTTGGAGATTTATTTTTTACTTTCAACTTTTTTTACCTTTAATAAAATGATTTGAAAAGTTTAATTTGTTCAACTTTTGCAATTAACTTGATTATTACTGATTAAAACAAAAAACAATTGGAAAGGTTGATAATTGAACAAGTTATTCCGTTTGGAATTGAATTTTAATGTTGTTTTCATTTTTAGTAAAAGTCTAATGATTTAAGCTCGTTATTACAATTAGGATTAATGATTTAACTGTTGATTTTGGTGATTTATAAATTATAATAATCATTTCCATTGAAAGTTGTTATTTACCTTCAATTGGCTCTTATTCAACTTTTTTTTGAAGCAAAAAAAAATGTTTTAACCAATTGTCTAGACATTGATGATTGTTATGATCATGTTGATCATGATGAAAATGATGATAAGTGATTTAGTGTGAATCAGGAAAATGAGTGTTAATAGTTGAGGTAATAATAACAATCAAAGTTAACCAATAAAGTAGTTGCTTAATAGATGATGACAAAATAATAAAGCTGAAAGTGATTAAAAAGCATTTAAAAAAATCATTTTTCGCAACAAAATAAAAGCTTGACAAATGGCTGGTTAAGATGGTCTGGTTTGACCCAACAGAGAGTAGGCTTGGGTTGCAACTTTGCCTCTTGACTTGGGTCTTTACGTGACTTTTGACAGCAAGAGCCACCTTGAGCAATACCAAAATTATTATTGCTGATCAAGATGAAGATGAGGATGATTTTGGATGATATTGACATCTGACAATCAATGTGATATTAATAGTTAACAACAATGTTTACTTGTTCAACAGACTACCAACAAGGAAAAGCAAAAAAAGATGTGATACTAGAAAATTTTTATAATTTTTTCCATTCCTAGATATTCCATTGTTTTTGACACATCGTTTGACATTATGGAAGAGGAATTACATGTTCAACAATAATAACAACATTGATCATGTTACTGATAATTGTAATTATCAACATATTTATCTAGACCAATTGGGAATTATTAATGAACAATTAAGATTAGCACATTGGATTCAAGTGAAACACTGACTAATATTATATCAGAAAAAAGTAAAATAACATGAAAAGGTGAAACAATGGTTAAAGATAGCACTAGAAAGATGCCATTAAAACGTTGTTCAATTTCAATTGAGTACAACAATTAAAGTGTTACATTTCAATTGTAGATGATGATAAAGATGATTAGGATGAGGATGTTTTTTTAGGTGTAAGTGAAAGAGAGAGTGTTTAAAAGTCATCTTGTGATAAACAATTGGAACAAAAGTTAACTATCTAATTGATTGTTATCACCATTAATGGCCTCAATGAAAACTTCATTTTCCTCTTTACCCTTTGATTTTCATCTTTTCCAGGTAGATAAAGAAACAAAGGTTAATTGATTGTCTTTTAATTGTTGTAAGGCATGATTGTGAATGTCAAAACAATCGGCTAATTGTAGCTCAACTCAAACTGAGAAAAGTTTCATTTCTCAAGTTTTAACTCAATGGTTTTGCTAATAACAGATTGATTTGGATTAATTGTTGATCAAATTGAAACTTTTCATGTAACCAGAAAAGGAAGAGTAAAAGTAAAATCGCAAAACAATCAAGTCGAGTGTTCACAATAAAGAGGTAACTATTGTCATGATTAACGTTGACTCTTCATTGTGATTAAGTTGATTGTCACAATATTGGTTAACAAATGATTCAATTTATAATACCAATAAGAAACTCTGAATAACCCAATTTCATGATTGATCTTCAATCTTGACTCAAAGCATTAACCAAAATTAAACATATGAATGAACCAGGTTTTTGTAATAATTATTGTTTGACAATTTGAATCCAGAAGTAAATTGTGACAATTTTTGATTGGTCAGGTTCGACAAGCACTGAAATGTACCAACAATAACATCTGTATCCATGAAATGTATCAAGTGTAATCTTGAATTAGATCACCAGATTCTGGTTCTTGGTTTGAGTATGATTTATGTGTCACAATCTTCAAGTGAAACTGTTTCAGTTTCCGTCAAAAGTTTCTTGATAATTCCATCTAATCAATGTAAATCATTCCAATCCATGGTTTTATGTTTAATGATAATCAATGAAATAACAGGAGAAACAAGATGCTGAAAGGAAATGCAAAAGTTGGCGGGAAATTTTTGCTTTTACTACTTTTCATTGGAAATGCAATTTAGTACGAAAAAAAAAGGAAAGTCAAGAGAGTGAAATTGCTTTTTAATTATTAACTTTAATTATTATTATTGAATGTTTCGCTAAAGGTTGATAAGATTCTTGTGAATGTTTGATGAAAACTCATATTTTATTCACAAGGTTATAACTTGCTTCTGTTACATCCAATTTTTCCCTCCTTTTCCTCATCATCTCTCTCTTTTTTTCATCATTATCTTCTTCTCTTCCTTTTAAACTGTTCCACATTTTTTAGCCTTTCCATCATCCTCATTCCAACCTACTATTTAATCATCCTTATCATCATCCAGCTCATTTTTGTTTGGTCATTCACCAATTAGTTTGATTTAAAGTGAAGCTAAATGGAGCCAAAAATTTCCATTTTAATGTGTCTCTTGTTGACAAAGGTTGATGCTAGATGTGAGGCTTTGCTAGGTTGACTTGAGACACCAACTGTGCCTTTGACAGGCACTTGAGAAAGTCATTAAGGAAACTCTTAAAGGATTGAAAACTGGCGATATTTGGTGTGAGAAAGTTCATTAAGACTGATGATGTTATTAATTGGAAATGATGAAAAGCTGTAATTGCAGGAAACAAACAAACTTGAGGCGGGAAAATATGGTTGAAGGTAAATTGTTTACAACAGATTTGTATTCATCTTACAATCATGTTCTCATTATCTTATTAATATAATTGGACCTTTTTTTTTCATTCACTTTTCAATGGTAAACCCTATTTTAATGGTACCAACTTTTCAATTGGTAAAAAGATGCTGATGAGAGATGATCATAATCATCATCATCATCCTCTTCATCATCTAAATGATCAAGATTGTTTCTCTAAAGGAGTGTTCTTGATGCATAAGGTCAGTTTGACAGCCATGAATTCGTGGATTCCCATCAAATCACCTCCTCTTATTTACTAGCTATACATAGCATATAACATCTAACCTACTCTATTCACACCATCATTTTTATCCTCATCTTCTTCCTCATCATCAAGCTTTTTACATTATTAACCAGCTATTCAAAAGTCTACACGGGAATCACCTTAAAATGATATTAAAATTGTTTCAGCTTAACAACAAAAACATTGACCCAACAGTTAACCTTGCAACCCAATAATCAGTTTAAAGGGATTGGGTTTGGGTTTTTGGTTTGTTACATTGTTGTCTCAATGTGAGTCAACAATTTAGCTAATCAATTTAGCTAATCATCAATGAATGATTTCAAATGATTTTAGGTAAAAAAAAGAGAGAAGCAATCAACGTAAATTGAAAAGGATAAAATTGAACTCAATATATTTCTGGTTGTTGCCTCAAGTTTACTGTAATTTTTCCCGTGGTTTTTTATCATTTTTACCTTTTATTGTAATGGACGGATTAAAATCATCATGTTGATCATTTTAATGATAATGATGATCAATGAAATGACCTAATTTTCCTCACAGTATAACGTCTAAACGCTATTTTTACGACCTTTTTTCACTCCATCTTTATCCCTTCCCAATCCTTGTCCACCTTTTTTACTTCATTCATAGCCATAACTTATCCTCCGCCTTTAATTTTTGTTTCATTATCGTCTTGATCATCATCATTAATTTCCCATTGCAACCTTTTTTTTGTGTGTGTATATTTTACAATTCAGTCCACCTTCAATATTCACCTTTAACACCTTTAATAATTCTTGCTTCATTAACTCAAGTCTGTCAAGTCTCAATGTGTTTAATGATGTTATGTTTATAATGGAAAGATGATGATGATGATCAAGATGAGTTTTGTTTTCATACCTTAAAAATTGTTATGCTAAATGGTTGACAATTTGGTAACAATAAGGGAAACAACTCAACATGAAATAAAAATAAGGTATGTAAGTTGATTACAATTGTCAAATAGACTAATGATTGCAATGAAAGCAGATGGTTTTGTATTACAATTACAATTTTTGTTTTTCCTGCTACTTTTTTTTACTGACGATGAAGGATGAAAAACCTATTTCATCTCCTTCTGTCTCACTCTATCATCGTCTTTATCATGTTGACTGATGCTACAGTTACTTGAGAGTGTGTTGCTTCTAGTTATTACTTGCTTTTAACTAAACCTGAGGCCAACATCGTTGGTACGTTTGGTTTTGTTGCTGTTGTTACCTTGTATATGGCCACATGCTGTTTCAGCTGCTTTTTTAGCATTTCCTTTGAATTAATATTTTCATCCATTCTGACAAAGTAATTTGACAAAACCAGCAAATTACAGGAGAAATGGCGGCACAAGAAATGATGATATAAAAAAAAGTCAAACGTCAATGAAAGTGTGTTGGTAGACAGTAAACTTGGAACAATGAGTCGATGAGCAGGAAAATGATAAGATGAATAATCTGAAGGAAGAGACAGAGGAAAATGAATAGTCTACAAAATTCAGGGTAACAGCAATTGGAGATTACGATAATAACCATGATGGACTCATTGATGGGTTAATGTTTTTTTTCACAGGTTTCCAACTCAAACATTGACTCCATCACTGGTTATTAATTGCCTGAGAGATCAAATAATACCATGATAACTGTTCAATCAAGTTTATCCTTTGCCCATTATTGATAATTACATTTGTTGGTATTGAGCTTTGTTATGCTTTTGTTTTCCACTTTTTTTCCGTTTTCCTTGACCTTCTTTGTTCCAATTCATTCAAAAAACAGTCGGAAATGAATTGGTGATAAGCAAACAGTCAACAGTTGGTTCCCTTTCAATGAATGATTAAAAATGATGAGAAAGATTGAAAAAGAAAGGAAATAACTTCTTTCTTGCCATCAACATCAATATCATCAGCATTAGTAGCATCTTCCTCAACCTCAATCAGTAGCATTTTCAAGTATCCAAATCTTGTAGCTGTAGGCTGTGTAACAATAATCTAAAGGTAAGAAGAGAGAAGAAGAAAAAACAATCAACATTCAGAATAATGATAATAGCCATGATTATATTGATGGTGGTAATAGTATGTACAGATATTATGCCTCTGCCCCCCAAAAAAATAGTCAAAACTGTGGTGGAGCGACAAAATGTCAATGAAGGTGCACAAATGATAAACTGAGTGTTACCTTGAATCCTTCAGGCGTGGTTACCTTTTTTACCTCCTTGTCAATCTTTTCTGTCGCCATTTGTATTAACCGTCTTCCTTTGCTTCTCACTGTCTATAATCTTTACTCATGTCCGTGTCTTCTTACCATCACCAGCTTAATCGTTAGACTTTACACAAATCATCTTCAATGGATTGTGTCACGAAGGTTCATTATTTTATGGCTTTCTTTCCCAATGATAATAATTTTCATTCATCGGTCAATAGCTTCTAATGGCAGCCAGAAACACACACACAGGGAAAACTGATGAGACTGGAAATCACCAAATGCTAATAATCATCTTGAGCATCTCATTTTGGGGCTTATTATTAGATGTTTTAACTCGCCTTTAGTATTACAACTCCATTGATCCAAAACACAACTAGAGCTGTAAGATATTAAGACCGGTAAAAACAATTACATTGACACACTGACAAAGCAGAAACCAAAAAATACAAAAGAAGGCCTGTAAGAGGTGAAACAAAAAAACAGTTGTTGGTTATTACTATTATTATTATTGTTATTACCTTTGATAATTATTACCTGGTGGTTAATTATTGTGTGTTTTGTGTGTATCTGTCTGTTGTTAAATAATGTTAAAAAAAAGAGTTGACGTCGATTTGTTTTTCCTTTTTTTTTGTGTCTTCTGTTAATGTCTGTTTGCCTACCATCTCAACTGTCAACAGTCTAGCCTTCAAGTGTAAAGGTTGATCCCATTTGTTAACCATTGAACCTGAAGAGGTAAAATTTAGAGTCCAATTAGTTATTGATTGATTATGTTCAGTTTGATTAAAAGAAACAAGTTAAATTACCTGAGATGGCCATGGTGATGATGAATCTTTGTTTAAAGCGCAAAAAAAGTTAAAACAACAAAAGGTGATCACCTTGAGTTTGAACAGCTAATTGTAATTCCTATGTAAATGTAATTACATTGAGCATTTTAACCACGTTTAGATGTATTTACTCTGCATCAATTGTCATTTAATTGGCCTCTTGACTGTCATTGATGATATTCATCTAGATGAGAAGGGTTAGAAATGTGAAAAATGAATCCAAAATTATCAGCAAAAGGATAAATTTCAATTGCAAATCCAAGTTTACGTTGAAGCTCAATTGTTGTCAAAATGTTTGTTTACAGTTGCTTTGTTGTTACTTGAAACATCATGATTATGATGATAATGATGATTACCATTAACATTATTATCATCATTATCGGTATTATATTCATGACTTTCAATGAAATCATATTAATACATCATCATCATTATTATGTATTTTGCTAGGCCTAAACAACAAAAGTCATTAGAAGCAAAATCAGTGAGACAAAGTTGAACAGCAAGGAAATATTTAAACATACTGACACATTGAATATACATTGTAAACAATTAAATTATCATTTATCATTAAAAGATGTTAATCAACCCAAGTAATTAACTTGGATGCTTGATTTTTACCTTTTTTTGCTTCAATCATTTGTTTTGTAACTGATAAACAATTGGCAGGGATAAGTGTGTTTTATAAGATTACCAGTCGACAGTGAAAATTTTGCATAAAAAGCATAATTTTCATTATCCCAATGTTTTACTCTTTTGACAATTTTCTTGCTTATCTAATTTTTTTTGCTGAAGTGATTAACTCAAGATTCGGTAAATTCAAACAAAAGTCATTAATTTGTACAGAAACATGTCAGAATGCTGATCAATATTAATTATAAAATTGTGTATAATGTTCAACTGTCATCAGTTAAAGACGGCAAAAATTTGCCAAATAAAAGTTCATGTATTTGGATCAAATGGTTAATCCTCTATTCAAGCTGGGATTGTTGTGAAATGGAGTTTGCCGTTGAACAGTTTAATCAACAAAAAATCTGGTTCATTATTAGCCGATTCAATGGTATCTGATGAAACCAATTTTACGTTTGTCCACCTTATCTACTATCGTTTGCTTCTGACTGGAGACCAGAAAAAAATAGCTTTTTTTATATTGAATCGCCATCTCGAGCCTGTTAACCATCAAAATGTAATCAATATTTTTCATTTGTCAATTATCCTCGCTGTTATTACCTTTTGATGACGATGATGGTGGTGACGGTAATGTTAACACCGGATATATGGCTAATCCCATAGTAACTTGGGCCAGATAATCAAAGTGGAAATGTTTCAAGAAATAAGATGGTGATGACGATGAGAAGTGAACAACAAGAGGAGAGGAGAAAAAACGTGAGACATAGTGAATTGAAGTATAAAGATGGTGATGGTGATGGAGGAGACAAAAAAAGAGACAAGACGATAAATGAAGAGGAGGAGGATGTTGAACAAGTTAAGCAGTAAAGTCAAGTTTGTCAACATTTTTGCCTCTTCTGACCGTTTTTGCTACTTTTACACCATCGTTTTGTTTCTGATGATTTACGCGCCTTTTTTAATGTCAAACATGAGATGAAGGAACTAGCAAAAACAAAGAACAAAAGAAAGCGAAAAAAGAAGGAAATTATCTGAGGATCTTGGAATCAGATGTCGATACAATCTTGAGATCTTTCTGATTCCAAATACCAATGTTTCACCATTGCTGGCTTTTTGGCATTTCAAAACAAAAGTTACATTTCCTCAGTTATCTTGTCATTTTCACCTTTTTATTTTCACCAAATTGCTTAGATTCAATTATGGTTAACATGATTTTGACTAATTATATTGAGCATCATTCAGTGATAATAACATCATTAAACTGAGAGAAGGATCAACGACAAAATCAATGTTTATTTGATTGACTACCTGATCTCAAAAGTCAATATTGACTCAATATGGCTGACTGGCTGTTAATTTTTTTTTTGCTAACCTGTTGATGGTAAAGTAACCTGTTATTTACATTGTTCAATCAAATATTAACATTTAACGCACTGTCTGTATACTTAATACTTAGTAATCCAAATAGTACTTAACGATTACGCTTAAAAATTACTAGATTATTGATTAATAATCTCTTTTTTAATGTTTATTTCCGTATATACAGGACATATATTTATCTACACATATTGGTGTAGCAGGAGATGCAATAGATAATTGGCAGATTTTTCCTGATCTTGACTTGCAAAGTTGTTACATCTTCTGTCAAACTGCAAAGTTGCCCAAAACAACTGCATGCTGTTTATGTATCAACATCATCATCTTCATCAGCTAAAATGTCTATGTAAGTACACTCGAACTTCTGTTCCAAATGAATTTTCATTCAAGAATTTCTTTATTCTTTATTTATTCCTCAGTTTGGCTCCTTCACCTTCTTCAAAGCACACATACGTACACACACACAAACACACACACACACCATCTTCATTATCATCATCATCTTTCTTCCTTTATCCTGCGGCAATGATTGCCAATCAATTTTATCCTTCACTTTGTCCCTCTTCATGATGATGGCCTCTTTAGAGACTCTCTCAACTGTCATCCACTCGCTAACCTTACCCATCTCATCTTCATAATCTTCTCTTTCTTCCTAGTCTCTTTTAAATTAGTTTGTAATTAGTGCTACTTTAATTTGTAACTCTCAATTCTGAAACATCTGCTTCTTTCTGCTCTTTTTTTCCTGTCCTCTGATTTTCTAGTAATTTAAAAGCCGCGCGCGTATAGCCTTTTAAAAAAAATTAGACGATGGCAAAGATTAGTAGCAGAAACCAAAGTCAAAGTGGAAACATGTTTTTTTACCTTCACTTTCTTTTTATTATGATTATCCATTTTAATTGTAATCGTTTATCTTTTACATCGACTATTGCTCAACAAATTAACATAACAATCAATCTGTAACACAGTCAACAACATTGGCATAAACATTTATATATCTGTGTTGAACGCTCGATTGAACCAAAACAACAAAATCTCAGCTTAACCATGTTTTTTACCAAGGAAAAACCAAGAGGAAGAAGGCGATGATGATGGAGGAAAGGAGAGAAAGATGAAAGGTGATGTGATTCTTTACCTCATTTTTTTGTGTTTGACAGAAGACTTGTAGGTAAATGTCAAAACAGGATTTACTAACTATGATTATCATCATTACCAGCCATCATCCATACTATTAGTATTCAGATTAGCTTTGTAGCTTATCATTATTATTATTGTTATCGTTAATTTAAGGTTCCTGTAATATTTGAAAGCCATAAAAACTTCAATAATTCTAGATTTAATCATACTTTACTACTTCTTAGATTTAAAATTAAATTTTTTATTATTTCAATAGTAATTTGATAAAATTTTGAGCTTCCTTCTGTCAACAGGATTGAAAAATTGAAGCAACTGTGTTGAACTTGTGATAGCTTCATTTTGGAATGCGTTTTTTGGTTAATAAATTGATCAAAAATTGAAGCATTTTAAAAAAAATGATTTCAGTTTAATGCACTTGAAAGTATATTATTAAGTCTGTATCATTGATGAAAGGCTAAATGCATATATTACCTTATTTTTGATACATTTTTCACTAAAATTTAACTAATGTTGAGATGAAGAGGAAGAAAAATGAAAGAAATCTGTTTCCCGTTTCTCTCATCTTTTTATCTTGCAGTTAACTCATAATTTTCACCTTAACTTTAACTATTAAAATGGTGTGTTTGTGTGTGTAACCATGATAATGAAGGTCTTTTCACTATTAAGTTAAACATCTTTTCTGCTTTAATTGCAAGGTTAGCTATTAACAATGCTATTAGTTGATCACAGTAAAACTTTTCGGAGTAAAGATAAATACTCATCTGAATAAGCAGATGGTTTAGTATGGGAAGGCAAAATAAAAGAGGTTATCCTTATTTTTCCTCATCTTCATCATTATCAGCATCGTTTCATTTTGTCACCGTTTTCAGTCACTTTTATCAATTATTTGGACCATTTTTTTCGTAGTTACCTTCAAACAGCAGTAAAACTTATTCTTGAAGCTGTTTAGTTATTAAGTCATTAAGCTATTATTAATGTCATTACAGCAGTGGCCAGGGTTAAGATGACAAAATTGCAGATCTTTTCATAGTTGCCCTTTAAATTAACCCTGACCACTTCTGTATTTTGTTTCATAATGAAATTAATGTTCACGTTTGACAACCTAACACCTAGCTTGCTTTAATTGACAAGCTAATCAAACTGCTGATGCATCCATCAGCCATTATTTATCAGGATTGTCTGAATATAAACAATGTTTCAAAATGGTAATAAATTTTGCTATCTTTACTTATCCAGTTATTTTATGTATTTTTTTCAAAAGGAGCGCAAAATTGGTCGATGACACCGAGAAACCATGAAAATTTGGTTTGAAACATTTCTTGGTGTGAAGGAGAGGAGAGAGGTAAAATGAGTTTACCTGTTGGGGTCGGTTGCGAGGCGCTAAATTTACTCAATTATATTTTATCAATCAAGAAATGTTAATCAATGTTCGGTATTCCGCAAGTGATGAAGGTTAATTGTTGAGCTGAATCTGGAAAAAAAAGGTTAAAGATGGAAAAGTTATTAATGCAAAAGGATGGAAAAGACTTTGTCTGGTTGTTTTTTACAATGTTATTTATATGGATGAACGGATCATTTAGCGATGCGATTTTCACCGATCCCACGAAACTTGATGAGGATAGAAAAGTAGACAACGAAGGAAAAAAATAGAAAGAGACACAGACAGAGTGGTTAATTGTGAAACACTAGTGTGGCCACCATGGAAAGGAAAGTAAAGATTGAGGAAAAAAAGGCTACAAAAGTTCAAGGCTCAATTAACCTGGAAATGTAATGAATGATGGAGTTATTATCATTCCCATAGACAGGCAAGGTTAAAGCAAAGGAACGATAAACAAGTCAAAAGGCAACCCAAGTCTTGGTAAAAAGCTCAGGCTTAATCCATGTTTACTCGCAATACATTTAATAGCTGTTGTAAACTGTTTTTGGTGCATTTGCTGATAAAAATGATGGAGAAAGGCAGAAATACCAGATTATCATCATTTCATAGTTTTATTTGTTGATTGTAAAGAAAGCATCTTTCTGTTGATGAACACGAAATGAAAGCCTCTGAGTTATCATTTATCTGTCACCTTTTCAAATCTTCCTCTTCCTTCTTCTTCCCTCTATTTTTTACATCATCACTATCAACGGTATTTTCAGATAGTTTATGCATCATTGGAATGACGTAGGAATAAGCTGTCAACATAAAGGAAAGCAAAATATTAAGGTAACAACAATACCAAGCTCAAGCCAAAAACATTTATCACTTACATTTAGACTCAATTAATTTGTTGCCTTTTCACCCCTTTGAGTGTTGTTTCCCTTTCCTTTCATCAGGTACACATTTTATCATGAAATTTACGTGTTTAACACCTTTTATTTGGTTGGTGTTTGATAAAATACCTTTTTACTTTCATTCAATCAACTCAAGTTATAATTATACCAACCAATCCAAACCTGAACCAGAAACCCTTTCAAAACATTCAACCATTTCAACTGCTTTCATTTTTAACCTCTCAATCCAATTATTTAGATTCAATGCTTCTCAATGTTCAAGTTTCATGAGGAGAAGAGTTAAGACTTTTTTTTGTGCTTCTTTATAAATAATTTATTCAGATTACCTTTTTTTTCTGCTGGAAAAATCATAAAACACAAGACAAGAGTCTAATGAGTACGATAATGATTATGATACTATTTGATTGATATGATCAAGTCATTTGATATCGTCATCATTTCCATGCTGCAATCGTCAGCATGGAGTGCAAACAAACGTCAAATGAATAACTTGTATTACACGTCAAATTAACAGTAATAAGATGCTAAATATTGTTTAATCAGTAAAAACCTGAAAAAGGGAAACTGAACTTTTAATTATTTCAATTGAAACGTTTTATATTTTTTCTTAATCAATGTCAATGTTGAATGTAAATTTGGATTAATGAGGTAAAAAAAGATACTTGATTTAATGCAGAAAATTAAGTTGAACAAGAAAAGTGAAGAGTAAATCATTAATTGTATAATTAACGATTGACTAGCAGATAATCTTGTGATTAGTAAAGTTGAATTGAAAGTGTCGTGATGATTGAGAAAATTGAATAATATAAACTCGATTGTTGACTCTTGAGTTTTTTTCATTGACAATAAAAAGGTGATTTTTATTAGCAGTTATAAAAGTCCTACACAGGGCTCTTGCCGCTCTGGGCTACTTTTGGCCGAGTCTAGACCAACTTTTTAACCTAATTTAGCTTGATTTTGACGTTAAATTAGCGTGGGAACAAAATCTTTATAAAAAACGAGGTTTGTGCCTCGAAAAATCGACTCTCGACAGATTGAAAATTAACTTAATTTATGCAAAACCATGCTAGGTTTTTTCAAAGCTTCAGTAGCATGTCGAGTTTGACCACAGTTGCGCTTCAAAGACGAAATGTTTTGATATTTTCTCGCAAACCGATCATGATAGAGGGCTGATGTGTAGATATAGTTCTTGATTAACTCTAGGAAATCTATTTTCAAGACTTTGATCACGGGATATAACGATTAGGTCGTTTCACTTCAATTGATACTTTATTGATTATGACTTGGTCAGACTCGAACCGATTGGTGCAAAATAATCTTTATATTATCGCTATGACCTTACGCTAATTTTTTCCATGTAACGCATAGTTTCTCTGTTTTCGTGCGTGAACTCATTCAATTGACATTTCAACTACTTTTCTTGATCCAAAAAATGCATATTTTCCTGATAATTTGAGCATTGAATCCTTTTTCAATTAGTATTAACAATTTTTAACTGATTCTACCTTCCATAGACTTAAAATATCAGCAGTTGAATAATTAAGCGAGTTTAATGACATTTTCACTTGTAAGCTAGCAAAAATGCTTTGAAACATAATAATGATATCAAGACCCATAAGATTTGGATTGTATCCTTAAGTCTCATGGTCCATATTCAGCATGATATTGATCAAGTCTTATATCCTCTTGAAGATATTCAATTTATAGACTATTGGCCTCAGAACCATCAGAAAAAGTTGATCACGACCCTGCAAAAGACCGCCATTGTAACAGCAAGGTTGAACGGAAAGGACAGACAAGTCGGACCAGAGGAGGCTTTTTATAACTATTATTTGAACAATTGACTATGAAATGAGCAAAATTCATAATTTATTGACTAATAAAAGAAGAGAAATTTAAGGAAAAAAACATTCAATTTTTGGGTTTGAACCAACATTGTTTTGGTTTTGAGTTGTCAATGAATCCAGCAATTAGAAAAAAATTCACCGTTTAACAAGATTTACCAAAATATTTTGGCAATTACAATTGAGGTTGCAATTAAATTGTACTTTTGACTTTTGTTTAGAGTGAAACAGGATTCATCTTTAACTATCAACTTATAATATGATTAAATGTTTGATGGTCAGAAATTGAAGTTAAATTTGTGCTAAAATGATTTTACAATAATGATGATGATTTGTAAAAGGTAAGCTTAAAAACTAGATTTGATTCCTTTTCAATGAAGAAGCAAAAGAATACAAATATTCAAGTTAATAACCGATTAACTTGTTATAACAACCTGAATCTCATGATAATCATGATTCAATGTAGACCACAATAAGACAACATTAGGATAAATCAATTAGATTACAATTAGGCTGTTAATAGACTCAACTGTTGAACTACAATTAGAGTAACAATTTTGAGTTTACACGAGACTTGGCCTCATCAGCTTAATCATTGAAAGGTAAAATTTCCAGTCTTTATAAGGATTTGATTGAAATTGGCGATGAAAACACAAAATGATTTGTTAATTGTTATCAAGAGCCATACAATAGGATCACTAATCAATAATAAACAATGTTTGCTGATCCACTTGTAATGATAATAACAATTTAAATACAAGATGATGAAAACTCTGACCATAAGATGGTTTTCAAGGGAAAGGTTAATTTTGGTTGACTCAGGCAACAACCAAAACAGTCTTTGAATTGTATGAATTTTATGAAGAAATGAAAGGGAAGATTAAGATGAAATTATGTGAATCTAGCTTAATCATCATCATTATCATGATTGTTGACAAATTCCGTAACAGATTGAATGCGTCGATGGTAATTAATTTTAACCGATTATAATGAGAGCCTCATAAACAGCTTAACAACATTTATCCAGCTTCCAACGTCTTATTTTTCATCAACATTATCACCATTCATTTTGCCTCTTCATCCTCATCAACAATCATATGTATATTTATATAAATGAATACAGTTACTTCATACAATTGTAGTGTATAAATATGTACAAATGACAAACAATCAAAATAATTAGGCAAGTAACCAAGAAAACAAAAAAAACACACAAATTAAACAACTTGTAAGATGCACTTACAATTGCCTGATAGACGAGGCTTTTTTCATCCTTCAAAGTCAACCTTCTCAGGACAAGAGTAACTCAATAGTCAGCTTCTTACGGTAACATTTACAAGGGAAACAAACTTTAATTTGGATTAAATCTAATTACGTAAGATCATTAATATTGTCATTGAGTTGCCAATTAAAGGCTCGGTAGTTTGTTAACCTAAATCAGATTAAATTTGTTTCATGAAAATTTTCAATGTGTGAAAGTTTTTTTTTAATGTTTCTTTCATGTGAATGATGGTCAAGAGCTGAATATGCTTGAAGTGTAAAAAAATGAACGTTATTGATGGTGACGATGATGATGATGTTTGATGATTGAAAAATGATTAGCTTGATCAGGCCTAAGGGTAGGTTTACATTGAAAGTAAAGGTCACCATTTAAAGTTAACAGTTAATTGCAGCCGGATGTTTGATTTAACTTGATCAACATGAGATACAAGTTATTAATGATTGAAAAATGAATCAAAAATGAGTCGGAAATGGTAAATTGGTTTTGTGTTAACGACAAACGAATCAAATCAATTTAATAAGGATAATTATATTACCTAAATTGTAGCTTCAAATTTCTGGTTAAATCGTTAGTCTCTGTGAGAGAGTGTTTTCAGCCTTTTAATAGTCTAATAGTGAAAGTTAATCAACAATTTTCTTGGTTACATCTCAACATCTTTTCTTGGTTCACTTTGACTGGGTTAAATTTACATGATGATCATGGCAATAGTTTAATTTTAATTGTTATTAAAGTGAAAAATTTGTTCATGGAAGACATTTTACAGACAAACTATCTGACAGTTATTTTTTGAGTTTCATCAACTCAAACCCAAAATGCCTATTCTCATTGTAAAAACGTTAAGTTGAGTAAAAATTGTCATATCAATTAATCACAAAATGGTAAAGTTCAATGTGTAAAATGTCATTCCCAGAGTAATGCTTTGCATAATGATATAGTGAGAAGAGAGTAAAGATAGAGGAAAGGGAAGAGAAATGAAGAATGATGAGGATGATAAAAATGAAGGGAAAGATGAATGGAAGAATGTAAAGGCTAAACAAGTAAACGAGCTACGAAACATTCAGTTATGTTTTAAATATCAAAGCCTCAGGAATTCAAACGATGGTGATGATGAGGATGATCAAGAGTAAGCAGATGAAGATGAAGCGAGAGGAGGTGGAAGACCTGTGATGGAAGAGAGAGAAAGAGGAAGACAAACAAAACTGTCGAAAAGAGGAAGAAGAAGAAGAAAGAAAGGAAAACGATTGAGGTTGTAAAATGTGTTCGTCTCTTGTGGGTTTTACTTGATCCTCATCTTCTTGGCCCAATCTCAATGATTTAAAAAGCGCTCAACTCAGAAATTTTATCTCTTTGTATTATCATCATTATCATCATTATTATCTTAATCATCTTCATCATCTTCATTCTCCTTTATTCCTCACCATCTTCCTTTTCATCTTCGTCCTTTTCAAACTCTCACCATTGTTCATCATCATCATCCTTTAGTCGCACCCAGAAGTTGAGTTGAATTGATTTTTAATTTTTATTTTGCGCTTCAATTTTTTTCTCTTCTCGTCTTCTTACATGTTAACTTGAATACATTTACAATCCTCTTACAATCAAATTTTAACAGTTAATCCGTCTTTACTGGTAGTTTGTCACATTTAGTCAATTGCTATTATTATCAGCCATATTGGTTTTATATTATTTAAATTATCTCCCCATCATCCTGCTCATTGAAAGCTCAGGATTGAAGCTTTGCACTCTTTCAATCTTTACATTTATTCAATGTTTCAATTTCATCTTTAGCCATCTTTACATTGTCATTACAAGCTAATCCATGTTGCTATTTTTGTCTCTCCCAGCGATTGATTTAATCATTTAGTATCAAGAAATATAACAACACCAATCCTAATGTTATCATTACTATTGAACAATCAATTGTTCAATTTCAATTTCATACTCAATTGACACTTCATTATCATTACAATTGTCATATTTTGCTTTGGATAAAAAAACCATTTCTCTTCTGTATTTTTGTTCACCAGTTTTGACCCTTTCCAAGAAATTTACTTGATTGCTTCAATCATTGATTCCAATTACAATGCACATAGTTTGGTTCATTCAATTGATTATAACTTGACTAAAACAATCAATTTGATTAGAATCAATAGTCAATTGATTAAAGTTGTTTAATGATGTTCCAATGTAATAAAAATATCATAATAATGTTTACCAAAACTCTTCAAGATTTTTCCGTTCTTCATCTTTAATTGTCAGCCTCAAGGTTTTTGCTTGCTCCTATCTGGAAACACCAAAAATCTGGTGCTCAGGATGATTATGATGAAATATCCTCTCATGATGATGATGATGGTAATATTTAAATTTCTTAATCCAATTTCAATGCCATCAAGTGCAAATTACAATCTGGAAAAGATTCACTTTTTCAATTCAATTTTTGTTGCTCTTTTCAATCAAATTACAATTTGTTAATGTTCAGTTTTTAACCCAAAAATTGGATACTTTACATGATCAGCCTAACTAATCACCTGAACAGGTTAATCATCTCTCTTCTCAGGTTATTACAGTTGACATTTTATTTGATTGATCCAAGTGTTTTCACAGAGGGATAAGTTGTGGGTTCAATTGCCTACTTTTTGGGTTGTCAAATGGGAAACCACTTTTTTGTTCACTTCCATTGATTGATCAACTGGTAATTAACATTCAACACCTTAAACGTGTTTATATCCTCATTTTGGTGTTAATTAAGTGATTAACAGTATTTACTTAGTTTGATTAGCCTTCATTACAATTCAAAGATAATTTTAACAATGTAACAATTTAACAATACCATTTATCCTTGTTTGACATTTCAATGTAAATAAAGTTTTCCTAGTTTGGCTTTACAGTGTTACTTGGGAGTTTAGGAATGAGTGTTTGATTAAACTGCCAATGATAATTTACATAAGTATAATGTATCCCCAATCGCAGTAGTTTATCCTACTAATTAAACTTTAAATGAGTGAATTAGCAAATTGATTGACAAGACAGTCAGTCAGGTTTGAAGGGAAAAAAAGCTAACTTTTTCGCAATGTTTCAATGTAAGGTATGGAGCAGAAAATGGTCTCAAGTTGAATATTAATTAACACAATTAAGTATCAACAGAGTGAGAGACTGCAATTAGCCCAGCAATACTAAATTGGTGAGAGGCTTAAACTTTGAAACATTTAATAGTTGCAAAATTAATTAACTGTTAACAGGGAAAAAAAAGTTGATTTTGTTTGCCTTGTTTTCTGGTTGCTCCTTTTTTGCTCTTCAATTTCGCCTTACCCAGAGAAAAATATCTTTCAGGTTCATTAACAGCATCGGCTACCTGGTAAAACAATTAACAAGATTAAATCAATTTGCATAAATGATTATACATTGAAACAAAATAGTGAAAGGAATGAATAGTTACTGTCAAAAATGATAACCGCGGCGTTGAAAAAAAGATACATGGAGAGCGTATAAAGCAATGGAAGCAGCAACACGATATGAATGAAATAAATTGTCGGTTATCAGTTGATTCAGATTTTATCTGAAAGAGAAGATGAAAGAAAAATGGTGGCTATGATGACCAGATTTTTGTTACTTTTCAGGTTTAATATGGCTGTAACCAACGTTGTTGCTTTGGCGCGCTTTACATAACTTGAAGACCAGTTATGATGAGAATTTCCACATTCTCTCTTCATCTCCTCTTTGATTTTCAATTGACTAGAGATGGCCAACATTCCCTAGGAAATATGTTTGAAACACTGAGAGAAAGCCTTAAGCAAGTAAATCAAGAAGCAAATGTTAATGATACAATTTATTTACCCGTAAGCTAAACAAGGGATCCACCAGAAGCATCCATTGATAGTTAACTCTGTTATCATCATCAGTTTTATTTTTTATTACGTAACGATCCTGGTCTCATTGGCTTGTTATCATAATTAAATCTTCAAGAGAGTCAAATCAAAGTACTACTCATCATGTTGACGATAATAATAATAATTTGTGACAAAGTACGCATTTGAATCCATTTTGAAAACGATGGTAAAGATGATAGTTGAAAAAAAGTATTATTTGACTTGTTTTTGGTTCTTCTCTGTCTTTCCAAGTTTTTATCCAATCTTTCCAAACCCAAAAATGGTCCAATTTTGGTTGAGATTCACTGTATTAAAAAAAACGGAGCAGAAAAATGGACAAAAATCACATTACAAAAAATTAAAGCTAATGTTATGTCAACCAGAAAATTAACAAAATCAAAAAGACAGTGTAAGACTTGAACTGTGAGTTGTCGACCAATTTTCTTTAAATTAAAAGACAGTTAACCAGACAGTTAAGGATTAGAGCGACATTAAGGCGCCAAAAATCATCCAATCACTGATTTAGTCAGTTACCATAAACAAAAGATTATGACTTTCTGGTGCAAGAAGGCAACCAGAAATATTATCTTTAACCTCATTTGTCAGTAATATCGTTATCATATTATATTGCCGAGTTTGTCATTGTTTGAAACAAAAATCACAAGATTTATATTGAATGTATGAAATTATTTTTCTTTTATCTTTTCTTTCATTCCATGTAAACGTTTACCTAAAATTATCAAGATTAGCTTCCAACTTTCTCTTTTCAATTGTTCTCACATCTCTTTTTTGTTGTGTTCATCATCCATTATTAATTAACAATCAAGTCTAAATGTTCATGTTTTCACTTCGTCTTTTCCCAGTCTCTTCAATGAGCACACATTTTGGTTATCAGTTATTAATGATTGCGTGATCCGTAAGAATGAGAAAATTAATTTTGAATTAATCATTTGAATCAACAACTAATGTCAATGGTGTATATATATGTATTAATAATAACAGCTGATCTGTCATGGTTAAATGATTTATCATTGCATGATTGTCAAACCCTCTTGAGATGAAAGCAAGATGAACATTCATATTAGTCCCAAAAGTGTTTCTGCCCTTATTTTGATCAAGTCATCATCAACATTTTCTTGACTTAGCTATTTTGAAATGAAAAAAATTATGAATTGATTATGATCATTGAATAAAATTGTTCAACTTTTTTTAGCTTTTGACAAGCAATTCTGACAGCAACAGCTAAACGTGTAACTTTGACTTGGATCAAAATGCACATTTAACAAATTAATGCTATTCTCAATGGGAAATTGGTGTTGTCTGATCATTTAAACCTAAAAATTGTGACTCTTGTAATTGAAGTTTCATCACTTTGTTTTTATTCATTTTTCATAAATCAATGATGATAGATACAATAATTATAAGTAAATAGTTCAATAAGTCATGATTGTAAAAAAATGAATGAGCCACAAGAGATCAAATAATGATGATAATGATGACAACGATGGCAATTGTGGTTGAACAAGAAAAGTGAAGAGGAAGAAGGAGAAGGGAAACATAGAAAGACAGAAGCTGAGACAAGAACGAAGAAAGTAAGAAGAGTTGAAGAGATGATTATGGAAGTCGTCCAATTCTGTATAAAGAAATTGTATTTATGACCGACAACAGGGTTTATTTGAGAGAGAGAGAGAGAGATGTGGAAGACGAAGATGACGAGAAACTGGAGGAGTTTTAAAAGGCAAGTAACAAATAAACAATTGCAATATGTCATTATCTTTAAAGTAAAGGCAAAGGCTAATTCACACCAACATGTGACGCTGAATTTGAGTAAATACCTGGTATTTTTTTCGGGTTCCAGTTATTAAAGAGGATAAAAATTTTGGACCTTTTTTCGCTAATCTTTTAATCTCAAAGCAAACAAAGACACCAGCAAGTGGAGGTTTCATAAAAATTTCATTAACCTACAAGAGTAAGAGTTCGCTGTTTTAAGAGAACAAGAGTAAAAATGAAACAAAGAACAGGTTAAAAGCGAAGAAGAAGGGGAAAAAGTAAGAATTGGTCGAGTCCTTGACGGACCAAATGAACAGGTAAAGACTTGGTTCAAATTAATCAATCCAACTTGACAGTCAACAACTTTCACTTTGAGATTATCAAAATATGTGATGAAAATTATCATCACACTGTCATCAGCTAAATACTCATTGGTTTACAATTAAAAATCATCTGATAATCTTGTAATAAGTTATTATTGAAGTTTCAAATACCTACAGTAAAGTGTAAATTGATTGGTGAAGATGGTTTTTCAGCTAAAGTTGCAAAAAAAAGTGATGATGAACAGTTTGAAGTTGAAGGTGAAGTTGTAGATTAAAGAAGGAGAAAAATATCTTAAACCATTTGACAATCCAAATTTCCATGGGAATTATCATAATCACAATTAAATCACAGTAATCAGAGAAAAGTTTATAAAGATTATCATGTTGATTTTTTATTAATAACAAGATGAAAATTGAGAGTTTACTGAAAAGGTAAAAAAAGAGGTGAAGAGACGAGCAATTGTCAAAGTTTGTCACATTATCATTGCTATAGTCAGCCATATTGTTTACATATTTTTCTGGTTCAACTTTTTCCCCCTTTTTTGCACCTTTCCCCTTCTTCCCGCTCAAATTTAGCCAATTAGCTATTATTTAATAAGCACCAAGTTGAAAGCAAGTGTTATAAAAACAACGTTATAAAGTAATATTATAAAGTAATCTTTAATCAATAAACTTACCTAACAGTGATTATCTAAATCTGTCTACTATCTACTGTCAACTGTGTATTAATCTGTAATTAGTGAAATTACACCTGATCAAAGTATAAAACCGTAATAAACCAGTAAAAGTAAAGCCTTGTTTTTTTCCTTGTCTTGTGTTAATCTGGTGTTGTAAGTTTTGTTTCATCTTTCATCGTCTGTCTACCGATTTCTTGTCATTTTCATTTTATTTTCATACATTTTATCTCAACTCTCAGAGATATAAGTATTAAAATTGCGGAAATCGACTTTTCAACAAATTATGATTACGCATAATTATTCAAAAAGCACTTGGTTAAATGATTATTGATGATACAGATATATGAATAAGATATGCCTTGTGAAAGTGTAATCTGGCCAGTCGATAAGATATTGGAAAAAAAACATTTTTCAACTCTAAAAGGTTTGTTTAAACTCTACTTGGACATACTTCATTATACTTTATCTTGATTTAAATTGTTTCTTATCTCCTCTAGGTGGTAATAGGATGAAATCATGATCCAAGTGTGTTACCTGGTTGCTGTCACTTGAAACAGTTTAAGATAGGGTTTAAATGAGCGAAGATGTTCAGTGAAAGAAAAGGATGGAAAGGAGAAGAGAAGAGATACAAAATGGAGGGAAAACAAGGATGAATTCAAGGCAATTTATGCTCCGGACAACTTATTTTACACAGGGAATGAGTTGATTGTTAAGAAGCAATCAAGTTGATACAAGAGTTTGAAGACCATATATTTGAACGTGTCTTGTTTACCTAATCAGGACTGATTAGCCCATTATTGGATCCTGTTGTGTGTTCTCAACCCTTGGAAGCAAAAAAAACAAGAAGGAAAATCAGAGAGTAACAAAATCTTCAACTCTCTTTCATCTGGATCGTTCTTCATTTCGCCATTGCTACTCTAGATAACTCGTCTTTAGTAAGGACTCCTTACCTGGCTGACTTATCAAGTATCAACCTTGAATGCAAATTTTTATCTCGATCCTTTGAACGATTTCAATATTGTATCAACTCAATGTATCTTACCTGATCTCTCGCTTTCCCTTGCTCTCACTCACTGTCTTCATTTTACCTTTTTATTTATTCACAACATACTCGCATGAATTTCCAGGCTTTACTGATGAGATCACCGCATTTTGCTCTCAATCAACCTATGAATTTAACCTGAAATGTTGTCTTATAGCAATTAACATTAATGCTAATTGTATCCGGATGTGTCTGGCCGCCAGTTTACCTTTGAAAATTATTTTTTCAACCTTTTCTTAACTCTATTCATTTTCTTACCCGCTCTTGTACTAACTGTGTTGACTGATCTCTTTCTGCCTCTGTCTCTCTCTTTCCTTCCTTACCTATTTTTGTGATAATATTATCCCACTAACAATAACGAAAAATAACAATTAAAAGCATGAGACCAAGAAAACAGCAATAACCATAATGATAATATTATAATAATAATATATTGCAATAGACAGGAAAAAGACAAATGTGCTCACTAAACATGTGTTTATGTCAGGTAAAATTTTGTCTCATTGCAAGTCTCTCTGTTAACCTCTGGGCCAGGTTAAAAGCAATAAGGTGTTAAGGTGAAAAATGCCTTTCATTTCTGTAACTTGATTAATCTATTATAATAAATGATGTTGCCATTACAAAACAGTTGCACTTTGCAAAATTATTATTTTCAATGTCCATTAGTAAATACCAGATGACTTATAATTTACAACCAATCAATCTTTTCTTACCCCCAGCCAATAATAACCATTCAATGAAGGTAATTTGATTGAAATCACAATCTAAACGTAAATAAATTATCTATTCATAATAATGTTACAAAATATATTGAATGTTCATAAAGAGATGTTAACTGTTTCAATGATGAAATAAACTCCATTTCTGAGCGTAAACAATGTAAAAAGTGATTTTTACATGTGATAATGTTGTAGTGTTGTGTTTTAACATACACAGTTATTCATGATGATGATAATGATGATTATGGTTTTGGTGGGAAACTGGGAAAATGTATAAACGATGAGGATATTGAGAAGGAATGAGAAAATGATGAAGACGATGACTAGGAAGATGAAGATGGTGATGAAGATGGTAATGGTGAAAAGACTTCAACAAACTCTGTAAAACTCATGAATTGGCCTGTATTGAAGCCAGAAAATTTGATTGTTGTAAAGATTAAAGTTTCTTCATTTAAAATCGCGATTCTCATCATCTTCAGACTTTTATCACTTTCAACTATTTTCATCTTCAATATGAAAGACACAACAACAAAAAAAACAGTCAAATCAGTTTGACATAAGCTTGTAAATATCTCAGGGGAACTTGAAAAATTTCAATTGCATGAAAGTGATAGACTTTTTTTGTTGCTCTTTTCACACAATCTAATCTTTAATTCCCAAAGACTGATAAATGAGGAGAGACACAAAAAATTGTGTCAAATTTATTTGCTAATAACAATTTTGGGTAAAAAGCATCAAACCCAAAACCAAGTTTCAAGAAAGTCTCAACCAGAAACAAGAAATGTCACTTTTAAATGTTTCCAGTTTACAATCAAATGATAACCTAATGAAGGTTTAAACTCTCGGTAAATCTCAGACTTAATCAGTAACCATTGAAACGAGGAAAACAAAACCCAAATGAAGATGATGAAGAAGAAGAAGAAGAAGAAATGAAGAAGCATAATTTTTCCCTCTCATTTACCTCTGAATTACTCGACTCATGGTTCCTCCATTGCTTCATCATCATCCTCATCCTCAGCATTTTGATGATGCCAAATATTTCGCCAACCCAAAGACAGTTGAAAGTAGCAAACAAATGTAACAATACAACAAGTACAACAAAAAAATAACAACAAAACACAGATTACTAAATATTGCCTGATTTTTTGTTGCAGCCTTTCAATTGGCAAGCAAGAAAAAAAACTGTCAAACATGTTAATCATGATTACATTTCGTCATCATCTTGATTACTCTGTCAACTTATATCTGTCATTTTATCCTCCTCAGTCTTACAACTTTTTTAACAAACCATTTTCATCAGCAAAAGGTATGAAAAATGTTACCCAAAAAACAAGGGTTAAAATATCTCACTGGTTTTATCAACAAAGATGCAAGATAATTTCATGTCATCATTTTTTTGCTTCTTAAACCCTTTTCGGGTTGTGATTTTTTTTCTCTTCATTTTTTGTTTCTTTCTTGCACAAAAATCAAATCTTTTGAGTCATAAATATGTTTTTTACTTTGATACTTTTTCATGCTGTTTGTGCTGTTTATGCTGGTTGTCCAAGGTTGTTTCCTTTGAAGGACAATTTGACAGAAAGAGTAAGCAAGAGTTAGTGAAAGTGAGAAGCGTTTCTGCGTCAATTAAGGTCACTTGGCTAACAACGAGAGATGCAAAAAAAGCCTGTAAGCCTCATTTTTCCTTGGGCTTATGGGGTTAAAGTCCTGATGCAATTATAGTCATACACTCACACAACTGGAGTTACCTTGTTTTTTTTTGTGTTCAATCTTTTTTTTGTTGTTGCTGTTGTTCAAAGAGCCTCGTTCGTTCGTTCGTTTGCTCCGTTGCTTGAGCGAGGTTAGACTTGATTTCTTTTCTCATTATTTTCATCATCTTATTAATTTCCATTCTTTCACTCTTGAATTGGTTGAGTTACGAAGGTAAGACCAACAGTTTACTGGTTTTAAAAGCACCACCAGCAGCAGTAAAAGCACAGCTCGGTCTCTTTTTTTTTGCTGCTTCCCTCTGTATTTTACCAGCCAGTAAATGAGCAAATTTGTTGCTTTTTTTCTTCCATTTCTTCTTCTTCTTCTCCTTTTTTAGCTTTGTAAAAGTCTCACTTTTGCTCATCGTCAGTGAATAATATTATGAAATAATTGAAAGTTGACTGACAACAGTAACAACTGAGTAAATGATTACTATGAATATATAATAAATTAGTTACCTTGAAGAGTTAATCGAAGGTAAAAATGAGAATAAGCAGTCAACAGTAGAAACAATAATAACAAGAATCAAGAGGTAATCAAATGAAAAAGGTAAACAACACACAGGGAAGGTGAAAGCTGAGAGAAGAAAAAAAATGTTAAAAGAAAAAAAAGCCTGAAAAATGAGGTAAAATAAGGTAAAATAAGGTAAAAGTAACTGGAAAAAAGTATCAATTTTGTATAACGTATTGCAATCCAATGTACATTTAGATACATTGTTTAAGATTAAAACACTTCGCCATTTAAATCTAATCTTATCAATTGCTCTTAACTCTTCCTGCTTTTATCAATTTCAACCTTTTCTTTGTCTCATCATGATCATCTTCTTGCTCATCATCATTATCATCTTCCTCATTCTCTCATCTTCCCATTATGATGATTACCTTTTAACCTTTTCCAATCTTTTTGTGTTTATTAGTGTTATTATGATTTACATCTTTTGATATCTTTTGATAGCTTTCACTTTGAGCTCTTTTCATAGTAGGATCTCCGTTTTTTTTCATGTTAACGTTGTTAATGATGATGATAAAACAAATAAATAGTGAGAGGATGAGAAGGGGAGAAGAGAGAGTCAAGATGATAATCAATTGTTACTCTTATAACTTGTTTCTTGGAGTTATACATTTTGCTTTTACCATTATCATTATTACATTTCAACTGGTGTTTGTTATTAAATTATGGTTTGACTTTTCACTTGATTGTTGATGGATATAATAATAATGATGATGAGGAGGATGATGATGATTATCAATGGTAATCAAATAGAGAGTGAACCAGAAAAAAAGTGCAACCTTTGACAATAGACTGTACAGTTCATGATTTTGATAGATTTTTTTTCTTCTTCTTCTGTTTATCGCTTTTGGGTTACCTAAAAGTGTATTACCTTAACTCAATGTTAATGATGTTTGTGTGTTTTTCAGAGTGTTTTTCTTGTATACTTGTGTGTGTTTTTGCTTGCCTGCTTCTTGTAGGTCTTGAAGTTTGTTATGTCTCTTATATACTCAGGGTTACCACTAGAAACCCAGCAAATATTTATAAATATATATCAAATGTAAAGTGAAACCTTCGACATCTTGTCAATGACCCTGTAACCTTGGGAAAAAGGCCTATTTTTGGACAAGGTTAGATGTTACTGTATTTTGTGTGTTTCCAGACTGACTATTATACTCTTGGGTTGACTGTGAGTGGAAGTGGTTGTGGTAATGGTGTCTGAATGTATTTTGACGTTTCACTTGAAAACAACGTTTTGTTGATAGTGTGTTGTTGACTTGTATTAAACATTGTAAAACAAAACAATCGAGACAATGATCATCTTGCGAAGAAAGTTGATCAGTTTGATTGTTAGATTAGATTCAGAATCAACCTTCTTGTTTGGGTAAAATTTTGACAGTCGCTAACAGTCTCGATCTAGGGACAGAGGAGGGACTTTCATACCTGTTTCAAAGACATTTAAAAGGGTGACACAGGCAAACGTGAAAGAGCTGCGAGCATTGAGCACCATTGGACATCGATAAGGGCTTATTTCGATAAGAAAATTGTAATTAACGGCACCAATAATTAACCAGAAGCCAAAGATGGACTTAATTACAATTTTTCTCACCAAAGTCTTTATCGATGCCCAATGGTGCTCATTCAATGTTTGCTCATTACACATTTGCCTGTGTCACCCTTTACTATCAAATAGCTGATGTCTTTTTGAATGCTGAGGATAGAATGGTCACAAAAATTAAAATTTAACTATAATTAAATTCAATTAATCGAAATTAAATGTTAAAATAATAAACAGAAAAAATAAAACCAGAAAAACAGACGAGTGAGAGTATTGTCTGGTTATCCGATATCGTCTGACTTATTGTCTCCTTTCCTTTAGTTTGATTTGATAAGTATGAATTGAAATAATTAGTTTTTCAATACTTTGAAACTAAAAAATTTGGTTTCTAAGTTAAAACAATTAAATGAGTCGATTTTGTTAAACATTTCAGTTTAATCGCACGATTAAACAGTCCACTGAACTAAAAATATTTTGCTTACTTGATATGTTTTGAATGGCATTGGTTTAAAACAGTGTGAAATATAAAACATGTGTAAAAGCCCAACCTTTGTCCTCAGACTGTTACCAATTTTTCTGGTGAATCCGTTTGACATTTAGATAGATTTTGTTTTACAATTTATTTTTAAATATCAGCTCGAGCTGGATGCTTCAACGCAAACCAAGTGTATTTACTTAATTGATTCATATTAATCAAATGTATCAATCAGATTAGGTTTAACATTGACTCTATGGTTGATTGGTATGGATCCTTTTCAGGGACAAGATGATCATGATGAGAGAAATGGAGAAAGTGAAGATAAAAATAGACAGAAGAGTGGAAAAGAGAATGAGATGATAATGATGAGCAAGATGATGATGATGATGATGATGCAAATAAGCAAGGATGAAAATGGTTAGAGATGAATGGTTAAAACATGAGTTGAAATGAAAGATGAAGAAGAAAGATAAATTGAAGAGAGAACAGTTTTTCCCTCTTTTTTCCTCTTTCATCTTCCTAAGAGATTTAAAGGATTTAAAAAGTGGAGTTACTTAAAAGTGTAAATAAAATTAGTGGAAAGTAATCCTTCAAGAAAAATCATCCTTTTCTTGCTTCTTCACTTTTATCTTCACAAACAGTTTCACTCTGACTATCTCTTTCAAATTCATCTTATTCTTGTCAGTTCATTTCATCGTCTTAAAATAAACACCAAAGTCTGTAAAGGCTTAACAGGTACGCTAGACTTTGTAAACAAGCAACTGCATCTGATCGCCAGTTGAAAACATTGATTCCAATTGAATAAAAAGAGCATCATTTACGAATTGAATTGATAATGAAATACGGATCGCCAGGTATGTTCAACAGTAATCTTTGCAAGGCCACAAATTCAAGGGAATACATGCAAAAAATAAAGTAATAATAGTGAATGGTTGAGATAATGATAACGTCAAAATGAAGGTTACTTGAAATGTTAACAAACTTACATTCGAACCACTTTTACTGGACTTTTTTCTCCCTCGACGCCTTGACGAGTGTTGGTTTGGCCTGAATTATGGGTACTTTTAGCTCATCATGGACATTTGGATATCCTTTGAGTAAAAACTGGTTTTGGGTCGTTGATATGGTTGAATGTCATCTTTACCAGTGTTGGATAATCATTATCCTGATCATAATTGAGAGAAACACCAATTTCAACTACTTTTTCTTGTTGATCCATGATTACCTTTACTGCACTTTTCTGGTGCATTGCTTAACAAAATGACTCCCACAGATTGTTATTAATGTTATTTAATTAATTACAATCAGCGAGTAACTTGCGTATTTCAGGTTGAAATTGTTTGAAAAGGCGCAAAGGTTTATTGACTGGTTGTGTGTGTGTTTTGGTTTTGTTTTGTTTTCCCTCTCTACCCATTTAGGTTGTTTGTTGTCTTTGGTTTGGCAGTTGTTGTTTTAGAGAAAAAAGTAAGATGATAATTAATTAATTGTAAATGCTTTTACAAATAATTACAAGCTTACTTATTCATTAATAAATCTATTTGATGTTGGCTTGTTGTTTAGGTTGTTTCTGATTGCTTACTGTTTGTGTGAGCCAGGTAAAAAGAGTTATAATGTAAATATTGATTGGTGTTTACTTGCATTTGGTGAAGATGAACAAGAATCTCTCTCTCTCTTGGATTGATGGATGAAAATTTATGAATCCATTAATTTGCTTTACCATCCACATCTTTCATTGCAACTTGAGAGGTTTAAGAGTTTGACAATTAGCTGAACAAGAGTAGGGAGGATAATCGTGAATGTGATTACAATCAAGGGAAAGTAATGATAAAAATTAACACACTTTCTCTCACTTTAAACGATGATGACGAGGACGATGATTAAGATGACGAAGACAATTATTGATTATGGTGACGATGATCATGTTGATGATGAGAGATGATGAGATGATGAGAAGAGGCAGCTCGAATCAAGTGAGGGAAGAAATCAAAAGTAATTATTTTCCAAAACCTTCAAATCGTGCTGCATCAACAATTTTTTGTCTAAAGGTTTCATCTCCTAGAATCCAATCCAGTTGAGGCTTTCACAATAAGTTGAGATTATTCAGGCTCTATCAACATCTTAATATGCTGCATGAATGTTTCATTGCTTCATCCAAATTTGAAGATTATCAGTCTCTTGATTGGAATCTAATTACAAATCTTGAACATTTTGAAAAAAAAACTCTAGAAAAGAAGAGGTTTATTTCCTACTCTCTTTCTCTCTCTCTCTTTTTCATCTTCTGATATCTTTTGGTTTAACCTAAGATGAATATAATTGAGATAGAGAATGAAAATTGCTGATTCTTGGTCTGGTTATTTTTTTTTTGTTTCACATGTCTTCACTAATCTAACAAATTAATAGGATAATACGGTAATTTTGACTTTGAGACTCTGGGTTAAGAGAGGATGTTTGATTCCATGATGTTAAGTACCCACTACAAGTTACAAAACTCCAGTATCAGTGTTGATCATCATCTTTTTAGCATCTCGTCATCATTGTGGTTGTTGTTCAGGTTGACACCGTCGGCTTTCCTCTTCCTCCATCAATAAACGCCTCAAAGGACATCTCCAAACATATAGTCGAACCTGATAAAGTATGAGAAAAAAAGAGAAACTTGAATTGATTAATTTGTTCCTATTTGATACACTTGAACCTCCAAAGTGGTCCATTTATTATTAATCAATCTTCAACTGAACAGATCTTACCAAATTTAAGTTAGTTAATTTCATTGATTGAATATTTAACAAGAATGAAAATCAGGAAATAGAGTAATTACCAGAACAGGGTAGTTGGAGGATTCAGTCAAATAAATAGGGAAACATTAGGATTGATAACACAATTTTACATATGTCAAGACTTTGTAATATTTTTTCAACTGCCATCTATTGATTCAACTAATCTGTGAGAGCCAAATTATTGACGTGAGAAATAAATTCAATTAAAAGGGAAAATTGAGATTATCGAGAAGCTTATTTGCTTTAAAAATTAACACATCTGTCAATTAGATTAAATGGACATAATACTCTTAATCTAATCTGGTTCACCAGGTTCTGGTCATTAGAGGGTTAACCAGTTGTTTACCCAAAAAATTCATCAGAAGTTGGAAAAGGGTTAGATTTCAACAGATTAACCATTTAAAAGGATTGATCAATTAGAAAGGCTTTCTTTAACTTGAACTGTTAATCAGTTTTAACAGGATTTTGATTATAAGCTAATTGACTTGGAAATCTTAGCTCGACTGTTAACTTTTTTGGGTAAACTGTTCAGGGATAATTTGAAAGTTGAGCAATTGGCATCAAAGCGCCATGTTGACTAGACTTTTTTGGCAAACGAATCAATGTAAGAAAAAAAGCGGGAGATGAAAGGAGAAAGGAAATAAAGAAAGGGAAGAAAGAAAGGGAAGAAAGAAAGAGAAGATCTTTAAACTTATGTGAAGATTTTTAAGAGAAAGAGAGAGAGAAGAGAGGAGACGGGGGAAATGTAATGGGGAACTGAAAAGTTGTCTCATTGGTTAATTTAGACTCTCTTTCGTGTCTATGTCGACAGAGACAGAGGCTAAGTTTTTAAAGAGAGTAGAGAGGGAGAACGATAAGTGAGTATAAGTGAGAACCAGAAGATTAGAGAGTTTTTGGAAGATGAGAGAGAGAGAAAAAGAGAGAGATTTCAAACATCAAAACAGGGTTGTTGTTGGAGTGAGAAGATCAGAGTTTGCTGTTGAATTGAAGTGGCATGTTGTGTTTTTGACTGAAAATTTTTTTTTGTTTTTTCTTCTTTCTTTTTTTTCATCCTTTTTTTGTTTTTTTTTTGTGTTAAATAGTTTTTCATTATCATCCATCATCACGGAGTATTTACGGAATACCAGTAGTAACCCAAAAATGAAAGCCAGCCGTAAAAGGCGCGGTAATTTGCCAAAGGAGTCTGTCAAAATTTTACGTATCTGGTTGTATGATCATCGTTATAATGCTTATCCTTCTGACCAGGAGAAGTTGTATCTCTCTCAAGCTGCCAATCTCACCGTTCTCCAAGTTTGTAATTGGTTCATTAATGCTCGTCGTCGTATTCTTCCAGAGATGATTCGTAAAGAGGGCAATGATCCTTTAATGTACACTATTACTCGTAAAAGTTCTAATCGTCGTCAAAATAACAATTCATCTGACTCATTTTTTCATGGCTCAAATTCATCTTCATCTGACGAAAATTTTGCATATATTTCAAATAATGTTGCCGTGGAGGACGCTAATATGACGTATGTGATCTTTTTCTTGCCTTCTTATCACGAATTGTTTTTTTGCCTTTTCCTCTCTTCCCTCTGTTTTTTCTTCTATTCTTCTCTATTTGTCTTGTATTCTAGTACGAGACTTGTTTTAATTAATCATCGTCACCTTATGACACATTGTGTGTTTGTGTGTGATTACTAACTTCAATTTATCGTCAATCATGTTTTTTTTCTCTGTTTTCTTTTCTCTATATTCCAGTGAGTGCAATGAGGATACTGAGAGTGACATAGATGTTTATTCTGATGATTGTAGTATTAGCAGCACTTCCTCATCCACTCTTACGTTCACTAGTACATTTAGTCCCGCACCATCAACAACATCATCCAGCGGTAATTCTTCATGGAACGGTATGTTTATACATTTCTCTGTTTTATGTCTTAATTATATGTATTTAAGATTAAATTAAGACTTTGACATTTGTTATTTCATAGTTTGATTAGTCAGCATTATTTCTTGACTTCTTTTTAATGGTTATCTTATCATTTCTTTTCCTCGTTCTTCAACCTCTTTTGATTTTTAGCAGAACATCATCCCATTAAATTATCACAGCGTTGGAGACGCAATCACGAACAAGAACTTCGTAACAGACAGGGTAACAATCGACCTGGTATGGAATCTAACGGAGAAGATTTGAGAGCTTCTCCATTGGACACCTTATCACGAACTTCACTCCAGTTTTCCTGTAGTCCACCCAACAAGACCAAAGCCATAGCTTCATGGCTAACACAGAATGACCCACAACTTGGGTGTCATGTTGTTGACCTACCCGCTATCCATCCTGTCGATATTTGTAATGCTGATTCAGGTATCGTCTCATCAGATTCACCATCTTCAGCACCTTCATCTCCATTAAGCTCATCAACATCATCCTCAACTTTATCAAACTTATCAGTCTGTTCATCAACTCTGTCATCCTCATTTCCATCTCCATCCAACACATCTGACATTAGCTCACCAAACAACGAGGATCCTTTCTGTTGCCTTCACATTCTTGCTGCAGCCGCATGCAGTGAATTAGAAAAACAATCTATGCTTTAAAAAAGTGTGTACATTACTGTACTTTCATCGAACAAACTCTCAATCAATGAAAAGTTTGACGTATTTTGCAATTCAGAGAATGCTAAATTTATCAACAAAACTTTTTTTTCAGCCACAATCAATAACAATCATCATTTAAATTTAAATGTGAAACTTTTTTCACTTTTCCATTACACGCTTGAATATGTTTAAAAGTTTTCTCTTTTAAACAAATTTACCATTAATATCACCCCAAAACCCATTACTAGAGTTGACATTTCTCAGTTCAATCGCGCTCCAAGTTAAATATGTATCTTTCAAAATTCGCGCTCAATCCTGTTCATTATTCATTATCAGTCCATTCTAGTTTGTCAACAGTGTTATTCTTTGGTTAAACAATTTCATTTTTTCATTAGAAACCTCATCCTTAATTCTTGTGCCTAGGTTTAGTCATTTTATCTATCCATCTTATGTACTTTATCAGACTTAGTGTGATGTCTTGAATCACACCTTGTGTATTATAAAAAAGGGACGACAAACTTTATTGGATTGACTGTATTTTTACAGTTTTCAAATTTTCAAATTAAAAACAAATTATATGTGTTACACTTGCTTTTTATTGTTTCATCAATTTTATTTATGATTTAACATCCCTACGTTTACTTTGTTTTTAATTCCCATTTTCAAGATAGTATTGATGGTAACAATTGAAGTTATTGTTTTAAGGTTTATGATAAAAATCATCCCAAACATAACATCGGTAGCGATCTTGATTTATTGTTGAAATTGCCGCTTTATTTACGCTTAATTCCTTGTAATAGGGTAATATGCGACCAGTTGATGTTGATTGGTAAGGAGTCCAATTGACATTTCCATAGTGAATGAATCTAGACCAAATCAACATTGCCGCGGTTGATATTTGTCTATCTCTATCATCGTAACCATGACTAGCATAATGAGGAACCCCGAAATAAAAGAAGATGTCCAGTCCATGACGAGCTCCATATTTACGTCCAGTAACCAGAGGTGGTAAATTTTTACTGGCTGGATTCATTGTATAGCCAAATAATGATACCCAAACCGGATTGGTTAATGATAGTTGGTCGGCAAAGTACAAAGTTGGACAAGTGATGTACCAATCACCAAGCATTCGTCTCATGGATAGGTCTATCAAAGCCATTGATGAATCTTTAAAGCCAGTAAGGTATACTTTGGACAAATCGGCGGTAACATCTTCTGGCGAAGCCAATTCTCTAGTGACAAGTGTTGGTGCTATTGATTGGATATACTTTTGAAATGTCTCGTATGAATTTTGTGTACCCTTTCTTGGCCAATAATGTTGAATGACAGACGCTTCATCAGTAACCAATGAAATGTAAATTGGAATTGATTTTTTCCATTTACGCTGTTTGTAAAGCTCGGTGAAATTTGCTGGGAAAAGTGTCTCTCCGGTTGTTATGAGAAACAATTCAGGTCTTTTGGAATTTAATTTCTCCTTTTCAGTTGCAAGTGCTGTTTGGGCCAACAACAATTGAACCGTTGGTAAATTTTGTAAACACTGGAGCACGTTGGAATCAATTGGTTGATCAACTCGTCTACATGAAGTTTTTAATGAAAACAATTCACAGCGACGTTTAGCTTTCTCGACAGGCTCACTGTAGACATCACTCATAATTCCAGAGTGAGCAATCAAACCAGAAGCGTACTTATTAAGATGACCGCCGAGAAACAATGAAGTAACCATATTACCTCCAGAGCTTAAGCCGTTGATTGTTATCCTGTTTGGATCACCTCCAAATAGATTAATATTAGAGTGAACCCAATCTATTGCCATTAGAGTATCATAAAGACCCATATTACCCGAAATTGATTGTGGATCACAATAGAGCCAGCCTAAAGCACCTATGCGAAAGTTAAATGTCACAACAATAAATTCACCTGTTGATGCTAAATGAGCGCCATCCATGAAATTAGAGTCACCAGCCGATAGCATAACTAATCCACCTCCATGAGCATAAACCATAACTGGTAGACCTTTGTCATTGTTTTTACTCGTTTTTGTAACATCATACCAATTGGAGGATGAAGAAGCCGACGATGATATTCGAGGAACCCAAATGTTTAAATAAAGACAATTCTCACTTCGAACAATCAATTTACCTGCTCTTTTTAAATCATTTCCGATGTATGGTTCAGGACATGCCGGTGAATATTCATTAGTATCAAGAGTTGAGTTCCAAGGTGTACTTAACGGCAATGGAGGACGAAAACGGTTCGGACCGACTGGTGGCTCTGCATAAGGAATCCTTAAATATGTATCCACCAATTTATCACCGACCCTTTCTGTAAATCCTCTAATTATTCCCCATTTTGTGGTAATTTCTGGTGAAGTTATTGTTAAACAATTAACCAATAGATTTGTAAGACATAACTCTATTATCGTGGATTGGATTAATTTTACAAACATTGTACCTATTTACAAGTGGATCATTACATTTGGATTGAGCTGGATAGAGTTTCATTGTGGAAAACACTTTCACCATTGACGATACAATTTCAAGAGGAAAAGCGATTCAGGATTCGCAACAGTAAATCATCATTTCTAATTGAGGAAAAATCTGTTGATTTCGCTTTCCTTTGTTTTTTGATTTATAGCTTTCATCTGATGACATTCAAATTTTGAAGTTTGCCCCCTGAAAATTGTAACAAAATTAACTTGAAAGATTCCAAGATGTTTATTTCCAAATTGACTTAGCAACAAGTGATTTAATTGCAATCCGTCTCAAATATTCACTAAATAAGGCCAAATTATTTAACCAGCGATGGGTTTAAATATATCAAGTTATCCTTAGATACAGCAATGAAGAGTTTAAATTAGCCTCAAGTTATGAACTTGCTACTTGTAAAATGTTATTTAAACGCAGTTTTCAACTAATTAATCAACTTAAAAAAAAGGTTACTAGACGGTAATCAATTGAGATAAATTGTTTAATTAAATTAATACTATTTTATCAACATTTTGAAGCATAATAGTTGATTAAATGTGTCATCAGTTTGACGGCAAAAGATTCATGTTAATTAATGTTGATTCAACTGAGTGATTGGCTTAAAATTAAAGCTTATTTTGTCTTTTTTATTGAAAGAACCAGTAAATCATAATTGTAAGAGTTTAATTTTTACTAAATTATTTTAACAGCTCAATTAAAATAAAGCTTTATTCATTCAATACAATCAATTGTATTTTACAAATTGCTCTATTTATATTTGATAACATGGTCAATGTTTCAATACTGAAGCTGTGAATATTTTTGACTCTTAAGAGTTTCCTCTAATGATCAAGTTGGTCTGTTACTGTTGATTATAATCACTAATATACTTAATTCATTGTATCATTGCTGAGTATCTTTAACGATAATCTGGAAAATAGAGAGATAAGGAAAGAAGATCTTTAGAAGTGAGTTGCACATAAAGTCCCAACAAACTGAATTGAAGTCACTCGCCAATCAAGGCTTTTTTATTAATAACTTTTGTGTTTTATTTCAACTTTTTGTGCTGTTAATTAAGGTGGCCTTAATGATACAGGATAAGCTCATCAAATTGTCAATTGGATATTCACTAGAAATAAACGCGATTTACTTTGATTAAGGAATAAATCAATTCTCTTCGCAACAAAGTAAGGTTACTATAAACAGTTTTTTTACTGTAAAAACAGATGAATTATAACCAGTTATTTGAGACAAATTTAACTCGATCTGAACTCGTTCGTATGAATTAAAGGAAACAACATGATTTAATTCGATTTAACCTTATTGAAAGTGCCATTTTAATTGTTTTTAATCGCAAAACCAGATTAAATTTACTTGTGCCATTCATTATTATTTGGTATTTTCCCTCAAGCAGACAGCCTTGATAGTGTTTGAAAGCAATGATTTTATTACCAAGGCCTAGTCATTTGAATCGGATAAAAGTTAATCTTGGTTTAATTTTTCGAAACAATAACCTGCATCGGAATAATTATCAACCAATTGGACACCGTTGGTATCACACAAAAGATGTTTTCGGAGTTAAATCATTTGATAAGGATAGGATAGCCACTGAAATGTTGATTAAGCGTATTGTTACCAATGAAAGATCAACTTCATTTGTTAATATGGTTGTTGATGAGTTTCGCTCCAAGGGACATTTATTGGCTTCAACTAATCCATTAGGACCCTCAAAAGCAATTGAACCTAATCACTCATCAACCGAGCTTCTTCGTAGATATATTGAACAATACCAAGATGATCATCATACAGAAATTAATGCCAATGATTATACCAATTTAGATTTGGGACGATGCTCATTGGGTGAACTAATACGAACCCTTGAAACTGTTTATTGTTCATCTGTTGGAGTTGAATTTATGCATCTCAGTGATTTAGGTGAGCGGGAATGGTTTGGCTCGGAGTGGGAAAAAATTGGTCTTAGTGAAAACAAGTTGACTGATCAAGAGATTCGCGAAATGTCATTAATATTATTGAAATCTGAGCTTTTTGATAAATTTGTTGCCACCAAATTTCCAACAGTTAAACGTTATTCAGCTGAAGGAGCTGAATCAATGTTAATATCATTAGACACTATTTTAAAGACTGCTTGTGTTGATTATTCCGTTTGGTCAGCTATTATAGGAATGCCCCATCGTGGTAGACTCAATACGTTGGACATTTTATTACAATATCCTGCAGCTATTCAATTTCGTAAAATGTCGGGTTTGTCTGAGTTTGACTTGTCCTCTGAAAATATTAAAACAACAGGCGATGTTTTGTCTCACTTATACACAACTGTGCGCTTGAATTATTCACCAGAAAAACAAATTAGTGTCTCATTACTGCCTAATCCATCACATTTGGAGGCCATCTCACCGGTTGTAATGGGTAAAGCCAGGTCCAAAGCAATGAGATGGAAAGAAGGTTCGTATGGAGCCGATAACAAGGGTTCAGCCATTTTACCAATTCAAATTCACGGAGATGCAGCTTTCTCAGGTCAGGGTATAATTATGGAAACGCTGGCTCTTTCAGGTACACCCAATTTTACCGTTAATGGGTCTCTCCATTTGATTGTCAACAATCTGATAGGATATACAACACCAGGCCAACTGGTTGGCCGTTCATCAGCTTATTGCAGCGATGTAATGAAAGCTATTGATGCTCCATGTATTCATGTCAACGGAGATTGTCCTGAAGATGTGATAAAAGTATCCAAGTTAGCTCTCAAATATCGTCAAACATTTGGTAAAGACATTGCCATTGATTTAACTTGTTTCCGTCGTTGGGGCCATAATGAATTGGATGATCCAACAATGACCAATCCTGTAATGTACAAGCGAATCCATTCACGACCTTCAACCATGCCATCAGCCATTAGTGATAAACATTTGACTGCATCAGAAAAAGAGACGGAAACTAAAGCTTATTGGGACAAATTGAATGAAGCTTATAAAAGTAGAGAGTCATATGTACCAAGTAATCCTGATTTACAGGGCGTTTGGTCAACATGTGTTCGTCCTCAGTCCAATATGATAACTTCATGGGATACCGGGGTCCCCCTAGATTTACTCAAATATGTTGGTAAACAATCAGTAACTATTCCAGAAGGGTTTAACCTTCATCCCAATTTGTCTAAAGTTTTAGTCACTGACAGACTAAAGCGTTTAGATTCATCATCTGGTTCATTAATTGACTGGTCAACAGGAGAGGCTTTAGCTTTGGGATCCATGCTTTATCAGGGAATCAATGTTCGTATTTCTGGTCAAGATGTCGGTAGAGGAACCTTTGCTCAGCGTCATGCTATGCTGGTTGATCAAGAAACCGGTAAACTTTATATCCCGCTAAACAATCTAACTGCTGGAACTGAAACCGCTAATTTAGGATCTCTTGAAGTTGCTAACTCAATTCTTTCAGAGGAAGCTGTTCTTGCCTTTGAATATGGTTTTAGCGTTGATTCACCCAACAATTTGGTTATTTGGGAGGCACAATTTGGCGACTTTTTCAATGGAGCACAAATAATTCTAGACACTTTCGTGTCTTCCGGTGAGGCTAAATGGTTACTTCAAAGTGGACTAGTTATTTTATTGCCTCATGGTTATGATGGAGCCGGACCAGAGCATTCATCTTGCCGTTTGGAAAGGTTTCTTCAAATGAGTGACTCAAGTGAAACAGCAGTAACTGGTGACTCAATTAACTGGTCAATTGCCAATGTAACAACACCTTCACAATATTTCCATTTACTTCGCCGCCAAATGATGCGCAATTATCGTAAACCTTTGATACTGGCTTCACCTAAATTGCTTCTTCGTCATCCCGCTTGTAAATCCTCTCTTGACTCATTTGGACCTGGTAATTGCTTTCAACCCATTCTTGATGACCCAAGAAATCCGACATCGCCACAAAAAATTGTCTTCTGCTCTGGGAAACATTATTATACATTAGATGAAGAGCGAGTTAATCGTAAATTGACGAATAAAGTTGTCCTGATTAGGATTGAGGAATTGTCACCCTTTCCAGCCATTCAAATCAGTAAACTGTTAACAAAATTAGGCAAAGTTAAAGGTGATTAACGCTCATTGTGATTATAACCTGTTAGTAAATAATTTATTTTTTGTTTAATTTTAGACATTGTTTGGAGCCAAGAAGAGCAACGAAACATGGGCGCTTGGAGTTATGTAAAACCTCGATTTGAAAACCTTTTAGGAATTAAGGTAAATAAAATTATTGTTAATCTAATTGATCTTAAATGGTTTATTCAATTTACTCTAATTAGATTAAATATGCTGGACGAGATGTATCTTCTGTGCCTGCGGTTGGTATTGGCCAAATTTATAAGGAACAAGTAAAATCAATTATTCAACAAACATTTGACGGATTGTAATTGTAATTTTATTATTTTTTGATCAGAGGATTAATTTTGTAAATTTTGATTCGTGCCAATTGAATCAAAGAGCTTAAATGAAAAAATAACGATGTTAGATGTTTTTTGATAAATTAATATTACAAAATGAATATTTTAGTAATTGTTTTATTTTGAGTTGTTTTTATCTGTAAGTTAAATGCAACTAAAAATTGTTTGATTTATTTAGTAGTTAATATAATTTTGACGGTTTAAGTTTATATGAATATATCTACTAACAAAAAGTATTTTATAATTAATATAATCATGAAATTATCATCAAAATTTGAAAGTGAAAATAACAATAATCAAAAAGAAAGAAAGAGACAGATGTCATCATGCAAAGAGGTGAAAATAGGAAAACTATGATGAATTTACATTAGTGTTAGATCTCTACTGACTAATGTAGTAGGAATTTTTTGATATGTTAACTGATTAATTGATGAGCATAGAAAAGAAGGAATTAAGAGATAATTACAACATGAAATGTTTCTTGATACTGCTTACACGATAGGTATTCAAATTATAAAGATTTTTGACAATAAATTAGATATTAGTAGTTTAGTTGTTTTTAGTTTGTAAGACCATAAAGACCATAGACCAATATGAAGCAAACAATATCTAATTGAAAGAAGTAGTTTTGAAAAATGATAATACGTACAAATTTAAAGAAAAGAAAGAGTAATTAAGCCAATTAACTGCAGTGAAAAGACTGAGAAGAATGGCGAAATCATTAAATGCTATTGATTGGGGAGCCCACCAGGAGTTGAGAGGTTAACGGTGATAAAATTATCAATGCTTGGATTGAATAATATAAATCAACAATTTCTTATTTACAAGTCTAATTATAAAGTTGAGTTTGCTAATTTAACCGGTGAAGATTGATTGTCATTATTTAAGCTGACGTTAGATTGAGATGTCAATGAATTAGTTGAGGATTGATCCGCGTTGGATGATAATGATGAAGAAGATGAAGAGGAGGAAGATGATGAAGATGATGACGATGACGATGTTGATGATGACGACGATGCTCGTTTTGTTCTCATAGACGGTGATTCTGAAGGAGGAAGAGTAAATGGTGGAATAGTACTTCGTTGGTAAAATAAGATGTAAGCATCTCCAGTAACTAATGAGTTTTCTGAAACCTTAGTAACTTGTTGATCATCAAATAAATACCATTTATGATCATTAATGTCACGACAGTAAGCTGTATAATGTCCTGATGACATGTTCCCATGGTGATTACAGACAGCATATAAATCATAGATATTATCTTCCGAATAATAAGGAAGAACCTCTTTTTCTCGCGGTTTTTTCCAAGGATACAAAATGTAAGATAAATTATTAACATCCCCATTAGATTCTTTGTATTCGTCTAGATTAGCTTTGCGTTTACTCAAGTAGGGATTCATATCCAAACCAGTGAATGGAAAGTTGACTAAAGTTGATAATTTGGTTCGTTGAAGATTAGTTGCTTGACGGAAGCGTTTTAGATGAATAATAAGTATATCAGGGGTTGACCAGAGACTAAGTTTCTTAATACATTGCTGCTTCTTTTTACAAGATGGACACATCCAAGCATCATCAGCACCAAGTTTCTCTTCACGGAAATACATGTCGAAACAATCTTCTAAAGTTGCCTGGTTAGATAGACGATTACGAGCAATAACATATTCCATGTTTGGATCCTCGGTAACAATTAATGCCTCATCATCATCAACGACCAGTGTTTGCTTTAAATCAGAATCCCATTCAACAATCAACATCACATAGGTTGGTCCACGATAATCTTTCTCTTTACAATGAGCTAATGCTTCGTTGACAGTGGAAGAGTATAAAGGATGATCACCATGCTCGGGTAAATAACATCGATCTTAAGAAAAAGAGAGTTAAAAATGCGTTAAAGAGAGATTATAAATAAACAAATTTTGATGGAGTTTAAAAGATTTCTTACCTTGGATGCCACCAACAACTCTCAATTTAAACAAGGGTAAATCTTTGATACAACTTGACACAGAGGTTAACCTCAAAATCGGTTGCATTGTTTTCACTAATTCACTCTGTATATCTTTGAAACTTGCCTCTCGATTGATTGTGCAACTAAAATAAGGTCCAAAAAATTTGTTTTTATCAGAACTACCAATTCCGACACGATTAGTCCATACAAGGGTTAATTGTTGGGATATTGTTGAGGTTGATTTGGGAGATCCTGAATTACAGTTTTGATTCATGTCTAATTTAGGAGTTTCAATAGCTTCTATCTCATCATTTTCATTTAAAAATTCACTGATTGGAGTTTTATATTGATTCAATTCTTTGATACCAGTTGAACTGTCATTTATCAGCAGCACCAATTGGTTTTCAGGTATTTTTATTAATCTTGAAATTTTATGTCTCATTTCTTTAAGCGTAGCTTGAGTCTCGATGGTAACAGCCATTTTGATCTGGTTAAAATGAAAGGAAGAAAAAGAAAATTGATAATTTGACAGAAAGATAAATATCCTGTTTCCAACCATATAAAGACTCAAATAAAAAAAGTGAAAAATTATAATAGATTGATTAAAAACAAGATTTAGATGCTTTTCTCAAGCAGCAAGTTATTGCATGAAAATAAATGTTACATCAAAATTTTTCTGTCTGAATGAACAACATGAAAAATTTCAATGTGACAGCTTAATATGTTGTAAATTGCATATTAATAAAGCAATAACATTTGATATTTATCTTGACAATTTAATACTAACAAATGCTAATGTGAAGATAAAAGTTATTTGATGAGCAACAAACCTTTTTTGGAACATTATCAAGGTATGAAACGTTAATGATACAGATGTGGGTAAGCTTGGTGGGAACCGGTAATGAAAGGCACATATACGGGTCAAATGTATTGCTATGGCTTTTACATGAACGACAAACAACCGATGATCGTAATTGAGCTTGAAAAACTTTGCGAATAAAACTATTGTCACATCTTGTATAAATCGATAAAGTTTCCGCGGCTATAACTTCATCAGGCCGGTTCCAGGTACTGGGAATCTGTAATAAAATCAAAAATAAAATGATTAATGAAAGAAAAAAATTTACCAATAAAAAATGCAAGTCTCTTGAATAGGAATGAAATATGGTTTAAGATTCAATATTTGACAGATTATTGAATTATTTTATGAAAAAAGTGAAAAGAATTTCTATGGAGAATTGAATCTGAGTTCGAAAAAATTGGTGTAAAGAATTGAAAGGTTAGAAAGAGTCAACAAGTGAACATATGGTGAAAAAACTGTTACTTTACTTTTTATTTACCACAGACTATTAGAGTCTAATAATAGTCTCAAGTATCTTGAAAAGTAGATTTAACTTTCTAATAATAGAGCTTTTTAGGTCAGTAATCGATTCTTTATTCTTGCTCAAAATCCCATAGATCTGTCTACCTGGAGAGACAGAAATGAGGTTAATTATATGCTGTCTAGATAATTCTGTTTTTACAAGGTTTAATGATGTGGTGAATGTAAGTCTTATAACAAGAGTGTTTAGAGTGTTTTAAAACAATTAAACTCTAAAGTAAACTATCAATTATAACATCGAATTGCCGAGTTTCAATTGGCATGAAAAAAAGGTGATGGGAATGATGCCAGCAATGATAAAAAAATTTGGAACTAGAGTAGATTACTTTTGTTCACCTGTAATGATGAGAAATGAAAAGAATGTAATTTGAGAATAAATTGACTGATTGAATTATATTATGATACTTTGCATTATATGCATGACAAAGGTAACTGTTGAAATTGAAATGACTTGACGGAAAGATATCAAAGTTAATTAAAAACATAATTGTAATAAAGGCAACAAATAACTATTCACACAATAATGATACAATCAAGAATAACCCTGAAATCAAGATGTGTCACGCGAATAAAAGGGACAACATCTAAGCAAATCAAAGAATCAGAGAATTATGCTTGTTATAAATTAATTACCAAAAGTTACTTGTATTTGAGAATATTACAAAATCATGAGTCGGATGATTAATTTCATCAAGTTTCTACCATATATTTATGGTGAGTTAATTGTGTCATCATTAAGGGTGGAAAATAAATCTGATGACAATTATGAAAGAATTGTTTTCGACTGACTTTCACCTTAATCTAATGACTAGAAAATAATAGCAATTGAAAGTTTTGACGTTTGAAATTACAAGTGAAGTAACAAATGTGAGTAATATCAAAGTGCAAACTAATAATAAAAGAATAAAAGTTGACTGCATGGTAAAGATTTAAAGTGTAAGTTTAAATACCTTGAACTTTTTGGCCTTCTTTTTGATGGCAACGTTGAGATCTTCATGGAAAATGTCCAACAAAAAAAATAGAAACTCTTGTGCATCATGTTGACCACCATCCTCATATTGCTTACATTGTTTACCAATTAAAGATTTAAATTTGCTAGATAAATCAGGAGAATAATTGTTTTTCCATAAAGATTGAAATAAAGTTGCACATTGAGCGGTGACTTCACTACTTGAGCCATTTTTACACAGATTGAGCTGTTGTCGTGTAATTAAATCTTTATAATAAAATTGGGTATCATTAAAATATTCTATAAGTAAATCGGTATGAGATAAACATTGTAGAATAGCATTCATGAAACAAGTATTGCCATGGTTTTTAATTCCAGACAAGGTTAACGGCTTCGATTTAGTTTGATTAGTTGTTTTACCATGAGTTCCCTCTGAACAATTACATGTGAATAGATTTACAGCATCTTGGCTTGACATTGAATTAGATAATTTATTTGTCGATTGATGATTATTTGATCGTTCTCTAGATCTTCGTAGACTTTTATAACTGTCGGTAGATGAATCCTCGTCATCGTCTTTGCCGTTTAAACGAGACCCGGAAATTGAAAGATATGGCAAATTTGATAATAAACGAACTATAAAACTTCTAGAACGCTTTTTATCATTTTCACCATTTCTACGTAAGGTAGATGTATCTTTGTGGGTTTGTCCTTGAGTTCTTGGTAGTGTTACAGCTTGTCGAGCAACGTCTTGGTTTAGCTTAGGCCTTTCAATGCCATTTTCATTTGAATTAATAATACATGGTTTTTCAAGTTTATCCACACAAATGGGAATAGAAGCTGGTTCTGACTGGGGTGAGGCTGATTTCAGTGAACTATCATGATCCTCATTTACTGTACCATTGATGACTGGAAGTTTACTTTCCTCTCTTAAGTCATCATCACTAATTGTAACACATGATGGATTACTAATGGGTTGATGATGTAGATGAGGAGATGGTTGAGGATTATTTTCCTGGTTTGGTTGGTTTGAAGAGTTTGATTGCTGTGGTTGCTTTTGATGTTGAGAGTTTAGATGATGATGAAAATGTTGATGATGATGTTGTTGCTGATCTTTAACCAAGAGGTCACAACTAGATTCTATATCTTTATTATTAAGATCAATCTTAAGTTGCTCAATAGAGTATTGGTCAGAAAACTGTTTCAAACCATTTAACTTTGAAACCTCTTTAAATTGGTAAATTTTATCACTGTCAAGGTGAAGAGATTTATCTAAGAAATTAACCTCAATCAATTTACCAAGGGATGAAGTTGCGGTTGATGATGAAGTAGATGAAGCTGGTGATGTTGATGTTGATGTTGGTAGACCAATAGCTTGGGCGAGGCCTGAACCATCCATGACCTGTTTAATACTTGCTGTGGTCTCTTCGCCAAAACGATTGATAATTTTCTCGACCATTTCATCGTAATCTACACAGAAACCATATCACAAACTATATTGAGCAATTTCACACAAGAAAACAATAATAAACAATTAAATAAACAATTAAATCCACAGCTAGCTCAGTTACATTCGAATAACATTACAGTAATACAAAAATTTGCCTCCAATTGAGACTTGCTGTAAATGCATGCCGCACCTTTTTCCTCCTTGTAACTCCATCTATATTACGTTTTCTTATCTAACTTTTCCATTCCATTTAAAGACATTCTATACGAAATTGTTTACGAAGATGTTAATAAGATAATTTATATCCTTGAAGCGTTAATTAAACAAAACACTGAATTATTTACATTAACCTGTAATTAAATGAGCAATAAAAGTTTTCATGAACAACTTATTAATAAATGAACAATGTAATTGATAAAATTTCATTTATGTTTCTAATAAACTTGTTAACATGAAATTGTAAAGTTTCAAAATTATTGATTTCTTGGTAAATAAAACATACAATCAAGATTAAGGAAAATGTTATGATGATTTATTAAAATAGATTAAAGAGTTTTAATAAAAGTAATAATCTGATTAATTGAATAACGTGAAAAAACAAAAAATCAGTAAACATAACAATTAGTTTGGGAATGAAAAAATTAAAGGAATACCAAAAAAATCCAAAATCAGGTCATATGACTGGAAACAATTTAAAATAACATTTTCATAAAAATTATGGAATCAATCAGATAACTGAGTGTGACAAGACATCTGTTACATTTTGCCAACATTATTAAAATGGTTAATTGTGAAGAGTCTTTTGATAACATTTTAGATTGTAGATGATTACAGATGCAATAAGAAGCAGTGATAGCAATCTGATTAAGAGTATATCGAAGGGTCGAATCCAAGGGTTGAGAACGTTAGAAACGCTATTTGACTGAAAAATTTTCAATTATATTGATTGACCTGAAAGCTTGCATAGATCTATTAATCACATTTAGCTGAATTATGAATAGCTTGAGCTTTTTACTCAATAATTTCGAATGTAACGTTGTGACGAGTAAGTCTCTCTCGAATCGTAGTGCCTCTAAAAGCAAATGCAGGAGTAATACAACCACCATCGAAAGGCATTTTATCACCTTCATCCAGAATGCTTAATCCAGATTGGATAAGACATCTCGAAGTTGTCTCGTAGCCAGGATCTGGTCCAGAAATACGACATTTAATAATCTTATTGGGTGGACTCTTGTAATCGGTATCACCTTCATTCAGAGGCTCAGACCATCCCTTTCCAACACATGTAAAGGTAAATGAAGTTTCCTCCAATTGCTTTCGAGTGGGACCACTTTTTGAGAAGAAACCAGCTGTGAATATTTTGGGATGCTTAATGAGTAATTTTCTGGTAAAATTGAAATATATGAGTATTGTTAAGTAAAACATGCCGAGAGCTAGGAAAAGTGCATGATACAGTTTCGGCACAACAATATATTCCTCAAATTGAACTGGTTTTTCATCATTGTACTCGTGGAACCATCTTTGGCTATTTTTAACAATATCACGATCACCAATAGGCACAGGTAAACACCAACCATTAACTTCATCATCCCACCACGGTAAATATCTGATTTTAGCAGGATAACGGCTTTCCGGTAAATTCTTTTTAAACATTCCCTTAACATAACCTTCCCTGATCTTCAGCATTTGATTAAACTCTCCAAAGGCTTGTGCAAGTGAGTGTAAAGTTCCGATATTGATGGTAACACCAGCACTTCCAAATTTTCCATTTACAAAAGCATCCACTTGGTTCAATCTACCAGGAGTAAATTTTTGTTTCAATACATCGGTACCAACATCTGAAGGAATGGCATCATATCCACAGGCACCAACTATGTAAACGCCGGCTTTTTTGGCTGCCTCGTGATATTTAAATTGCATGTCCTCAAGATATTGAGGTTCGCCAGAAATATCAACCATATGAGCTTTTTTCTGATGAAAAGAAAAAGATAAAAATTTTATTAAAAATCATGCTTGAAAATGTTTCAGTATCAAAAAGCAGAAGGATACAGAATATTCTAGGTTGACAGTGTTGATGAGTTAAGACTTTTACTGTAATTGAAAATTTTCTGTAACTGGGTGTAATAATCAAAGTCAATATCAGAAATAAATGAAGGTTTATCTAACGTTACATTAAGCAAATGAGAAATTTCATAGAAAGTATTCCTGACAACAAAAGAGTGATCAATGGCTAACGCATTGTTAGGTAAGAAAGATGAAAAGAGTATTCAATTTTCATTCAGACACTTAACACTCAATCTGCCAGCTTGACATATTGAAAGTCAGATTATTCAAATTCAAGTCATAATGTAAATCATATATTGAATTATTCATGAACCTGATAAATGTATGGAATGAACAGAAAACAATGTTTCAAAATTTAAAAATATGAAACATGACCGTTTATGTTATTTAAGTTAAATATAAATATTCCAAGGACTGGTTATTAGATGAATGAATTAAAAGAATCAATTTTTCCTCGTTGAAAAATTTGCTTGAATGCGAATCAACAAAATATCCAATTTACAAGGTTATCTTAACAATCATCAAGTTTTTGAATAGAGATAAATATAATACAAATAAATTTGTATAAGCCTTCAATACAAATTGACTGATTGTATAATATTAAACGCAATTGGCCTTTCTGATGACATTCTAGCGCCGAGCTAAAATTGTGTTAAATTTAGTGTCGGTAATCAATCACATTCTAATGATAGTGAAAAGAGTGAACCGATGTGATTTCAGAAAAAAATCAATGATTAGCCATTGAATTTGGTTAAGTATAAGGAGTCAGGTGATATCTCGAAGGGCGAAAGGGAAATGAGAAAGGTCAACTAAGATGGCAAAGTCAACAGAGACGGGCGTTTGAAGGAAAGGACAATAACGATATAATTTACCTGAATGCATGCTCTGACTACTTGTTCGCCATATAATATGTAAGGTCCACAAACATTTAGTATCACCTTTGAGCGTTCACACATTGACAACAGGCTTTCTTCATCATTTACCTCAGCGATGATGACACCTATTGAATCGAGATTCCTATCTAACTGGAGGGCAGTTTCCTTTAAAAGCGATTCCAACTTATCCTTGTTTCTTCCTGCAATGGCAATTTTTCTCGGCTTCTTTTCAATATCTTCCCATCCAAGCAAATTACGGAAAACATATTTACCAGTGTATCCAGTAGCACCAAATACAGTGAAATCAAATTCCTTTTCAGCCATGATTAAAGATGTATCAATTTATTGTTGAACGATAAAAATTAAATGTACGTAGTATAATGAACACTGATAACTATTAAGGTTAACGATTGTCAATGAATGAGTTGGAATGAGTTGCATATAAAGCTAAAATGATGCTGTTAAATTATTAAATACAAAGTGGTGACTCCTTATTTCTTACATTTAGCATTTACAGGTAAATCTAACGCTAGATGGAGCTCGGCTTAAACCAGCATAAATTGTTTGAAACGAAATCAAATTTCGTTCTCAAATGTCTTGAATTGTATTTTGTTGAATAATGAATAATAATCGAATGACTCAGAAGATTCAATGATAAACAAGTTGAAACAAGTTATTGGTAATGAATTCACATCTAAACTTCATGGTACCGATCGGTCACAAAATCTCTAACAGTTTAAATGACAGCTTCAGCAAATGGGACAAAAAAAGAGAAACAGAGTTCGGCCGGCATCAGCTTCAGATTGGAGCTTGGCCATTGTCTCAGAATTTATCTTCGCCCTTTTCCATGGCCCAAATGTCGGAGAAATCATGTTGTAATCATAAAACGTTTGAACATAAACTAACTTAAAACTTACCATAGACGATGATTGTTATTCTGATCCTATTATTCTTACGCTGTACTCAATCTTATTCAATACCAATTCTGTTATCAATAAATCATCATTCAATGACTTCATTGAAATACAATTTCAATCCAGAAACCAGAGATTTTGAACTTTTTATTAGCGAACTCGTGATTCTCACAATTATCTGCAGGCAAATCTAGCACTAGATGGAGCCCCGGCTCAAACCAGCTGGAATCGTTAGGAAATCAAATTTTTGTTTCCACATGTGTTGAGTTGTATTTTATTGAATAATTTTGTTTCTTTCTTAAATTAATCATGGCACAAGGTAAAATGAAAGTTAAAACTGTTGTCCCAAAAGGAATTAAGGTGAAAAAAGTCAATAAATCTGACCTCAAGCTTCATCAAACACGCAAAGGTAAGTTTCATTTTTGTAATACATATTTTACATTTTATATTCGTGATATTTCTTTTTAATTTACTTTACTTTACTGTTTTTGATTTCTTTCTAGGTGCACCAATTAAACCTAAGCTTGCAAGTTATGGTCAAAAGCTTTACAATAATGTGGAAAAGGCAATTAGGAAAAACATTGAATCCGAAATGAGAAGTAAAGCTGGCGATAAAAAACCTGAACCATCTAAATCAAATTCCAAAAAGAAGTCTGCCAAGCAATGAATCAATAAACATCTATAGATGAACAATCAAAATAATAAACAGTTTTTATATGAAATATCAATCCATGTAAACTGGTATACTTTTTATTTTGTTAAGGAAACAAATGTATAATAGTTCGATTTGTAATAGACTCATATAAACTGTTAGATTTTGTATTCATCTATTACTGTCAATTAATAATTGTTAAAAATCATAACAAGATTTCTAAATATATTTGATCATCATTTAACAGATGTAAATCTCTTTAGTATCAGTTTTTTCACTCATACATACATGTATTCATGTTTAATTTATCTGATCTTTTACTCAAAGACTCAAGTTAGTTTTTCTTATTCTTTCTCTTGATGAAATGCTATTGGACTATAATTGGATGGTAATTCACTTCATTTTATATTTTATCGTGTTTATTATTAGCAATTGATTATTAATGAAAGGGAATTAAAATAATTATTCAGCTCAAAAAATTTCAATACATCGAACATCGGTTGTGATATCGATAGGGATAAAGAGCATGGCGGTTAACCAACTCAACTTAGGTTCGGTAAAAAAAATCACTCACTTCACAGTTGATTTTAATCCAAATATTTTTCCTTAATTTAATCTTTAATTTGTTGTTAATTGATTATGAAGATCATTTGAATGTGTAGTCTCTCTCTGTAACTGCTGTAAATTTAGTCTCAGTTCCATTGGAAATCATGGACTCAATGAAACTTAGTTACTCTGAAGTTTCAACCTATCATCTTCATGCTTCAGCTAAAGGAGAGATTTCTCTCGATATTGGTAAATCATATTTATTTCATTTATTTTAATCTGAACTTGTTCTTGTGTATTTTGTTTGCTTTTCTGGTACTAATTTTGTTCTTTGAAATGTTTAATCTCATTCCTGTGTGTTTATATAGGTGCCAATCAAAGTACTCTGCAAGACTTCAAGCTAGCTGAAAGTGTTGGGTACTATTGTTACAAAGATAGTAATGTTTGGTCATCGCCAACCTGTAATCGCTTTATTTACTGGTATGTTGCAAATTGTCTATACTATTTATGCAAAGTAAACTTGGAAAGTCCCTGACTTGAACCTTTGTCATTTTTGTCCATTTACTAACTTCTAAATTTGCATTTTCAGGAGAAGTAACAAAGACTACATTCAGTTTTATGAAGTATCCCTGGACTTCAATCTTGCACGTAATCATGTACAGTTAAGGTTTCATAACACACCAATACTGGATGGTGTTAGTGTCCATGAGACTGAAGATCAAGTTATCATTCTACTGGCCACAGTTGCATCAATTCACCGTATTACCTTAACTCATCCTAGAAAACTTGGAACCGTACTCATTGTAAGTTGAAATATTTCTGTGTATCAGATGTGATTTTTTAAACTAAAATTCAATTTTATTTGTAGGATACAGTACGAAGTGGTTCTAACATTCTGCCTCATGGCTCCAACAATATCAACCCCAGTGATTTGCATACTAGGAAATCCATTTTCTATGACCTAAATGCAGCTAATTTGCGAAATCCTGATAGTTATCATGTTTTAAATAATTCATTCAATTTGGGAGGTTCACTTTCATCCTCAGATATGCCTTTCCCAATTAGGTCCTGTTCTTGGTTAAATTCAGATAAAGAAGCTTACTTTGCTTTAGCAGATTATACTGGTAACATATCTGTTATAAAAATGAATCAATCTTCATCAGGTATTTTCAAGATCTAGCCTTTTAAAATGTCATAATCATTAAAACTCATTTTTTACGTCCTTAGGCAAAGTTACTGTATATAATCTCAAGCAAACCGGCTTGATAAAAAGTTTATGGTACAATCTGGTTCCATCTCGAATGTCTATGTCAAGGTACCTCGTTCAGCTAAAATTTTAAAATTTTGTTAAGCTAACTCTTACTTTCTATCTTTTTAGAGGTAATCCGGATAATGAACAAGCAGCTCTGAGTATTCTTTGGCATCACCTTCCATCCATCGAAGATGATCTAATGATTACTCTTTGCCGTGACTTGAAAATTCGTATCTGGTCATGTGCAAAGCAAGACTATGTAGCTGCCGAAAGTATTGAGTCTTTCCAAGATATGTCGTCCGGTTATTCTACAACAAGCATCAATAAATCTGTTAATGATCCTATGATCGGTAAGTAAACTAAATTATTTCCATATTTTCAATTTTTAATTATATCCTTTTGTTTTAAAGTAACACGACCTGTACTGAAAAAAGATGCGTCCTCAAATGGCAGTGATGAATTGTTCTTGGCTGCTTTTGTACCTACTACCTCTGGGAGAAAATTCATTGTTTACAAACTTTTGTTCGTCGGTGAAAATTTAACCTTAAAAGTCGTCACTTCAATTGATGCCCTTCAAGAAGATCTTGTTGATTTTGTGTTCACTGCTAACACGTTATGGGCTCTATGGCGTCTAGCTGAAAGCGAAGTAACACTTTCACATTGGGAGATTAATGAGTAAGATTATCAATTATGAATTGTAAACTCTTTTTACTTATTCGAATTTGTTTTTTTTCTTAGTGATTCCTCATGCTGGCAAAGTGTTACCACTTACAACCATTTCCAACCTCCTATAAATGTTAAATCTATGTTAATCAGCCCAAAGGAACTTTTCATCGAAAAGATTTTCAAAAAAGGAAAATTCTCATCTCAAACCATTGCCAAAGCTATAAGTGTGAGTCTTTTTATTTCATTATTTATATCGATTTAGATAATAATTGATAAATTTTTCTCTATTTCTTATAGACTTTAAATCGAACTCATGAATCATATTACTCTTTTTTAAATACCGAATCCTTGATCGAAGAGGTTGCTAATGCTGTAGAGAATCGGGTATGTTTTCTAATTATATTTGCATTGATATTTTTATCACATTGTTCATAATTGTGTATTAAACTTTAATTTTGTGAATTTTTAGCTTCGTTCTCTCCCTGGAGTTGGTGAATGTTCTCCTGATGTGTATTCAAACTTAGAATGTGAATTATGGAACGAATTTTATTCTTATTGCTTACAATACCACAATGTCTTCAACAAGCCTCTTGGCCTCTTCATGGACAGTAGAACTGGATTAACTGGAATATTGAGAGTTTCAAGTGTCTCTTACTTGAGAGCTAATGATCCCATTGACCATGTTCTTTTATCTCGTGTTCATACTCCTAACTATGACATCTCCAATATCCTTACCGATGATTTTTCACTTGAAACTAGTCTGCAACAACTGCTTCAGTTTATAAAAACAATCAATAGTTATTTAGATGAAGATGCCTTCCTTCAACTCGAAATGTCCTGCACAGCTGATGAACCTGTAGAGAAAGTTTTTCGTGAAGTTGTCAACAAATACCTTATGACAGACCCGTGTGATCTCGATATTGGAAAATCAAATATGTTATCTTCTGTTGAAGATGCCTTAGAAAGCTCTCGAATATTGGAGGCTGTCGATTTGATATTGCAGACTCTGAATATTGAATCAAAAGACCATTCTGATGAAGCCATGGACTCATCTGTTACTATGGTTCAGCAATCCTTGGACCAATTTTTGAGTGGTAATATCGGCGTTTGCATTCTTACGGAAAGTATCAAACAAACTTGTCGACTTCGTTTTGAGTTCTGCCGAGATCTCCTTCTATTTCAACTACTTGTTCGCCTATCAACCACGAATTCAACTGACTACGACAGACTTTGTGATACCTTAGAAAACTCTATAGCGCTTAACAAATTGTGTCTTAAATCATATTATTCAATGGCCTGGATCAGTGAAACAAGTATGAGCCTAAAAGACAGTACATTCCTCGGCATAGAAAATACAGTGACTCTTTTGGCAACTTTAGAACTCCATGAATTTATCAATGTTAATCGCAATCCTCCCACTGCTAATGCCTTAGTTCATGATTTTTCACCGAAGTCTATTGTTGCTCATCTCATTGGACATAAAAAATGTCCATCAGCCCGCAAAATTCTATCATCACACGCAGAAGACGTTGAAGAGCCAGAAAACTGTCAGACTTGGTTAACGTTTCAACCATCCTTAGTTCAAGCTATTGGAACAATTATTTGGCCTACTTCCAATTCTTCTTTTGTTCTTCGTTTCTTACTTGGTTTCGAACAGTTTGAATTGATAGACCAATATTCAAAAATGTTAGATGCTTGGTGTGATCACAGTATCGCAAGTAGACGATTTTGTATGGGAATAACTCAATTATTCTTTGGTGATCCTAAAAAGTCAGTTGGTTATTTCCATCAAGCTTTGAATGGGTTGCTGGAAGAACCGTTTCTTCAAAAAATTTTCTTGGCCAGCTTGTCTAATACAACAATTGAAAGAAAGCCAAATGATTCCCTTACTAATGCGGAGATTACAACATATTTCAACAAACTTTTCCGTCTTTGTCGTCTACATTCTCAGAATGAAATTATTCTTGACCTTGCTCTTGGAGCGATTGATCTACTCGATGAAAGTGGATCCTCATATGATCAACATTTCTCATCCTTTATGACTACTATCTTCATGTGTCATTTAGAGTTCGGAAACACTGTCGATGCATTTTCTGCCATGTTGCTGAATCCATCTGCTATTCAACGGAAAGATTGTTTACGACAATTTACTGTAAAACTTTATGAAAAACAAGCTATTTCTGAAATGATAAATTACGATTATGTAGAGATGGAAGATGACTTTATTAATATACTGGAATTCCGTGCTCGATCAACTGATCTTCTCCAAACGGAAAAGAAAGTCGATTTCTATGAAATATTATATTCTTACTTTGTTAAAAGAAACAACTACCGTAAATCAGCTTCTATCATCTATGAATATGCTAAAAGACTTTGTCAAGAAGTTAATGGAGTTGAGAGTTTGAAAAAGCAAGCAAGATGCTTCCTTTTAGCTATCAATTCTCTTAAATTAATTGATCCCAAGTATGCATGGATTATTCAACCAACCATTAAAGCGTCATCAAGCAGTTTACACTTTGGAAGAAGCTCTTCCTCTGTTACTTCATCAATCAAGCGTAAACATGGATTAGATGATGCCCAAGAATCTCCTCCATCTGATACTATAACAAGAAAAGAAATTCAAGTATTGAATATCAATGATATTGTTAAAGAGTATGAGCTAACCAATGCACGATACAAGCTATTGGAAAAAAGTTCTCAACTTAATTCAATTGCATCAACACCATTATCAGCTGAGGAAACAATTACTCTTCTCATCTCTAACCTTCAGTTTGATCTCGCCTTCCAACTAAGCACTCACTTTGATTTGCCATATGAGCCAGTTCTTGAAGGACTGGTTGGAAAATACGTTTACCTAACCGAATTACCTTTCCGTAAGATGAGTTTAGAAGCTGGTCTTATGGAAATTAATGAATGTTTTATCGAAAATGATACTGCATCCGCAAGCTTTATTGCCAATGCTGAGATGCCCGCTATTGATAAAATGCTTTTCTTGATTTTAACTTACATCGAGAAATATGAAGAAAGGAATCAAACTCGACTCCATAAATGTGTCGCTGAAAAGCTCCTTGAGTCCGGTATTCCTCTTCCCAACCCATTGAAGCTCTCTTATCAGGTAATTTTCATGAAACTTTTATTCAAACTGTGGAGTTAATTTAATTTCTGACTCGTATATTTTTGATGACATGTCTTCTAATTGTATTTAAATTATTTTTTTCCTCAGAAACGTAATTCTCCCGAACTTCTCCGAATTTTGATGAGTTATGATTACATTGAAAGTGCTTTCAATTTTGCCATGGAGCTTATTGACGGTTACTTGGGACAAGGAACAGAATATTTTGATATCAAGGTAAGATAAATTTTATGATAAGTTTTAAAAATTAATTGTGTAATGTCAATTTTCTTTTGATTAATCAAATTGTTTTATTCTCATTCATAGGCACCTAAAATTGGTAGCAAACAAGAAACTTACTTCCCTCATCAACATATAAAGTGTCTTCTTGAAATATTAGAAAAAGAAAAGGACGATCACAAAGATTATGAAGAGGTAAGTTCCTTAACTTTGCTCTGAAAAAATCGATTTCTAACAATTCTTTCTTTTTTCTCTTCCCTTAGTTCGCCAAACAATTAATTCACAAGCGGGATAAATATCGAGAACTGATTCTTTCATGTCACCAAATAACTGCTAGATGATTATTTTCTCCTGTTATCATGTCTAAACAGCAAAATCAATAAAATTCTTTTGATAAATATTCATAAACAATTCTATTTTCCATTGATTCACCATCCAATTCAGAAACACCAGATCTATTTTATTTTACCAGCAACTTTACCAAAATTTTAAAAATCTATGAAAGTTTACGAATGAAGAAAACGGATGATGTTTTAGTTTTTTTAAGTTTTTATTCTAATAGAAAAATGATCAAATAAAATTTTAATCTGAGCTTTTAAGACCTTTTTTACCAATTGAATACATAAAATAAAACAAAAACTATAAAAACAATGTTTATAAGGGAAGAAAAAATACTAAAAGGCGCTCGTGTTTCTCAGCAACTGATAAAAAAATTAAATTGAATGAAGCCCACTTGATTAGTGGTCAATTAAGTCAATTGATCAATTAAGCAACCATTAAAATTTTTAAACATTTCACATTCAAAAAATGAAACCTTTCTTCGAACTAGTACTAATATGAAAATCCCAAAAAGTAGCCATCTTTCGGTCATTTCCATCTTTTGGGCTAGTGCTATCATAATAATATCAATCTGAATGACATACCTGTGTCCGAGTGTAAGGTTGAACATTCATCCGTATTGTCTATCCTTGAGCTAAGCCAATGCATCTGGTCCGGATTAAGACTGGGAGTAGCTTCAGTAAACTGACAAACAAATTTACTTGGTTGGCAATAAACTTAATTTAAATCGCATATTATTATTAATTGACACAAGAAATGCATAAAAGTCTCTTAATTTTAGTCCATCAATGTTAAGTTAGACACTCTTCATAAAGGTAACAGGGTATTAATGATACCCTCAAGGTATACAGTTCGAGAGCATGAGAGCTCGTCAACTTCTCCTAGCTCTTCTTCTTATCGTGGACTTGAAGCTGGGTCAAAACAAACGGCAAAGTTAGAAAGAGTGTGTCTGAAATCATGGAAGCAACGGTGAGATCTATGACCATCCCAATCAAAATTTGACTGAAACAGAGAATATCGATAATCACGAGTCTTTTCAGAGCTGAAAAATGCTAAACGATTAAGACTGGAAGTAAATCAACAGAAAGATCTATCGACTGTCTTCGCTTAATATTCCCTTCCATTGAACAATATAACCGTAGAGTAGCTGAATTTTTCAAAATCACAACTACGCCAAAAAGTTCAGTTTTGCAAAAACAAAGCGAGGCGATTAATGGTGATAACTTTATTTATCCTGGGAATTAATGCCTAACGAGCTTAATTACTGATACCAAAGAGGGAAAGGTGTGAGTCTGAAAGAGTTACTTTCAAAACTGAATGATTTCCTCAGATGAACATGATTGACATGGTAGTTACAACTGATGAGGAAATTTTAAATATGTATTGAATCAAACATTTTAATAAAGCTCGATTACTGATAATTTGATTTGAGTTTGAACCAAATTTTACTAACAAGAGAAGTACCTGACATGGTACCATCTTTTGTGGCTTATATTGCAAAGAGAGAAGAATAATTAGACCTAAATTACTTCGCTAGTGTACCTTTTTTCATATTTGAGTGTTTTTAAGCGAGAAATTCTAGACATTTAAGATCATATCGAATGAGACTAAATCAAATGGGAACAATTAGTTATGAGTATTCAAGTAAATGGATGAAAAATTGCGATTTATGACTTAAAACAAGTAAATTATTCCGCTTGTTGATCAAATATGCTAACGATTGTTGCTAAAAAGACTAAATAAACACAATTGTTACATTTTTGCACAAATTGACACAAGTACTGCAAGAAAAATGGCCATAAACGGGTAAAAATTGATTTCTTCTGAAGTATGGGTTCGTTAGTTTGTAGAGAAATGAAAACTGAATCCATTTGTGTAGTTTAAAAGTTTCTAAGATCAATAGTTTTCGAGAAAATTGAGGTCAAAGTTAAAACTTCGACTGCCATTTGTACAGCAATGGAAGAAGATTTTTTTATGAAACTCATTTCACTGATGTAGTTATTGTTGATCAACCAGAAAATGTACTTATTTTGAAAGATAAATACTTCTTTTTCTGTAAAAAAGATCAAGTTCGATTTTCATCAAAACCGACCGTTCTCTGTGTCCATGAGAGTCAGCGTGCTGAAACTCATGATTTGTCCACGAAATTTAATGGCACACGTCATGGATTCAATATATTTTGCAATGCAACAATAGTTTTCTTGATTTCGGCCATTGGACTAAAGCCTTTGATCAAACATGCTAACAATTGTTGCTAAAAAGACTAAATAAACACAATTGTTACATTTTTGCACAAATTGACTCAAACACTGAAAGAAAAATGGCCATAAACGGGTAAAAATTGATTTCTTCTGAAGTATGGGTTCGTTAGTTTGTAGAGAAATGAAAACTGAATCCATTTGTGTGATTTACAAGTTTCCAGGATCAATAGTTTTACAGAGCCAAAATTGAAACTTCGATCGCTTACTGTGCAATTATGGAAGCAGATATTTTCATGAAACTCATTTTACAGATGTAAATTTTGATGATCAATCATGAAATGCACTTATTTTGATGAATACCATTTTCAGTTTCTGTAAAATGTATCAAGTTCGATTTTAAGTTTAACCGATCGTTTTCCGTGATCGTTTGAATTAGCGAGCTGAAACTTATTATTTGTTAACAACAATTAATGGCACTCATCAAGGATCTATTACTTTTTTCAATTAACCAACAGTTCTCTTGATTTTGGCCATTGACCTAAGAAATTCGTGCCTCAATATATCGAAGTTGATAGCACCTACAATCGTCATTCTTTGACCAAACATTAGATTACATTGTGAACTTTAATATGATATGAATGAATATCCAATAAAACTTGAAGGATTCATTCAATAATGAATATTCTTCCAACATATAAGAATCGAGTTTGAATAACCATCTAACTTTATAAACCAAGTTCACAATTGAAAACATAAGCAATACAATGCTATAACTTTTTTTGTAGCATCTTGAATGGTCTAATATTTCAATATATTGTTGTCCATTATCAAATCTGATGTCGGGTCGACGAATGATGATTATAGATGCTATCATCTCCGAAATATTGAGGTACGAATTTCTTAGGCCAATGTTCAAAATCAATCGAATTATTAGGAAATTGAAAACAGTAATAGATCGTTGATGTGAGCCATTAATTTATATGGTCAAATAATAAGTTTCAGCTTGCTAACTTGCACGGTCACAAAAAAAGATCGGTTAAACTGAAAATCGAACTTGATCTGTTTACAGAAACTGAAAATGATATTCCTCAAAATAAAACCATTTTCTGGTAGGAAATCAAAAGTTACATTAGTTAAAATGAGTTTCATGAAAAAATCTGCTAGCATAACTCAACAAAAAGCTTTGTAAGTTTAAACTTTGACCTCAATTTTCTAACAAACTGTTGATCGGATGAATTATGTAATAGTACCAATAGATGCAGTTTTTATGTCCCTACAAATTCCCTAAGTCTAAATTCGTAATTCAAATGCTCGAGCCTTTAGCAGTACTTTTTCCATTTCATTTGTAAGCTTAACCATAAAATTGGTTACTTTACCAAGAAATGGGTTGAGATGAGTTTGGTTTGCTAAATAAGTTGTTCCTTGTACGTTTAAAACCCGAATTTCATGAGCCAAATGCTCTAAAGGAAAGTTATTAAATTGAATTGAGTTATTAATTAGTATAGAATTGTATTGATGAAAGAATGAGGATTGTAGGTGATGCCATTATCGAAGTATCGAGGCGCTAAGTTTTAAGTCCAATTGCCAAAATATAGAGAACTGATGTTAAATTGAAAAAAATATTCAATCCATGATATGTAACATTAATTTTTGTGGTCAAATAATGAGTTTCAGCACGCTAACTCTTATGCCCACAGAAAAGGGTCGGTTTAAATGAAAATCGAACTTAGATGTTTTACAAGAAAAGCAAAATTTTATTGTTCAAAATAAACACATTTTTTGATTGATCGTCAAAATTTAAATCTGAAAAATGAGTTTCACGAATATATCTGTTCCCATAATTGCACAGTAAGCGATCGAAGTTTCAACTTTGGCCTCGATTTTCTGTAAAACTATTGATCCTAGAAACTTGTAAATCACACAAATGGACTCAGTTTTCATTTCTCTGCAAACTAAAAGAGACAAACTTTAGAAGAAATCAATTTTTACCCGTTTATGCCCATTTTTCTTTCAGTGTTTGAGTCAATTTGTGAAAAAATGTAACAATTGTGTTTATTGAGTCTTTTTAGCAACAATTGTTAACATATTTAATCAACAAGCTTGATAATTTACTTGTTTTTAGTCATTAATCGCAATTTTTCTTCCATTTACTTGAATACTCATAACTAATTGTTTTCATTTGATTTAGTCTCATTCGATATGATCTTAAATGCTTAGAATTTCTTGTTTAAAAACGCTTAAACGATAGAAGGTGCACTTGCAAAGTAACTTATACCTAATTATTCCGCTCTCTTTGCAATATAAGCCACAAAAGATGGTACCTTGTCGGGTACTTCCTTTGCCCATAAAATTTGGTTCAAACTCAAATCAAATTATCACCAATCGAGCTTTATTCGAATGTTCGAGTCAATAATACATATTTAGCGTATCCTCAACAGCTTTAACTATCAGAGCAATCATGTTTACCAGATGAATTCACTCAGTATTGAAATTAACTTTTTCTGACTCGCACTTTTTCCTCTCCGCATTATTCAAACTTGAAGAAGTGCATTGTTAAAAGAATGATGATCGTAGGTGGTGCCGTTCTCGTAATATCGAGACTCAAAGTTTTTAGTCCAATGGCCAAAATCAAGAAAACTGTTGTTTTATTGAAAAAGATATTGAATCCATATTGTGTGCCATTAAATTTCGTTGACAAATAATCAGTTTGAGCACGCTAACTCTTATGATCACAGAGAACGGTCGGTTTAAATGAAGATCGAACTTGATCTTTTTTACAGAAAAAGAAGTATTTATCTTTCAAAATAAGTACATTTTCTGGTTGATCGTCAAAAACTACATCAGTCAAATGAATTTCATAGAAAAATCTGCTTCCATCGCTGTACAAAAGACAGTCCAAGTTTCGACTTTGACCTCAATTTTCTCGAAAACTATTGATTCTAAAAACTTTTTAATAGCACAAATAGAATAAGTTTGCATTTCTCTACAAACTAACAGAACCAAACTTTAGAAGAAATTAATTTTTACCCGTTCATGCCCATTTTTCTTTCAGTGCTTTCGTCAATTTTTGCTCAAATTTAACAATTATGTTTATTGTGTCTTTTCAGTAACAACATACACTAACAGCACAATGCAATAAATCTCAAAATAAAATTGGCCAACCTTAGTCGCGTATAAAAATTCAAATATTTGAAAATAGTGGCTGAGCTAGTTTCTATAAAAATCATGCAAAATATTTGTTACTTGAAATGTTTAAATGATCTCCGATCAAATGTTTAAATCTAATCACTAATTATTATTCTCATTTTTAATAGTTAAATGAACAGCAAAATGATTGTAAAACAAAAAGAGGTCATGAATGACATTGATTTCTAGTCAGGTAAGTTATGTTTATGATGGATAAAATAATGTTTATATTGAAAATCACGATGAACATGGTCATTATTTTTGTAGGCCACTTTGGTCAAACCAGATCATCATCATTGGTACACATTTAATTGCTCTTCCTGTGCATCATCTTTTGCTCCTTTTCGTCTTTTCTTGGTCGACTATTGAACCAATAAATTGCTCCATTTGTATCAAACTGTTGAAAAACAGGTAAAAAATGTGAGCATTAGATTTATAAGTTAAGCTTGAAAATGAAATGAAATACGGTTAAATTGTATCAATGTGTTGATGTTGTTGTTTTATGAATGTCATCAACTGATTTTTATCAAAAAATTGAAAACTGTGTTAGCATAAGGAAAGGAAGAAAGTTTAATACAAAAAAGATTTACCTTGATCATCAATAATCTAAAAGAGTCAAGAGTTTAATATAATCTAACTAATGCTTATTCGTTTTCAATGAGAATACTTGAAAAGGAAAGAGAAGAAGAAGAAGAAGATGAACGAAAATTATCATGAAAAATTAAGCTAAGCTCAACATAAAATTTAGTCTAAACGTAATAAGACTTATAATTTCATTTACATTGTCATCGTCAAGTCGCGATCTGCTTTTGTTTTTCTGTATATGTTTCAAGTCTACACAATTAAAAATTGATCAACTGGGATTATACTTGATAAAAATTAACCAACAATCCCAATCATGAAGCTCATACGGTGAGTCTCGAAATGAAAAACGATTACTTTTCTTGAATCTTTAAAGAATCCATTCTTATTGATTACCATTTTAACTTTATCCTTAGAGCTATCATCGCCTGTCTTTTGTTATTTGGTCACCATCTGATGGTCTGTGGACAAGAATCAGCTTCTGAAAGTTATGACCCTCCATTGCTTAACCCGGCCTCTGAACCTTCGCCTGAAGATGCTCCACGTTATTCCAATTCTTCAACAGTAAATTCAATGGAAGAAGAAAAAGTAGTGAACAATCCTGCGGCTAACAAAGTGGAAAATGCCCCTGATAGTGAGAAGAAACCTGAATCGATTACAAACAGCACAGAGTCGTCTTCAACATCAAGGGTTCGAGCCATAGTACCGGAAAGAGCCATCTATTCTGAATCCAAGAGCATTCCGTTTAACGTTAAACCAGGAGTCAATAGCAAATTTTATGATCAAAGTGAATTGTATTCAGTCGCATTCAATAGATCAATTCCACCATTTGATGTTAAAGCGATCTATCACGAATACTTAGGTCGCATGAGGATCCAGTGTATGAATTATCCTCAAGAACCCAAAATACAATATAAGGATTTACAAGAGGCTGTTCACTTGGCTACAGTACAGGTTCAGACGGAAATTGATCGTGCTATTGCTGATGCCAAAGCTGGAAACATTATAGCCTCAAATGTTATTTCAGCTGATGGTCGACACCTGATCACAGGCAAATTACCATCCGAATTAAAGGATTTCATTGACCAAGAAGAATCGTCTTTTATGGAATATGTTGCCAAAAATTTACAGAGAAAGTAAGTTTTATCGGGAATTGTGTCTTATCGCTTTTACCAAAAGCTGGTGAGTTTGTATCAATAATTGTTGAATAGTAATGAATCATGAACGTTACCAATCATGGTTAGCTTTGTGCTTGTTCTGGAGTTACAACATCATTATCAATCTACTGGAAATTGACAGATCAGCTAAACATTTCACTTCAAATCAGAGATAATATGATATCCAAAGGTTCACTGATAAATGATTTTTTTCCAATTTAACAGGTTTTGTATTAGACCAGTTGATGTAGTCGAACGCTTGACTAAGATTCCTCCGTCTGCATTGGCTTCAAAGTTTTTAAAGTGCACTCGGAAACACAATAATTATGCTGGAAATAAGCTTTCTTGCAAAAACTCTCGATACCGAACATATGATGGCTCATGTAATAACCTTGAGCACACTTTTTGGGGTAAATCAAACATTTGCCATGTTCGATTCCTTCCTCCTGCTTATCAAGATGGTTTGTATTTACCTCGATCTCTTGGAGCCTCTGGAAAGCCTTTACCTTCACCACGATCTGTTTCATTGAGCCTTCATGAAGAGGGTGAAGGTAGTTCATTTTACACACCATGGCACTTTACTTGGGGTCAATTCGTTATCCATGATATAGTGTCAACTCCACAAAGTGTCCCAAGCCATGGATCAGGTGTTCAATGCTGTCCGGCTTCAAAGGATGATTCAAAGTGTTTGCCCATCTTCCTAGGCCAAAACGATTACCAAGCTTCAAAACGAAAATGTATCAACTTTATTCGATCCGCACCTTGTCCTCTTTGTAAACTTGGTAAGTAATAATCCTTAACAAATAATTACATTTTAAAATACAATTAACGAACTGAAGAGCGATAAATTTTAATATCATCAATAATAAGAATTGAAAATCTTTAAAGTCTTTGACTCTTATGAGTGTTGTCTGGGCTATACGTATGGGTGAGTGGCTTTAAACTGCTGAAAGCTAAACATTTGACATCGAATGCACAAATTGTTGAAATATTGAACAAAAACACATGATAAAAAATAAACTGTAATCCAAAAAGTCGCTTCATTTATTTTGTAAATCTTGCGAGTTTATAACAAAGAGCAAAAAAATTGCATTCATTTTTGCTTTATGAATAATATGTCATCTAAATGAGATAACTTTCATTATTTTAAAGCAAATGTCTTTTTTCAATCTCAACCGATACTTTTACTCCAACAGAATGGATTAATATTTTAACCAAAATTTTTTACTTTCAGGTCCAAGACAACAACTTAACTTGGCCACATCTTATATTGACCATAGTGCTATGTATGGAGCTGATAATCAAACTGTTGCCTCTCTACGTACATTTAAAGGTGGTTTGTTGGCTGTTGGATTAGATAAAAATAGGAACCCAATCCTTCCTGACAGTAAATCTACTCTCACTGATCAATGTAGTCGCCCTGCATTGGGTAAAAATCATGTTTGTTTCCGATCTGGTGATGCTCGTGTCAATCAACAACCCTTCATTCAATTGATTCATGGCATCTTCTTACGTCGTCACAATCAACATGCTCGTGGTTTGGCCCGTGTTAATCCATATGCCTCGGATGAAATCCTATTTCAAGAGGCTCGTCGAATCACCATTGCTGAACTTCAACACATAACCTACTATGAATATTTACCCGTTCTTTTGGGACCTGAATTAGGTGATTACTTTGAAGTAATTGAGAAGGATACTCTTTTCACTGAATATGAACCAGATGTTGATGCAACAACATGGAATGAATGTGCTGCTGCTGCCTGTAGATTTGGACACTCACAGATAACATCCTTTTTGTCAATTAAGGAAACAAAAGGAGCATCCATGAATTTAAAAGATTCATTCTTTAATCCAGAACTAATTCATTCAGGTTTGGTAAGTTGAATTTGAGCTATTTGTTCCTAAAATTTTGCATTTAATCTTTCATCTTCTCTCAATCTATTCTAGACTCCAAATTTGATAGCTACTATGCTTAATAGCAAAGCAGCCGTTATGGATCCCTTCCTAACTCCATCGCTCAAGAATTTCTTGTACCACCATTCTGGACAAGATACATTCGGAAGTGATTTAGCTGCTTTCAATATTCAACGTGGTCGAGATCATGGTATTCCTCCTTATGTTGATTACGTTAAATTTTGCTTTGGTTTTGTGATTCGCAGCTGGAAAGATTTACATGCCTTTATGCACCCAGAACATATAGCAAAACTACGCAAAGTCTATGGGTAAGCTTTATCCTCATGTATTTTGACTGGAATTTTTATCTAATCATAATTTCTTTTCTTTGTTCAGTGATTTCCGTGATATTGATTTGTTTACTGGAGGTCTGTATGAAAGGAAAGCCATAGATGCCGATATTGGACCTACTTTTGCATGTATAGTTGGTATCCAATTTTACCATCTAAAATTTGGAGACCGTTACTTCTACACTCATTCTGATCAAGCTGGTTCATTCACTGCTCGTAAGGATTTTAATAATATTTAAATTATCCAAAATATTGACAATCACTAATTATATTTTTGCCTTTTGTTTCATTTTGTAGCTCAATTAACGGATATGAAAAACAAATTTACGCTGTCAAACCTCTTGTGTCTTACTGAACCACAATTGAATTATGCTCAACGCCATGCTTTCCTTGCACCTAGCCCTGTCAATCCTAATATTGATTGTAAAGATGTGCGAAAAAATGCCGGGCTTAACTATAATCTTTGGCGATTCCGTCATTAAATGTTGTTAATATCAATGACGCAAGTGAAACAGAAATCAAAATAATTTAAAAAATAAAATCATTTATATCGTATGAACGTTAAAAAACGCAAAAATTGTGTTAATTACTCTTGTTGAAGCCAATAAGTTCCCATGATAAGTCTCAAGCTTTTATTAAAAAATAGATAACCTTTTAATGGGTTAAGCCATATGCTATGATTGATTAACAGTTAAAATTGTAAGATTTGATTGAAAGGTAAAGTAAAAGTTGTCTTTTAATTTAAATTACATTATGTAATTTATCAACGGAATATATCGATAATCAAAATTGATTTTGATTCGATATATCATCAACTCGAGATCTCTCTTGCCATCTACCTTTTTATTTGAAAAGTTTAATTTGATCAAGTTAATGGTTTAAATCAGTTTGCTCATAAATTGAATTTAAACAGCTCAGTGTGTGACAGTTTTTAACAACAAAAAGTGTGACTACTTGGATTTAACTGTGCCCTTCATCACTTGACTTATTTGTATTTTAACGGATTTTATCATCGTTTCATCTCTTTTCCAAGTCTTTTTTCATTTTCCAGTTCAATTTTTATTTTAATTTCATGGCGTTGGTTGACAATGATATTGAAATTGTTGTCTTCAATTATTTCAGACAACAATTTGCTCTTAAAGATGTCCAATGGACGCCACCTTACACTAATAGACCCGCGCAAGCAGAGGAGCAAATAATCAACAGATTTGTTGAAGTGCTCAATCAGTTAACCACTGACTTTAGGTCAACCGAGGGATTTTCCGAATTGATTGATAAACTGGATTCGGTGACTCATAATCTAGATCGATTGCCCGCTGAGAGTTTCGATGACTCTGGGTACGCTGTTTTTACTGGTATTGCTGAACACTTATTTGCTGAAGGAATTAAATGGTGTCACATTTTAACACTTTTTGTCTTCGCTTTTGAATTGGCCAATGAATTTTTACGAATTAAGGATGACACGGCAGTAGTTGAATGTATTGCCAATTGGCTGATTTTATATACTTCAGAAAGACTTTTGGATTGGATAAATGATCATCAAAATACAGAGTAAATTGCTTCTCATCATTAGATAAATCACATTTTGTAACTCATTGTTTGAACAAATGGTTCAACTTATTCATGAATCTCAGACAAACCAAATAGCAACGATGCATTTTTGTGATAATTTTTTACCTTTTTCCCAATAAAGCTCAATTGTTTGTACTCTTCTCATTGCTGCGTTTTAATAATCATAAATTCAAAAATTGAATCCGTGGATCAGACCAATGAACAATTGGAGCCTTGTACGTTATTATAAATAACTGAATATTGCTCTTATTGAACGTCTTTAGCGCTCTTTAGAGTTTAAATATCTGTGTTTCTATTGAGCAAAAATTTAAAATTCAATTTCTCTTTGATCAGTCGACCTATTATCAACCAATGTGGATTTTAGTCGGAGTCGGTATTGATTGATAAGATTGACAACGAAAGGCTACTTAAGATTCATCTCATGTTAAATTTTTTAGATTTGATTGATTGAACTCCCGGTATATTTTGATTGAGATAAAATCATTCGAAAATATTGCAAACTTGATGATCAGGACCTGGAAATCGCAGATAACTATTAAGATTTGGTCTATCTGATTAGTTGTGATTCGTCCATTTTCTAGCTTTTTAATGAGGTGTCCTCTGTGCAAATGTGAATGAGCTAATTTTTTAAATTAGTTAGATACGTTGTTAACCAAAGATTAATCTTTGTTGTTAACGTACATATTGCAACGTTGTATCTAATGAATGTATCTATGGCAATAAACAAAAACTTACTTATTTTAATTAACGCGTTTTTTCAATTCTCTCCGTTTTCAATATATGCGTCAGTTTAGACTGAATGGCTCAATTTGAAGATAAACTTTGAAAAAATTGTTTCTGCATCATGTTAATAATTTGAACAACATCAGAGTATTATTTTGGATTGATCACTACCAATTCAATCATTTTTACCTGTTTTGCATCAATTTCTTTTGAGTTTGGGGTTCAATCATAAAAATTTAATTGTCACTGGTTTAATAATCATAATAACTCTATTAATAGTAAAGACAGAAACAATTATTCAGATAAGAATCAAAGTGAGTTAGAATCAGGAAATACATTTCAAGTGGATTATCATAATTGTTTCTTGATCTGATCTCAGATATTAATAATTATATAAGCTTAAGAATAAAGAAAATGGAAAATATCATTTCAGTTTTTTTTGCGATTTTTATTCTAAGAGAATAAAATAGTCAAATACAATTTTAACTTTAGCTTTTTATGATGGATTAAATTAATAGTCCAAATAGTTAAAAATTAAATTTCAGGGATAATCAGATAAATGTCTTAATTAGAAATGGTAGAAATAAGTAAGTGATTGTTTGAGATATCATTAGTTATTGTCAGTTGAGACGGCACATCTCAATGGCTCATTTTGAAGATCAACTTTGAAACAATCGATCCATGTGCTTGTTTCTTCGTCATAATTCATGATCTGAACACCATTGGAGCATTTCTGAATTATGTATAGTTTGGAATTGGTTACCACCAAATCAATCACTTTACCTGGTGTTACACCATCATTGGTTGATTTTGACGAGTGAAGTCCTCTTTTACCATTTTTAGGATCAAACCAGTAGAACCGCTCTGGTTCATCAAGATAGATTAGTTTATCATTGAAAATAGTAAGTGGATGAGATGATAAGGATGAAGGAAATGGCACAAAGAAATTCCATTTGAACAAAACAGGATCATAAGCCGCACCACTGGAAATGAATAAAATCTGTTTATCGAAAACTGATATTTTGTCATTTTCCCTGATAGTGATTCTTGATGGTGCTAAGATCATTCGGAACTCGTCTGAAGATGGATCATATTTGTAAAAGTTGTGAGATACTCCGATAGAGGCTGTGAAATAAATACAATTTGCAAAGGTACACATCGACGATATAACCAAATCAATGGGCCAGTTAGTCATGGAAGTCCACATTTTCCTCTCCAGATTATAAACATCAACAGACCGGTTTCTAGGATTTCGATGCCCAAAAACTAAGAGGCTGTCTGCGAGAACTGCAAGCAAAATTGCTTGCTTTGTAGGTATTTTTTTACTTATACCCGTTGCTAGATTGATCTGATGAATACTGTGTTCCCAGGTTTTTTGGTAACCTCGGGCGAGAATGTAAACATAATTGTATGTTTCAGGAGATTGAAGACTTGTGGACATTGACATGAGAAGACCATTCTTTGACACATCAATAATATCTCGACACTCGAGACTTTTCCGAATTAAACGCATTTTACTCAGGTCAATAAGTTGCTCTGTATTAAGAGACTGTAGATTGATTCTTCTCAAAAGAGAGGCTAAATGCTTTTGATGTTCTTCTGATCTTTCAGCCCATTTAACCAGACTTTTTGCGAAAGTGGCTTCGATAGATGAATCATTTCGTTGCAAAGACAATATCTTGTTCAACAACTCCAACGGAAGCTCCAAAAATGCTTCGCAGTTGAGAATTCGTTCAAGATAACTGAGACTCAGAGAAAGAGGAGTAACCGGGGATCTTTCTTGTTCTTTAAGAACCTCAACTATCCGTAAGGCGAACTCCATTCCCAAACAAATCAAAGAATCAGAGTGAGCATCAGAAAGAACATTGGGATAATAAGAGTCATTGGTTTTTTGATCAACCGAGATCGACAAGTTGGTCCAATTTGCAACTGGTGAGGCTTGCATGTTTAACATGACCATGCCGCTGGCAGATGATTTATTTTCTTCGTCATAATCATCCTCATTGACATCATCCACTTCTCGACGAGAAGAAGGAGAATGAGAAGGTACAGAGGAATGAGGTTCACCATCTGCGACCAAGCTATTAGCAGAATCATTTAATTGGTCTTCATTTATCACAGAAAATGAGCTAGTAGAGCTTGCTGAGCGATTTAGATGAAGTTGTGATGCATTTTGAATTGATGACCAGATAGCTTTTGCACGAGGCTGGTCAACATAAGTTTCTGGTTGAATAAAGGATTCTTGGTCTGCTCGTGTTATGAGCGAATCATCGTCAGAATCATGACTTTTCAATTCCTGGACTTCAGCATTATCACCAAGAGTTAGAGATACCCAAATAGGAGATTTACTGCGAACCATCAAAATTTTGTAATGATATTCATCTTCTTCACGATCACAGTTCATTGTTTTCAAACAAAAGCAAAGCAGGAAGAAAAACCAAAAACTCAAATCCAAACAAAATGGACAAAATTAATAAAATAGAAAATGATTGCAATATGATGATAAATGACGATGTAAAATATTTCAGTTTTACTACGATTTGAAATATCAAGTGAATACACCAAACCAAAACAAAAACATAACAATGTATTATCAAGTGAGGCAAAAGGCAAAAATACTTGAGGCTTTAGTGTTTCCTAGCAACAAGTGCTAACAAGAAGTACAGACTGTAGTTTAAATTGAATGGCGCTTGAATAAGGTATAAGTCTATCTCCTACAAAGGGACTGGAAAGTAAAGTCTAATCTTTGTTATTAAACGTAGTTAATTGTTTTTGTTTTTCATCGAGGGTTAATGATCCATTGATTGTTCTAATCAAGATTATACTTATTTGTGAGACTGGCTATGCAGATTATATTAATTAGCTATCAATAAATTATGTGTATTATCAAAAATTTTAATAGGACCCTTGAATAATGAGGCCATAATCATAATTCATTAGTTCAAGCAGTCAATGTTAATGTATATATAATCAAATCATTTGTTCATTTGCTCAACAATTTGAGGTACAAATTTTATTTTCCGTTATTTGACTTGCAATCAGTTATTATAGTCAATATTATCATCATTCTTATTGTGAATTAATGGGCTTATTCTTGGTAAATTATCATCTATCCACATTAGCTTACAAACAATATAGAAAACCTTTGGATTATCAATTTCTTTAATTGTTTTCTATCTATCAATATATTGAATTTTTCACTGATAGTCTTAACAATTAGATAAATTACTTCCTAATAACAAGATAAATCACATTTTGTGATCACATCACAATTACATTGTTTGGACAAATGGTTCAACTTGTTCAAGAATCTTAAAGAAACCAGCGAGCACGATGAAATATTTTAATAATTTTTTACCTTTTTTCAATGAAGTTCAATTGTTTTTCCCGTTGCAGAGTTTTAATAATCATGAGATTCAGAAATTGAATCCATGAATCAGACCAATGAACAACTTGTAAATTTTTACATAATAGATGGCGTTAAAGGCTATCTCTGATTAGTGTTTCTCGATTTTTGAAAAAATAATCAATCAACGATTTTGATTATTTTTGAAGGAATATCGATTTAATCGTTGATTAAAATATCGTTTAAATATCGTTAAAAAATCGGAAAAATCGGAAAAATCGGAAAAATCGAAGGGTTTCAATGAGTTTCAATGGACACAATCCTAAATATTGACCAAATTCATCGTATTAAAAATGAAATTATTAAAAAATTGAAAGAAAATACATAAAATCAAATTTTTTTCTATGATCAAAATTGAACAGACATTTCCAAAAGTAGAAAAATCAAGCAAAAATGAAACAAATCTCATGAAAATTCGTTTCGATTTAATCGAGAGAAATATCGATAAAAATCATTGGAAAAATATCGATTATAATCGTCGATTTGATTTAATCGCAGAAACACTATCTCTGATTGTTTACATCTTTTTATTTTGTTGGTTACTCTTTCAACTCTATTTCAGAGATTTAATTGTGAAATGAGCGTTTGAATATTTGTTATCAAATTACGAGTTTTAAATTGTTAAGTGAATTATATGCCTTGTAAAATGTATTCAAGTGTAAGAAAATTCGGAACTCTTTCTAAACATATTCCAAGTGCTTTTGACATCGCTATTGTTGGTGGAGGAACTGCTGGTATGAATATTGCTTGGAAACTTGGACGTTATTACAAAAAACTGAATATCGCTCTTATTGAACCCTCTTTAGTAAGTTTTAATAACTTCATTTTTAATGAACAATCTTTAAAATTCAATTTCTCTTTGACCAGTTTCACTATTATCAACCAATGTGGACTTTAGTCGGAGCCGGTATTAAAAATTTTGAATCATCTGTAAGCAATTTTTCTGATTTGACTCGAAACTTGCGGATTGTAAAGCTGAGAGATAAAACTGTAGAGTTTATTCCCGAAGAGAACTGTATAAGATTGGCGACAAAAGGCTACGTAAGTGTCATATCACGTTAAATTTTTAGATTTTTAATTTATATCTTTTTAAATATTTATCCTGTAATAGCTTCGTTACAATTATTTGGTTGTTTGTACGGGTATCGAATTGGATTTTCAAAGAATAAAAGGAATTGACGAAGCTTTCCAGAAGGATAACGTCTGCTCAAATTATTCTCCCGATACTGTTCAAAAGACATGGAAGTGTTTACAAAACATGGAATCAGGAAACGCTATTTTTACGTTTCCAAATACACCCATTAAATGTGCTGGTGCACCACAGAAGATAATGTATCTAGCTGAAGATTACTGGAGAAAGGCAAGTCTGCATTGTGTTTCATAATCTAAGTTTCTTTTATCCATCTAACCTTTATTTTTTCACTGTAATTCAGACAGGAAAACGAGATAATATCAATATTTTATTCAATTCATCTTTACCTGGAATATTCTCTGTTCCGAAATATGCGAAAAGTTTAAATGAAATTATCGAGAAAAGAGGAATAAAAACCAACTTCCGGCATAATTTGATTGAGATAAAAGCATCCGAAAATGTAGCAGTCTTCGAAAACCTTGACACTGGAGATAAAGTTCCTTTTGAAGTTAGTCATTTTTTCACTTTTTTTTCTATTGCGTATTGAAATTTACTTTTTGTTTCTTTTTAAAAGTATGGAATGATTCATGTAACGCCTGCTCAAAAACCATCCGAAATTCTTAAACCTATTGGTGATCAAGCTGGTTTCGTCGATGTTGATAAATACACTTTACAACATGTAAAGTATCCTAATATCTTTTCTCTTGGAGATTGTAGCAATTTACCGACTTCTAAAACGGCTGCAGCAGTAGCAAGTCAATCAGGAATACTTTTCTGGAATCTTGTGAACGTTATGGCTGGTCGGGATCCACCAATGAAGGTAAATTTATTCACAATAAGTTGTTAAGACGTCCATTATAAGTCAATTTCAATAACATATCTTAATTTTTCTTATTGATTTTTTCTTAAATCTGTAGTATGACGGTTATTCCTCATGTCCATTGGTAACTAGTTACAGCAAATGTATTTTGGCAGAGTTTGATTATGATTTGAAACCAAAAGAAACTTTCCCTGTAGATCAGGGAAAAGAAAGACGATCAATGTTTATTATGAAAAGTACTTTTATGCCACTTCTATATTGGTTCCTCCATGTTACGTAAGTTTTGTTTCTTGCATGACTATAATGCGTTATTTCATTCTTGAAAATCATTGATTAAACAAATTTATTTTTTAGGGGACGATGGTCTGGACCTGGAAAACTCAGGAAACTATTAAGATTTGGCCTATCTGATTAGTTATGGTTGTTGGTTCGAAATCGTCTATTTTCTATCTTTTTAATGAGGGAAACCCTCTGTTCGGTAAAGGACAAGTTCACCTTTTTTAGTTGATCCGAGATTAAATACTTTAACAAAGACCAGAATGAGATTTACTCGAATAGTTAAACTTACAATGAAATTGAGGTTTATTACTGAAATCAAATTTAAAATGTGTAGGCCTTGATTACAAAAAACCTTCATTGGGTATAAAATGATTCAAAAATGTTGCAAGTTGTAAATTCATGTTGAATATATTATTAAATTTAATTTACAAAATTTACATGAAAAGTTCTGACAAATATTCATCCATCTCAGTCTCTATAGACTCCGGTTCGGTATTCGGTTGAGGCTGATTTGAACTCCAAATACAAACTAAATCTTCATCTTTTTCTTCTTTCACTGTCACTGGGTTGAACTCCTTATTCGTTGAGCTATTAGATGGACCAACCATATCAGATGCATCAGAATCAATATCAGTCTCTTGTTTGTAAGTAGACTTATTTTTCCCATCTTTTCGATTTTTCTTGATTTCTTTTCTCTTGTGATGATAATTTAATTTATAAGAGCAGTCCGGACATAACCCTGAATAAATGAGAATGAAAGTTAAATTTCACAACGTATCTAATGAATGTAGTCATAGCAATAAACGAAAACTTACTTATTTTAACTAACGCATTTTTCTTCTCTCCATGTTCAATATATGCGAAATTTACTTCCCAACTTTTTAACAAGTCTTTCGCTGTACAACTCACGTCAGCACAAATGAACTGTCCTTTTCCATCGATGACTTCTTTTTCGATTCTCCACCTCAAAGCAATCTGCCGGATCAAAATTAAAAAATGTAAAAAATTGTAAAAATAACAGAACAAATGAAGCGCAATGACTTACTTTATTTTCTTTGTATCGTTTCAAATCAGCAATGCAATATTCCTTAAATAGTTTATCATAATATTTTCTAGCAACACGCTTTTCCCTGTTAACAGAAAAAGATCATGATGAGTATAATTAACTGTTTCAATTGGGATTTGATCTTACCAAGTATCTGTTTGATCCTCATCGTCCCAAAGAAATTTATGATTTGCTTTTAAAACGTCTAAATCAGTGACAACCTTACTTGTACGACTTTTAGGTTTCTGAACTTCTCCTTTTTTATCCGATAGATATTGCTTGATCAACATCATGTGTTTTGTGTACTGCAATAAACAGATTAATACAAAAAATTGTCAATAATGATCTGACAGATAGTAAAGAAATCTTAATGTTACAACTTACAGCTTCTAATGGTGGTTTTTTCACACAATCCTGAGGAGCTCCAATTTCAGTCTTCTTGCTTTTAGTCGAATGTGCATCATCGTCTTCAACCTTTCTTTAATAAAAATAACCGATTAATAAATTAAGACGATCAATTAACAACAAAAAATAAGTGCAAAGAAAACATCCAACCTTTTGTTATCCATATTGGGAAGAAATGTGAGATTCAGAGGTTAAAAATAACAAGTTATGGAAACCAATACTAGCATCTGATTTTTACTAAATTAACTGGGATGACAATTAGCATAAAAACTGACAGTTAGATAAACTAAATTAGATTTATAAAAAAACCAACATGAAAAGCTTGTATTTCAATCAGCTGGTAATCTGATTCAGTGTAAACAAACTGATGCAGAGCGGGTTTTTCAAAGCATACAAGGCTAATGGTATTTTCACATTGAATTAAAAGATAATCTATATTAATATTATCACCATGATCAGATCACATGTACAGATCAATCAGTATTAATCAAATTGAACATCACAAAGATCAAATATATTCTGTAATATGTAATACTAAATTGAAACATTCTTACAAGTTCAGAATAAGCAACATTTATCAATAAAATCTCAATTCCAATGTTTCAAGTGATTCCTGTTTCATTTCATTTGTCAGATTAAACAGATTTGACATTTATAAATTCAATTACCCCTTTAACCATACAAACAAAACGATCTCTACAATTTATACAATTTACAGGGAATCAACAAAAGACCAAAAAGAGCCAAAAATGACCCAAAACACCCATTTTTAAATAAAATATACAAAAAATCATATCATAACTGTTATACTTAAACATTCAATCACTTGTAAGACAATTTATTTTCACAAAATCACATTCATTTGTCTCTCAACTTTAACTATCCATTGATTATCCAGAGAACTGATTTTGCACCAAAATTAAACCAAAAATATTGCAATAAACTGATCAATAAATTTCTGGCTATTTTTGGTCATTTAGTGGTTTCTTTGGTTTTGGCAACTTTCGGCCCTTTTTGGTCTTTTGTGAGCCTTCAATTTACATTGTCTAAATGATTGAATATGGGTTATCAATACAAATCTAATTGACTTAATTGGCAATAATGTTCCTGTAAATCACAATTGAATCTTTAAACGATTGTTTTATGCTTTAAATTAGGCACTAAACGAGTATAATATCTATCGGATACTCTGATTTGATTGACAGAATCATTACCTTTTTAATTGCTGCTATTTTCTCAAATGTCAACTTAACAATGTAAGGGTTAATTAACAATTAGTCTATTTTATCAACCCACTCAATCACGAGTTTTAACTCTTCTTTAACCATGTTTCAGTTACCATTTCTGTATTAATAATGGATAATATAATCTACTGAAATTTGTAAACAATGTGGTTGATAATTGAATAGGAATACAAAAAAATGAAAGGTTTACACCGTCCTTGATCAATTAATATAAATTGCTCGATATTATTTCATTTTGCTTTTATATAATATTATTGTACAGTATAAATATATTTATATTTATTGGCTGATAATTTTTATGATTTATCGTTAATTTTCATTGGAAATTCCCCCTTCTAATCACATCTTAATTAATTGTCAATCTTTGGTTGTCTTTGCTGTTCAAGATCAATCCTGTTTTAACCAATCCGTTCTGAGATGGATTGAAACTAATTGTAGATTTATTTATTCACTGTTTACCCAAGTAAATAAATTATTCATACAAATTGCCAGGACAAGAAGATTAACTAATAAGCCAAGGTGATCAAGTAACAATTTAAGTTTATCAGGACAATATTGATATTGAAGGAGTTAAACAATAAGACTAAATGTACCAAAAGTATTAAGTTGGATCTGTCTTTTGTACTTGGTTATGACAAAAATTGTATTAAATTGAATTTTCATTTTCATTTCTTATTATCTTGAACTTGATTTTTAATCTCATTGATCCAGAATTATCTGGGATTCAGTTAATCACTTCTTTGCTACTGATAATTAGCAGTAATTAGTCTTTTGCCGATCATTAATTATGTTTTGCAAGGTAAACTTTCAATCATTGTTGTAACTTTTGTTTTTTGATCCTATGCCAGGTTCATAAGGAATAATCAAACCTTTGCTCGTGTTCAAGATTAATTGTTATAGATATTGAAAAGCACTAGTTGATTAAATTGCATAGTTAATTATACGGCAAAATTACACTTAAATGTGACGATTCTTGTTTCTTGATGATGTTTCTGATGCACTTTGGCGAGTACTTGGTTGAGGGTTAAAGTCAACATTACTCACAACCGATATAGTGATTCCCTTCAGATCTAATCTTTGATTTTCGTGTTAAATCAGAAAATTATTAAGATTTGAATAATATTTGATTGCTGTTAACTATTCCTTAAGCTTTGTGTTACAGAGAGATAATTTAACATTTCAAAATGTACTTCATTATTTCATTATTTAGTATTTTTTGGTGTTCCTGTGTTAAGGTTAAAATTAGGTTTTTAATCTAACAGCTGAGTGTATAAGCCATAAATAGCCATAGGTAGCCATAAATGGTTATAGTATTAATTGTTGGTAGACTTGGTTGGATAGTTTAACAAATTATCTTTATTGTTAATCGTTTTTTTGGCTCATGATCGACTTTTCTCATTATTTTAACAATTTTGCTGTCAATCATGTCACAAACATTTGAGGGATTTTTATGTTACATAAAAAGAGATGATATAATGTTATTTGTGTTACAAGTTGAATTGTGAATGCAATTTTTGCAAATGTTAAATGTGATCAATGAAAATTAAGTAAAGGTGATACAGAATGATTGATGATGGCGGCTGCTAGATGGTTTATAACTGCTTATATCAAAAAGCATACAAAATAAATAAGATCAACCTTTTTTAGTACCAAAAGGATTGAATTAATTACAAGTGCAGAGTTATAGATAAATACGCGAGACACTATGTAGTTCATCTTGATTGTTTGTCTGGTATTACACAAAGGGATTCACAATCTTCCAATTTTTCAAAGTTATTGTCATATTGGAAACATCCTTTGAAGATGAATTTGATGCACTTGTTTACCTCTGGATCATAATAATAACGGATTAAATTTTCCTTGCAGGTTCCTTCAGCAAATGGTTGGAAACAAATATCTTCCCGCTTTCTGGGTGGTTCCGTAGTATTAGTTGGTTGTTCAGTAGCTGTTATTACTGTGGTTTTGTTGGATGTTGCTTGTTCTGAGTTTGGATCAATGCTTGGATCTGCAGCATTTTCAGCATCTCGTGTTGATCGTCTCAATGACACTGAGCTGGTTAGTGAACAGAGAGACATACAGTCTTTTTGGGTTTCAAAATTGTTGCCATTACCTTGACAGCCACCATAAATAAATAGTTCACAGGTTTTCGTTTCATCATTGAAAAAGTAACGAGGATTATAACTGTAGCAAGGACCAGGTTGAGGAGCTAATTTGCAAACTGCTGGTGTATTAACTGTGGTAAATAGAGAGATGTAAGCAATTAATATCAAATAGGCAGGTATAGTTAAATAAATGAGATACTTACTACTTCGAGTGTTGACATAAATAATCAAGGAATTAATACACACAAAAAAATAAAGGGAAACCATCTTTGTGTACATTGCTGGTAAATAGGTTGGAAGATATCTCGGAAAGTTGAACGTTTTTTCCTGTTGGTTGAACGAGTTATTGAAAAGGTTATAACAGTTGATTTAGTTGGCTTAACGTTTAAATCTCGATTGATCCGAGTAAGCAATGAAATTTTGTTTAAATAAGAATCAATAAACCATGACAACCAAACTGATTAGATGATTATTTCTTAATCCAATTGATTCTCTCAGAGAAAATAATGCAATGGAAAGAGGGGAGAAAATTTCTTCTTATTTCTCTCCTTCTATCCTTCTCTCTCACTCACTCACTTTATAACCATAATGATCATTGATCATGATGGTGATGAAAATTATTGGTTGATTAGATGGAAATACTAAATATACTAATGCATTTTCCTGAATGTTATCAGAGGTTCATTCAAGTATAAGATTATATTGAACATTCATTTTAACAAATAAGGGAAGTGATAACAAACAATTAACTAAATTAATTGGTTTCATTTTACACTGAGCAAAATTGAACTGTTGATCGTGATTACCTTTATAACCTAATTGCAGAATATAAAGTCAATCATGACTGAGCAAACTTCAAATAAACTGATTGCATTCAACATAGAAACAGCTGACTGATAAACAGTAAGATAATACTGGGTTCAGAGGGTTAATTTTTGACATATTTTCATTGGATTGTATTCAATGCTTGTTGAATACGCTGCTGTCAAAGTCTAAATATATGATTGATTTTTACAGATTACATCGGATGAAGTATGGATGTAAGCATGGAAGAGAGCGTAAACAATCTTACAATGAGTTGATAAGTGCATTGACTTTTTCTCAATGAATGAAACTTAATGAGAAAATATTCGTTCGAAGTTCATTACCAGGGTGAAAACAGGTGCTTGGGGTGAAAATAAACAACCTCATCAATGGAAAGTTCAATGAAAACTTTATCATTAATGACGGTAACAAATGTAACTTCTAATAAATAGCTGCACCGATAAAAACACTATCCATTAATATTAACGATCAGCACAGGAAATTAAACAAAAAAGCTCACATGATGATATAATGAAAGTAATCTTAGAAAGATTATTTTCACGGGCGATGAGTCTTGAGATTCTGTAATCTTTGGCATTGTTGAAGAAGACATGCGATCAAAGAGTTACGAGCAAGAATTTATAAATTTTTCCATTCAAGCGACACTTTTGGCAGAATACAATGCTTAAAGGGTTGAGATAAGTGACTCTCGATTTTTCCAAGGTCCTCCAGTTCTGATGAGCCCTTCTTTGTTCCAATCGATCGATGGGAAAATACCTAATACAAAAAGGTAAACAATATTAGCACTGAATATTATTTTCATTGACAAGATGTTCAACCTCAAGCACATGAAGATGGAAATAATAAGAGGGCAAGATACGTGGTTCAAATATTTACCTTTAAGTTCATATAAGTATTGAGCTATGCTGGTAGAAATGATCATAAATTAGTTGGAACAAAAACCAAATAATAACAAATTCCAGGGATGATGATAAATCTCAACCAAAACATTTGAAGACATGAAACGGAAAGCCTTTTGAAGCGGAAATGGCTTTGATACAAAACAACCAACTTCAAGGATTTTACGATTCATTTTGGATACCCAAGAACACATGATTTCCTAATGATCTAGAATAGATTAAAATAAAAACCTTGAATCGGTATAAAAAATTAACAAACAAACGAAACAAAACAATAAAAGTACATTTACTTGATGAATATGAGTTATGTTGCGAGATACAGCTATTTAACGGTTTCTGTTTTCAAACGCGGTCATTCACATTGAGCTAAGATTTGGAATCCTGGCTCAGAATAAAATTTGATTCAGACATAATCTAGAAAAGAAAGCATAGCCTGCACGAACTACATATTTAAAAATTAATAGATTTGATTTAAATAAAATTTTTTTTACGTGAGTTGACTTAATTAAAAAGATCTTTATTTACACAAATCTTTTTGTGCAAATAGACTTAATGTTATCCTTACGAATAAAAAAAGAACAATTTGTAATAAACTCTGTCAACTTTTATTCTGTTTGGTCATTTATTTTTTTCTAATTAATTATAGAGTAGAGTTGATTTATTTAAAGATAGTTTAATTGTGAAAATATGTCTTCAAAACAACATTGTCTAACCTGTACAGGTCACACGAGGCCAGTTGTCTTTCTTAATTTCAGTAATATTACTCAAAATGGTAAATATTACCTAATCTCTGCATGCAAAGGTAAGTTTAACAGTCTATCATTATTTGAATGAATATTGATCTGAGAAATGTTATTCTAATTTTATCACATTGTTGATTTGGAAATTATTTAACTACTATTTTTTTACTTAATTTGACCCTTTTCTTTGGTTTCGTCAGATGGTAAACCAATGTTGAGGCAAGGTGAAACTGGTGATTGGATTGGTACCTTTGATGGACACAAAGGAGCAGTTTGGGGGGTTGCTCTCAATAGTCAGGCTAATAGAGCTGCCACTGGAGCTGCTGATTTTACTGCCAAAATTTGGGACTGTGCCAAGGGAGCTGAACTAATTACTTTCTCACATTCTCATATCGTCAAGTCCGTTGCATTCAGTTCAGATGACTCAAAACTTGTCACGGCTAGCAATGAGAAATTAATAAGGATTTATGATCTTACAAAACCAGAAGCCGGTAAATTTCGCAGCTTTTGTTTAATTTTTCCATCTTTTTCAGAGATATCAACTGATAGAAAAAGAGAAACAAAAGTTCTAGTATTTTACATACATTTATGTATTCAGCTTTATTGTCCTTTAGTCTTTCATTTACCAATTCTTTCATCTTTCATTTTCCCTCTCTTTCCAAAATTTTACAGCGCCAACCGTAATTAGTGGACATACAGCGCCAATAAAACATGTAATGTTTCTTAATAACGACAATTGGTTAATATCTGCGTCCGAGGATAAAACTATTCGATTATGGGACTGTAAAAGCTCCAAAGAAATCTATTGCTTAGCATTTCCAAACATTCCAAATGATATCGAACTTTCAAGTGATAAAAATATACTCACTGTTGCCTCTGGAAACTGTGTGGGCTTCTACGAGCTAACCTGCTTCACTAAAATTAAAGAATACATTGCTCCAACTGATGTCTACACTGCAACCTTGTCTCCTGACCAATCAGTTTTCGTTTGTGCTGGATTGGACTTCACAATGTACAAATATCAATTCAACAATGGAGAAGAATTAGGTAATCATTTTCCAGCGATTTTAACATGTAGACAATCATCTGATTATTTTTCTCCCTTTTTAAACAGATTCTTTTAAAGGACATTTTGGTCCATTACATTGTACCCGATTTTCTCCTGATGGTGAACTTTATGCAAGTGCTAGCGAAGACGGGACTATTCGTTTATGGCAAACTTATGTTGGTAAAAATTATGGTCTTTGGAAATACGAACAATAATGGAATTCCAATCTTTTAGTGCAAAATTTCGATTAATTTTGTTCATTAATTGAACTCGATCTCAAGATCTAATCAGCAACTTTGAAACAAAGAGTACAACAAATGATCTTTTGCAAATTTGGTTGTTTAAAGTTCAAAACATAATTTAAAATTATTAATGCGTTCCACTATTTCAGTGATCTCTTCGTCTACTTAATTTCACAATTACTTTTCTACCAAATTAAGGAAAATTCCTGTCCAAAAATAAATCAAACCAAAAAACATTTTTATAATTTTTTCAGAAAAATATCATGTTCCAAGAATACATTCACAAGTCAAATAACTCTTTCAAACGTATTATTCATCATGTCTCAATTTTTCACTTAAATCTCTATCCATAAAAAAAATTAAATTGTATTTCCAATTGTCTCATTCTTTCTATACTTTTTTCGCATCTCGGCAGAAACATTAAGCAAGATTATTATCTGTGTAAAGAATGTTTTACAGATTCTATGAATATTAGCAATTATCTTTTCCGTTTTCTTATCGAAATGTTAGCTATGGAATTAATGAAATGCTGAAGGTCAAACAATTTTATTGAAAAGGCGAGAATAAGATGAATATTAAATTTATTGTTTTTTGACTAATAAAGAATGATAGAGACATTATTCACCTATTATAGAATTGTTAATGAGTATAAGAAGAGCGATGAGTTTAGCAGAAAGGGAAAAGGAAATAAGAGATATGAAGAAAATACATTAGGACAGCTTGAAAGCAGAAATGAGTCAGGAATAGAACTTTGCGTTAGTAAGGATTAAATGGTTTACAAGATTTGCTTATTTTTTTGCGCTATTGACGTTAATTGAAAAAGCCATTATTCTCATTTAGTGAAGATTTTGTTTCAATTTTTGATTTAAAAGGTAAGAACAGAAGAAGTAAAGATTAGGTCAGAAGAAGAGAAAAGAAGATGAAAGGATAAATTGTAATAATAAATCAATTGATTTTCATAGTTGATCTAACAGCCAGGCTCCACATTGACCATTGAGCTTCAATAGTGATTTAGTGTGCTTTACAATTGTTTCTAAAGGTGGACGATGAACACAGCCTCCAAGTTCACTCATAACAATGGCATTATTTAATTGTTGACAAACATGCTCCCTTTCACTTGGATTAAGTTGCCATGCAATAGGTGATTTGGTTGGATCACTGTAGGCCATTAAACTGGAAACTTGAAGGAGCATCTTTTTATTCTGATCATTTGAACCACTTTTCTTTTTTAATTGTTTTGATAGTTTATGCAGTTCCCGACCAAAATTGATCAGCATGGACAAGCGCATTGCGTCATCTTCACCATAATTTGAAAGTTCATCGGTAGAGGTAATAGTAGAATGTGCTTTGTTTGGTGGATTTTCTTCTTCGGGCTCATGATCGATATCCATCTTATCACCAAACAAACTGCCATTACAGTCATTTGTCGATAGGCCATTGGTTGAATTTGTATTGATAGTGTTATTACTATTATTAGTTGTTGTATTGGCGTTGGCGTCATTTGAATTGCAATTTTTAACACTATTATTGTGTGTGTTGTTGTTACTAATGATTGTGGATGTTGCAGCCATATTGGAAGTCGTATTGGTGGAAGATGAAAAATCCTTTGATGAGGAAGAAAAGGAATTCGAAGACGAGGAAGGCGAACAAATCAGAGTGGATGGATGAGCTGTCTTTGGTGATGGGTTAGTTGCATTATTAGTTACGCTGAGAGTCTTTGTAACTGTTGTACAGGTTGAGTCTGATGATTTCAAGTCTCCTGCGGATTTGTTTACAGAATCAGATGAAGATAAGGATTGGATAGTCTTTTTACTACAAGATTCACTAATCATTTCAACAAATTGTCTGCATTTTAGGGCAAACAATAAATTAGGATTATCGTTAAGTACATCAGGATATAATTTGTTAGTCAGCTGAATGGCATCCTCAATTTTGCCAGTTAAGACAAGCTGTTGTATCCTAAGACGTTGTTTAATTTGTTGCACATTTTCTTTGAATTCTTGTTTAGTTACAGATGAAAATACTTCTGCCGTAGAACAATAACTGTTGTGAATAAGCCATGATAATACAAGCTTATTGATAGCAGATTGCCATTCAGCATATTTGACAGGATGGTTGATAATATTTGCAGTGATTCTTTGTCTCAATGCTCTCAAGTCGTCTTCGATGTCATAACAAAATGGTTCCAGTCCAAAGTTGGCCTTAACCTTTTCACCTGGAGTTTGAAGCCCAATTGTTGGATACAAAGGGATATTTGGCAAATCTGTAAAAGCAATACCAAGATTGTGGCCATTCTTGGTGAAGAAACAGTTATTTTCAACAATGTTGTAACCACAGCCAATGACATCACCAGTTGTGAAAATAGGTCCGTAAGGTTGACCAGTACCAGATGAGCAAAAGGAATTACCATCGTCCCCATGATAACCATATGATTGCTTATCCCAACCAGGCAATCGTTGCATATTAGCACCTTGAGCAGCTAGACCAATTCCCATGTAACCATCACGACCTTTGCTTAAAACTTTTATCTCAAAGTAGTACAATAGGCAACTAGAGGGTATAGGGATTGCAGTGCGAACGGAGGCAGCATCTTTATTATTTTTACCATTACCTTTATAGTGGACCTTCAAATTATTATCTGATAAAGAAATAAAATTAGCTTTATCCTTATTAGACCAACACAATGGCAGCTCATTTAAATCAGTATATGGATAGAGTGAAGTTAAACGAGAGAAATCTTCGCCAACACAGTTTTCACTAAAAGGTTTTTCCATTATTCTGCCAAAATGGAATAGCACAGGTTACCAGTGAGTACTAGGATGACAGAATAAACTAAAATCAACCAGATAGATGAGGTCAATCTAATTTTAAACAAAGAAAACAAAATGCACAGATTTACTGACAAACAGAAAAATAATGATAAACAATGAACAGTTGGACGAAAGATGGCGTGTAAGTGGGTTAAAGACTCACACTCAGATGTTTGGTTACAGTCAAATAAAGGGGAAGCCTTTTTATATTCATCAATTTCTTTCCCTTCAGAAAAGTCATTTCATAAGTTTTCAGTGCTTTCAATGTAGAGCCATCTATTGGTTCTATTACCCTTTCTGTTAATTTAGAGGCTTTAATTTACCTTATTTTACAATCATTATGGCCAAATCAAATGAAAATCAATGATTATGTTGGTGACTGTTGGTAAAAAAAGACGCCAGATCATAAAAATGACGTAATTAATGATACGAAGCTATCTGGACAATCATTTGTTCACGAGGTTGAACAGCCAAATTCAAATTTTTAATTTCGATTCTCTTTAAGACATTGCAAGGTTAAAACAGGTTAATATCTTCCTGTAAAATATCTTACCTGTTTTACGAAGCTTATCTTCACTGGAAAGAGATACAACCTCTTGTCTACTTTTAACTTGACGGGCGAGGCTAAGGAGTGGGCTTTTGGTTATTTGATAGTTAGGTTTTACAAAGGTTACACAGAGTGACCTCTTTAAATCATATTTTGTGGATTGATTTTATTCGTATTTCTAGCTGAAGTATCATTGAAAAGGCTAGAACTAGCAAATTAACCAAGAATCTCTAATTTAAATAAATCTTTGACAATCGGATAGCTTCTTTTAATTTTCTCTGAATAATTTTTGATTTTGAGTTAAATTGCTTTTAGTTTGGGCTTCATAATGAGACTAATTGGCATGAAAATTAAAAACCGTTCTGGTTGTGGTGTTACAAGTCAATTTTATTAGATGATCCCTCTTTAACTAATCTTTGTTGAATGCAAGGGATCCTTATACGAGAATCTTCATTGATGATCGCAGTTAAAATGGTTGAGAGCACAAAACTGGTTTCGCCAATGCAACTTGAGGATTGTCAGAAAAGGCTATAATATTTCAAAGTCGGTGAAAATCACGAATGCCATTTCAATTATGCAGTTGATCTGAAAAATTTAGGGCAAAACCAAGCACGAAATCATTTCGGTCTTTAAAAAACAAATTACACCTTGATTGTGGCTGATATTTAGCATTCAGAGTTTGTTCGCGTTTCAAATGCATCCAGGAAATCACAGTCATTCTAGAAAAATTTTGGATAAAAGAGGCGAACCGATAATAAGATATTAACCACGATTTGAATTTTCATTTGTTATCTAATGTTTCATTTTTATTACTATTCATTCAAATAAAATTCATACAGTCGCCATTGAGATAATGCACTGGGAATAGCTTATTTTCACTATTCTGTACTTTTTCTGGAAAATTCTGAAAATATCTCATAGAATCTTTCAAAACAAGATGCAGTAATCACCTGAAATTTTTCTTTCATATTTTAACTTCCTTGATCGTAATACCTATTGGTTGAAATATACAAAATACAACAGAGAAACAGAAAATATTTAACTCACAGTTCAATCATTTGCACCTGTGAACTGTGAACTGTTATGTAAAATGAGAAAATGAATAAGTGTATGAAATTCTCTCATGGTTATTTAACTTGAATTTTATTTTATCGGTCAAGTAATTTTTCTTACAAGTGTCTTGTTAGTTACCTAGGGAAAAAAGTCGCAGAAGCTTTCGTCTAAAATTCATGAAATCGTTCTGGTTGAGGCGTTACAAGTTACTCTTATTAGATGGTCCCTTCAAACTGGTTTGCGCAGAGTCCTGGTGTTGCTCACTAGAGGTAATTTGAGGAAACGTGCTTTCTTAAGTTTTATTTAAATTGTGATCATCAATTGTTCGTGTTTCATTCTTCAAAATGGTAACTAATCTTTGCTAATTGTTAATTTCTTCAATAGTTTAACCTTTATATCTATTACAGCAAGGACCAATTATTTTACTTAAAGAAGGAACTGAAAGTCAAAGTGGTAAATCCCAACTAATCAGTAACATCAATGCTTGTCAGTTGATTGCGGAAGCTGTGAGGACCACTCTTGGTCCTCGTGGTATGGACAAATTGATCGTTGACAACAAAGGTTCTACTTTAATTAGTAACGATGGTGCTACTATTTTGGCCCACCTTAATGTTGCCCATCCGGCTGCTAAAGCTTTGGTCGACATTTCCAGATCACAAGATGCTGAGGTAGGGTGTTAATTTCTAGGTGTTGCCATCCTTTGTTCTGTTCATTCCTGTTCATTGTTTAACCTTTTAATTTTCTTGTGATTTATCTTACATTTATACCAATTTGTTAATTTGACTAAATTTCTAATGATCTATTCTATTAATTATAAAATTATTTTTGCCTTTATCATATTTTCAGGTTGGAGATGGTACAACCAGCGTGACTCTACTAGGAGCTGAGCTTCTCAAACAGTGTAAGCCTTTTGTTGAAGATGGTTTACACCCTCAAGTCATTATCAGAAGTATCAGAAAAGGCTGCCAGTTGTGCATTGATAAAATCAATGAACTAGCCGCTAAGATAGACAAGAATAATGTTGATGAGCTCCGAAGCTTACTTGAAAAGTGTGCTTCTACTACTTTAAGTTCAAAATTGATCGCTCATCAGAAAGAGTTTTTCTCTAAAATGGTTGTAGATGCAGTCATGCAACTAGATGATCTTTTACCTCTAAATATGATCGGTGTAAAAAAAGTTAAGGGTGGATCATTAGAGGAGTCTCAATTAATTACCGGGGTAGCTTTCAAAAAAACGTTCAGCTATGCTGGATTTGAAATGCAACCAAAAAAGTATACCAAACCTAAGATTGCTCTCCTCAACATTGAACTCGAACTTAAAGCTGAAAGAGACAATGCTGAGATCAGGGTTGACAATGTTCAAGAGTATCAAAATATTGTCGATGCAGAATGGAATATTCTGTATGATAAATTGAGAAAAATCCAAGAGTCAGGAGCCAAGGTGGTTCTATCCATGCTGCCAATTGGTGATGTGGCGACTCAGTATTTTGCCGACAGAGATATGTTCTGTGCGGGTCGAGTTCCTGCTGATGACTTGAGTCGAACAATGAAAGCATGTGGTGGTGCTATTTTAACTACTGTTCATGATTTAACTGAAGCAAACTTGGGAACATGTGAACAATTTGAAGAAGTTCAAATTGGAGGTGAAAGGTGAGTTTTTTTTGTCATTTTCCATTTACTATTAATCATCACACAAAGTCAGTTACCTTTCCAAATTGATGGGTTGGCAATGTTACTAGTGTGATAGATTAATTTCCTATTAGGAATGAATTTCATGAGAGTGGGATTCTTAATTCAATTCCGGATTCCTTTGTTTTGAAACTTACATGTTTCTTTTTTATAATTTAATTTAGATTCAACTTTTTCACTGGTTGCCCTAAGTCTAAAACTGTCACAATAATTTTACGAGGAGGAGCTGAACAGTTCATCGAAGAAACTGAAAGATCTTTACATGATGCTATCATGATTGTGCGTCGTGCTCTTAAAAATGACTCTGTCGTTGCTGGTGGTGGTGCCATTGAAATGGAACTTTCCAAGTATCTTCGAGATTGTTCTCGAACTATTGCTGGTAAAGAACAGCTCATCATTGCTGCTATGGCCAAAGCTTTTGAAATTATACCTCGTCAATTGTGTGATAATGCTGGTTTCGATGCAACCAACATTTTGAACAAATTACGACAGAAGCATGCTACTGGCGGCACTTGGTATGGTGTTGATATCAATGCTGAAGATATTGCTGATAATTTCATTGCCTGTGTCTGGGAACCTTCTGTGGTCAAGATAAACTGTATTACAGCTGCAACTGAAGCTGCTTGTCTCATCTTATCTGTTGACGAAACTATAAAAGCACCAAAAGCTCAGACTGAAGATTCCAATGCTGCTCGAGCCATGGGAATGGGAATGGGAGGAATGTAAATCTCCAACCGATTCGAACCACTTTTTGAAGCCTCCATTAACACCATTGGTTGACAACTTATCCAAAAATTTGTACTTTTCGCTAACCAAATGAACTCAAAACACTTTGATTAAATCACAATAAAAAGGCAATTCTAAATTAAATGTTTTAATGATCACAAACATTCTAACTTAAACAATGAACTAATTAAGTGAATCCCTCCTTAAATGAAATAAAGCAACATTATTAAATGAAAATAAGAATCCTTGTTACAAGCTGACTTATTACACTTTTATTTCAAACAGAAAGCTAAAATAACACAATCTAATTCACTTTTCTATTCACTAATTTTTCAATTCTTCTGTCTAAATTCACAGAATTTTATTTTCTGAAAATATTCTCATGCTTGAAAGGTTCATCATTTAATAATAGTGTTGTGTATTTAATATAATGTCATTTCACGCGAAAAGAAATTGTAAGTCTCATCTCAATTATAGTAAAAGATTGATTGTTTCACCAAAATAATTTCTCACTTTACTTTTTCACAGCAAATAGTAGTAATGAAGATGGTTCGGATTCAAGCGGACAGATGCCCGAAGTTTCAAGTAAAGATGAATCTGGGAAACGAATTCTGTGTCCATTAGCTCTAAGAGATCGCGGTTACTCTATATTGGATCAAATTGGTGGTGGAGCTTTTTCCGAGGTCTATAAAGCTCGATATGCACCATTGTTGGACAAAGATATTGCTGTTAAAATAATTTCCTTGGATAAAGTGCCACAACTGTGGAAAGAAAAATCACTACGAAAGGAATTGAAAATCATTCGTCATCTTCAACATCCAAACATTATAAGAGTCTGGGATATAATTAAAACTCGTCGTTCTGTATATATTTTTATGGAATTTGCTGAGAACAATTCAATTCTTCATTTCTTACAAACAACCTCAAAACCAATTCCAGAAGATGATGCTCGTCTATGGATTTCTCAGACAGCTTCAGCGTTGACTTACATGCACTCTAAGGGAATTGCTCATCGAGACTTGAAAAATGAAAATATACTTTTAGATCGAGATAATAACGCTAAATTAACAGACTTTGGATTTGCTTGTTTCACTTATGATCGTATTACCAATCAACCAGCTTCTGCACCAACATGTTGCGGAACCTTGGCTTATATTTCCCCTGAAGTAATGACACCTCCATATGACTCTAAAAAGGCAGATTGTTGGAGCTTTGGTGTTTGTATTTATGAAATGTTGACCAATTCAAGACCTTTCGATGAATCACTGAGTCAACCTAAATTTCGTCTAAACCAATTGGATAAAAAATATACTTTTCCAGAAAGTATTGACCTCTCTCCTGAAGGCAAAGATTTAATTGATAAACTATTGGAACCTGATCCATCGGTTCGTTATACCGCTTTTCAAACTATATCTCATCCTTGGGTGATTAAACCTTTTGCTTTTGCATTCAACGATTAACATTTAAACAACATCATAATACGTTACTCCAATAAAGATAATCTAAAAGATTGTGGTTCTTCAAACCTTGTTTGGAAATAAAATAATATGCTTATGTTAATAATTATGGTTAATATTTATTCATAGTTAATCTTATTGTCTCGCATCTTTTCCTCTTTGAAACAAAATTGTAATCTCAAACTGATTCAGATCCTTGTTTATAAAACAATATCAAGTGTTGATCTTAAATTTATCAATAAAAATATGCATATGAACCTCACAGCACTGCAAATATTAGGTTGTTCCATTAGAAACCGGCCCCCGATTTTTTTATTTTATGAATGTTCTTCTTATGAGGGTGGGTTGTATTATGAATTTAGGCCTAAGGTCCAACTTTTATTTTACGCAATAAACCTTCATCTTCCGCTCAAGCAGTACTCAGATTATGCAGTTTCAAATTTCAAGAATTTTCATGATTCGATATTAATTTTTCTCACACTTTGGCACAATCATCGATAGAATCCTAGTAAGATTGGAAATCATCCATGACTATCAATGAATTGATTTTTCAAAAATTTTCCCTAATCGGTCCACGCACATATGCTTAGTCGGCTCATCAAAAGTGCGACAGTTTCGGTTATCTTAGTGTTCACGGCTGACATGTTTCATTTCGCACTTTACTTTTTCGACTTGTACTAATAGCAAAGCATCGTACTGAACCGATTTTGGTAAATGATCATGAACATAATAAAAAATTAGTCATAGAAGCAAGTAAATGTGCGAAAAACTCTCTTATTCACATAAATAAACGAAACAACCTGTTTATCTTAAAAAATTATTGTGACAAAATTTTTTTTAAGAAATTCTAAAAACCATGAGTATATAAGCTACAGAATGGTATATGATAAAAGCCTGAGCGATCTCTGGTTTAAAAGTTATTCCAGTTCAAAAATAGCCGGTTTCTAATGGAACAACTTAATATGTTTCATTAATAAATAGATTGAGCACTATAAACACAATTGTCACATTTATGCACGAATCGACACAAATACTGAAAGAAAAATGGGCAAAATGGGTAAAAATTAATTTCGGTCAAATTTAGACTCTGTCTGTTTGTAGGGACATAAAAATTGATTACAAGATCTAGCGACTTTCTTCCCTTATAAAAAGTAACAATAAGGTAGGGTACATGTAGTTTGTCAGTAATTTTTTGTTCTTTCATTGTAACAAAATTAGCAGATATAATGACATCAAACCTCAGACATGGCTAGACGCAAGGGTTTAATGCATTTTACAAAATTTATAAAATATAACCGTAGAGTAGCTGAATTTTTCAAAATCCCAACTACGCCAAAAAGTTCAGTTTTGCAAAAACAAAGCGAGGCGATTGATGCGTATAACTTTATTTATCCTGGGAATTAATGCCTAAAGAGCTTGATTACTGATACCAAAGAGGGAAAGGTCCGAGTCTGAAAGAGTTACTTTCAAAACTGAATGATTTCCTCAGATGAACATGATTGATCTGGTAGTTACAACTGATGAGGAAACTTTAAATATGTGTTAACTCAAACATTTTAATAAAGCTCGATTACTGATGATTTGATTTGAAATTGAACCAAAATTCTACTGACAAAGGAAGTACCCGACATGGTACTGTAGTTTGTGGCTTATATTGCAAAGACAGAAGAACAATTAGACATAAGTTACTTCGCTAGTGCACCTTTTTTTCATATTTGAGCGTTTTTAAACAAGAAATTTTAAGCATTTAAGATCATATCGAATGAGACTGAATCAAATGAAAACAATTAGTTATTAGTATTCAAGTAAATGGATGAAAAATTGCGATTAATATTGATTAATGACTGAAAACAAGTAAATTATCGAGCTTGTTGATCAAATATACTAACAATTGTAGCTAAAAAGACTCAATAAACACAATTATTACATTTTTGCACAAATTGACTCAATCACTGAAAGAAAAATGGGCATAAACGGGTAAAAATTCATTTCTTCTAAAGTATGGCTCTGTTGCGTTGTAGAGAAATAAAAACTGAGTCCATTTGTGCAATTTACAAGTTTCTAAGATCAACAGTTTTCGAAAAAATTGAGGTCAAAGTTAAAACTTCGACTGCCTTTTGTACAGCGATGGACGAAGATTTTTCTATGAAACTCATTTCGCTGATGTAGTTTTTGCCGATCAACCAGAAAATGTACTTATTTTGAAGGATAAAAATTTCTTTTTCTGTAAAAAAGATCAAGTTCGATTTTCATTTAAATCGACCGTTCTCTGTGACCATAAGATTTAGCGTGCTGCAACTCATTATTTGTGCACGAAATTTGATGGCACACGTCATGGATTGAATATATTTTGCAATGCAACAATAGTTTTCTTGATTTTGGCTGTTGGACTAAAAACTTTGAGTCTCGATATTTCGAGAATGAAACCACCTACGATCATCATTCTTTTACCAGTTTAACTCTTTACTAATTAATGATCTAACACAGTCCAATAACTCTCCATTTGCGCATTTGGGTCATGATTTTTGGGCTACAGATGTACATGCAACAACTTATTTGACAAACAAAACTCATCTCAACCCATTTCTTGGTAAAGAAACCAATTTTCTGGTTAAACTGTCAAACTCAATGCAAAAATTAATGCCAAAGACGCGAACATTTGAGTAAAGATTTGAGACTTGGTGTGTTTGTATGGACATAAAAACTGAGTCCATTGGTATAATTAAATAATTCACCCGTTGGACAGTTTTCTAGAAAATCGAGGTCAAATTTGAAACTTCAGTCGCCTTTTGGTAAGCTATTGAAGTAGATTTTTTCGTGAAACTAATTTCAACTTATGTAACTTTTTATTTCCAACCAGAAAATGTATTTATTTCGAGAAATATCATTTTCAGTTTCCGTAAAACAGATCAAGTTCGATTTTCCGTTTAACCTGATTGTTTTCTCTGACCGTAAGAGTCAGCGAACCTGGAAACTTTATTATTTACCTCTAAAAATTGTTTATACACATCAATCACAATACACTTCTTTCAATTTATCAATAGTTATCTTAATTTTTGCCCTTAACGGAAAAACTTTGAGCCTCAGTAGTTCAGGAACGGACTCATCTACAATCATAATTCTTGACCGAAAAATAGATAACATTATGGACTATAACATATTGGAATATTAGCTGGTTCAAGATCGTACAAAAAGCTATAGCATTCTATTTGTTCATGTTGCCAGATTTGGCTTGCTTTATAAAGTTAAGTGGTTAGGCAAACTCAAATCTTAAAAAGGAAATTCATTACTGTTAATAAATGCATTAACTTGGATTTCATTCGCTATTCAGTCCTAGCACATTATAACCCATAATAAGACCTAGTGTTTGGTCAAAGAGTCATGCTTTTGGGCCTTCTTATTCTCGAAATATTGAGGTTCAAAGTTTTTTGAATAGTGGCCAAAATTAAGAGAACTATTGACGAATTGAAAAAAGTTTTCTGTCATTAATGTGTATAAACATTTTTTAGAGGTAAATAATAAGTTTCAGGTCGCTAACTCTTACGGTCAGAGAAAACAATCGGTTAAACTGAAAATCGAACTTGATCTGTTTTACGGAAGCTTAAAATGATATTCATCAAAATAAATACATTTTCTGGTTGGAAATCAAAAGTTACATCAGTAAAACAAGTTCCATGAGAAAATGCGCTTTCATAAGCGTAAGCTTTGCAAGTTTCAACTTCGAACTCGATTTTTTCGAAAACTGTTCATCAGAGAAATTTTTAAACTGCACAGTTGTTATGCCCTTGCAAACCGATAGAGTCACAATTTAAAAGAAATTGATTTTTACCCATTTTTGCTTCATTTGTGTCGATTTGTGCATGAATATGACAATTGTGTCTTTGCAACAGCAACCAGTATAAACATTTATGCAGTTTTTCAGCTCAAACCCAGAAGACTTGGCTGCTGACCTATCAGATAGCAACCCAAATTTTCCTGACAATCAATTTTAATACATTATCCTGCTGGTTAATACATTTCTGCGATTCCACAATTCCATACTTGAAATGCTGGTAAATATTACAAGGAGACAAGCGAAACTCGAGATCTCGTAAACCCGTGTATTTATAAACTTGAACTTACACATGTTTCATCAAATTTGGTATGTAGCTCAATTATTGATGAGTATGTCAAGATTAACATTCATCTTCATTATCCTAATGCTTTCTTTAATATCATTTCTGTTTACTGTTAGACTAAAGTTTTCTTTAAATCCCTGTTTCATCTTGAATGGCAATTTTTCCTTTTTCTCGACATAAACAAATGAAGGTGTTCACATTACATAAAACTTGGAGGATGTCAAGAGGATGAAAAATAAGGATGAGGATGGTCTAACAGTTGTCTACACAATTCCTCATTTGCTTCAAAGAAATGGATGCCAATTTTTGTTCCCTCTCAAAGATGAAAACTCATTTAGATGACACCTTGCTGTATGGGCTGTGAACCAAGCAAATCCTGAGCTATCTCACAATTTTGCCAATTTATTCACCATTTCATACAGTCTCTTCATCTTACCGATTCAACATCACCATCATCGTCATCATCAGTATCATCTTTATCATCTCGATCATCAGTACAATATCATATGTCTCTTCTCTCCTCTCCACATCACACAACTTCAAACGTGAGTTTTTATAATTCAAATTTTTCTACCATTCTACTGTCTTTTCAGACTAAATTTGTTTCAATGTTGTCAACCACTTTGCTCACCACATTTAATTTTCCAACTGTGATCACATTCAACTCAATCAACATTTGAAACAAATCATTTCTCGAAGAGGCAACAACAAACATATTGTTCGCCTTTTTCCTGTGTTTACTGCTCGTCATGTGGCGTTATGGTGATGTTGGCTCTATGCGAAATGATAAGCGAAATGGGTTGAGAAATTTTGATTACGGTTACAAAAGAGGTGGAAAATTTGGTCAAAAAGGATCTCATGGACTGACCCATGCATCCAATTACCGTAAACAGAGTTCAGAGAAATCCAATTCAAGTCGCTCATCATCATTTAAATCATCATTCAAAAGACAGTATTCAATTCGTGGTAAATATTTGCTCTTAACTCAAATTCAATCATGTAACTCATTGTGTCTCATTGTTATGCCAGTGACACCACCGCCTGAATCGATTGATGAGGTTGAAACAGATCCACCTTCACTTGTTGGCATCGATCAGATAAAAGGCTATGAAAATGCAAAATTTACTCCAAGTAAGTTATTCTCAATATTTACATCTATTGAAAGTTAAGTGAAGTACTAAATGTGATTAACAATCTTTCAACAGCTTTGCACTTTGCTTTCATAATAAAAACTAATTTAGGTTAAAACTAAATTAACAGTTTTACACAAATTTTTGTTTATCAAAAATTACAACATTGAATTTATTATTAGTAGTCTGTAAATGAGCATGATTAGTAAATCAGGAAAATTAACAGCAGAATTGAGACAGAAAATAGAATGTAAAAATCTTTGAAGACGAGCTGGGACTAAATGTACAGTCATTTAGAGCTCAACAATTAGCAATGGAAGAAGAATTAATTTGCCTAAATCATTGTTTACCCATTAATTTCAACAAATCAGGTAACTGGTTAACCATCGATATTAGTTTCATGACAAAAATCACTGAAATCGCAAACTCAATTTTATCTTGTCTCTCCAACAGTCGCCATACCGCCACCACCTTATACAATCCGATCAACCAACGACTTCAATCCTCTGAGAATCCCACTTTCCGGGTAAGTTAATCACTTGCATCCATTTTACATCTGATTATTGCATATTAACAATGTATTTGATTGTTAACCTCAATTTGCTTTTCAATCAAATTCAAGATCAGATTGAAGAGGCACATTTTTGCTCAACAAGTGTTCATCTCAAGTTATTGTTGAGTTACAATACACCTTAAAATTTTTAAATTTTATTCCAACTGTTGATATCATGATTAGTGTAATTGATATTAAGCTGATTATGAATAATGATTCTTGGCATCGGATTGAATAAGTATATCATCTTCACGGTTAGTTGATAATCATCTTCAGGAGTTGATTTTTCTCTACCTTTCTTTGCTGTTGGTTCAACATTTTGTTTCCCTCTGTTCCTGGATTTCTGGGAAACAACCAGTTTCCTTGAGTAACATTTAAAAACACTTGATTAAAATGAAAATTTACACAAATTAGAGACAAAAAGCTGTAATTAGAATGCTTCTTAATATCATAAACTTTCTATTTATACATTATTAATATACAAACTGCAAAAATTGGAATAACTTTCATTCCTGAAATTCAGAAGCTTCAGACAAAAACATGTTTTTTTCATAATAATCCTTACTTAAACCATTAACATTGCATTCTGCTATTATCGTGATTATTGTAACAAAAAAAAGTGCTTTATAGCGACAGACTTTTGTTCATTTGCAACTTAAAAGCCAAAAATTTTTCACCCAAATTATCATATTTCATAAAGTCAACTTGTTGTTCAATCCTTTTGGCAACTAATCAGTTATAATTGCAAGCTGAATTAGACTCGAAATGATTAATTCAGCTTATATTGTGGAATTCCTTGTGATTCTAATTTTTTGCTTCAATAACTGATCCTTTATAATAACTGTAAGATTTTTGAAAAGCTACAGACAAAAGCTATCCAATGATATCCAGTTGTCCAATATAAAGGATAAATGTTGATATTTTACAATAATTTATATCATTTTGGATTGGAAACTTGAAAATTGCTAAAATTTATATCTTGATATGAAATCTTATGTTCAGTCATGATAGTAAAGCCTTCTTGTAGCTAATAATATTGAGGAAATGACAATTTTTGAATTGGTGATTCTTTGTCAACCCGGAATGAATTTAAAGAAATATGTTTTGATGCTTAATTTAAATTTTTATTGCAATTATCTTATTGAATCGTACAAGCAAATTATATATCAAGCCAATCATATTTGATTGATACATCTGGATCAATTGCTACAATATAATCTGTGCGAAAACCACTTTCCTGTGGAACCAAATCAATTAATGTGTCATTGCCATGGGTCAACAAGTAAACTCCATCACTATCGTTTAATGTGATCTCGTTAACGTTGGTTGAATAAGGCTCGACGAGTCTCAAACTTGAAGGTATATCTCGCTCGAAATACAATTGACCAATGTAGTTGACGGCATTACCATCTGTATTGTTTTTGGCATAAACCTCAACATGAATGTGAATACAACGACCAACATACCAACCAGGAATGATTGTTTTGAAGTTTACTTCACCATCCTCATTGGTTTTCTGGTAACCTCTGAGGAATCTTTCACCAGAAATTGGCTTTGGCCTAAAACCTACTGGGAAAAGCTCATTTACACCTGAATAGTGACCTAAAGCATTGGCTTGCCAGACGTGGACAAAATAGTTGGATAGAGGTGAACAGTCTTTAGCGTTGGTTAATTTAAGGTTCAAATCCAAATTGACTCCAGTTTGACCGTCAGTGATATCAGATCGTTCAAGATCATCGGGTAAAAAGTATGGACCTTCAGTTGTGAATGGAGCGAGGACACAAGTGTGTTGATTGGCTTCTCTCTTGTATCGAGCACAGTCTACGATTGATCGATCATGAGGTAGAAATTTTCCAGGTCTTTGTAAATGAGCTGAAACGAAAAAGATGTTCATAGAAATGAACAAAACTGAAATCAATGAATTCATCGTTGGATTAAGGATAAAGTTAACACTGTTTCAATTGAATTATTGTAATAGATCGTAAAGGAGTGAAACTTGTTCTGTGGTTGAAACACAAATTATTGCCGCTTATAAATATTTTTTCAAAATGTTATCTGATGAACCCGATAGATCTCATGGCTATATTTTTCATTGATTGGCGAGAAATTCTGTACTCAATTCTATTTTTTGTCAACATGATTATACAAAACGATGCAATGGTTTAATCTAATCTATTAATTCATCTCAATTCCGATTAGTGAACAATAGACTGATAGATTCTTCCAAAGACTTATAATTGCTTTTCATGCTTATTATCATTGAAATTTTCAGAGTTTTTAAAATTATGTTATTCAGAAAAACAAAAATAAGTCAACAATCAAAATCAAGTATCAGAATCTTACTTCTGATTTAAATTTGAAATGTAATCTAATTGGAAGACGCGTAAATGTTGGTCAAAAGTACCTTAGCAAAGGCCTTTTACTGATTTATTGATTCATTTTTTGTGTAGTGCTCAATGGAATGGGATTTGTGGCTCAAATTTTTGATACTTTATATCGGTAAACAGATGCTTTTGATATTGGGAACAGAATTTTTGAACTTCAAGATTTTACCAACGCTAATATTGAATAACAACTGATAATGAAATTTGATTAATCAAATTTAGCGAGAATTGAACAATAGTCACGAAAACAATAAAGCTTAGGAAAAATAGGTGAAATAGCGAGTGCGAAAAAGTAGCACTGATAATTAGATCAGAGCATTTCATGATATAAATCAACCATGTGAGGCCTGAAGAATATTTATTCATAAAAAAACAATTGAACAATGATAACCATGAAAATGATTGAATGGTTAATGACAATTTAAAATGAATCTATAAAATTGATGCAAACAACAATTAAATCATCATTTAGCGCTGTGTTTAGGTCAATTTTTTTAACTATCGAAACGCTAATTTTAACCAGATTAAGTATTCTTTCACTGAAGTAAATTATTATTCCGTTAATCAAACACTCATTTTAATCTTAACGCCAACGAAGAGACAAACAAGAATCATTGAGTGAAGATCATTCAAGCTGTTTGAATAACTTGGGTGACAGTAATAATGTTTGAATGCATTAGGAATGTTACTTGACAACCTAATTTTGTGCTAATTACTATATTCTTGTTAGAATTAATTACAGTTGAAAATGTTTATCAATACTGAAACAGTTGAAATCAAAACTGAATCTAGTTGACAAAATGAATGTTTGATTTTGCTTTTTAATCGACAACGTTTTGTTTACAAAATGAGTTTGATGAAATCATAAAATTAATGATTAACTAATTGCATTTTTTGTTCAAAAATTGAAACCTTGAATTGCTGTTGAAGGCAAATAATGAAAGAAAGAGGTGATTTTGGATGAAACCCAAAAACTGTTGATCAAACAGTGATAGTGTTAATTTTACAGTGAAAGGAATGGGGAAAAAGGTTGAACAAGCTTTCAAATTGATTGATAAGATCCATGGTTAGACATGAATTTCTTGAAACCAAATCTGAGACAAGGTCAGGTAAACACTATGATGATTAATAAACAAAGTTAAACACTTGGATTTAAAAATAGACCACAAGATTAGCCTACAAGACAAGACAATCGTCTTGTTAGTCTATGACAAGGAAAGACGTTTGAATGTAATTTTATATGTTCACTGTTGTTCACTTGGACAAAAATTCAATGTAAAAATATAATTGAATTGAATTTATTTGATTAATTAGGTTGAAATTGTTTACTTTAATTTGGTACGATTGTAACGATTTACAGTTTTTTCATTATTAGGACAACAGAGGCAAATGAAGGAGATGTTAGAGAAGCGTTACTCAGATATGCTTCTAGTCACTACTGTTATGGCAAAGGAGTCGCTAAACATATGATTATCACAAAAATGGACCATTATAATGCTTTTCATGTAAGTACAATTTAAGATTATGTTTATTAATTGAATAACCAATATTAATATTAATTTCTTGTTTTATGTCTACTCTTGACCTTTTCACGATAAAGTATTCACTGGAAACCTTCACCGAAAACCGTTCAGTTTGTTGGGTTTATGAGGCTTACCTTGGAGGTCATCTTGATGGTCCAATGGCTGGACAGGCCCCGTACCCTTGGGATGTACATGTGGATCCACCAATTGCATTTGATTGTCACTCAGCTAGTGTTCCTATTCCACACACGGATTGCTTAAGGACTTGCCACATCTGCGGTGGAGTTGGACGCAAACGATGTTACACTTGTATAGGAACTGGATGGGTACGAATTATCATATTGTGAGACTTTTTCATTGATTGTTGACCTTTTTTTATGTTATCCAGGAAAATTGTTACTCATGCAGTGGCGATGGTTATAAGCCTCATCCCTTTGTTCAGGGCGACAATGAACGGTGTTTACATTGTCATGGTGTTGGTAAAAAAAAGTGTTGGCGGTGCAATGGGGATGGAATGAGCAGTTGTAAGATTTGTTCTGGTACTGGTCAGATTAAGTGTTACATTAAATTGACGGTTAATTGGTTTGTAAAATTGATCTTTATTTTGATATTAAGAAAACGCATTTCTCATTTTCATCTCTTCTTTCAGGACCAATCATGTTGATGACTTTTACATTGGCCATGAAGACATTTCAAATGATATGGTTAAACAAGTTACTGGTCAAATTGTTTTTGATGAAACTAGTGAAAAGGTTAAATGAATTTCATTAAGTTTTACCTAATTATTAATAGATTATTAATTCTTGTTTATCCTTTTCTTCAATTTTAGGTTTGGCCAATCAATCATTTTCCTGAAAATAATATAAACAAAGCCAGTCTTGATCTACTGAATAAACATGTTGAAAGTTATTTTTTAATGGAGAAACCTATAGCTCAGGTAGTATTTTGAATCATTTTAAAATTGATCGATGACATTTACTTAGCAACTACTAATTTAAACTCTTGCTATTGTTGTTTTACAGAGGCAACGAGTGTTTCGCATTCCAGTAACCAGAGTCAATTACTCATGGAAAAATAAAATGCAAAAATTTTGGGTCTTAGGCAATGAAAAATATGTTTTTGCGCCTCATTATCCTCAAAAGTATTGCTGTGGATGTACAATTATTTGAATCGATGCTTTTCACATCAAATGTAAAGTTATTTTATCCTAAATCAAATCTGAATCCAGTGAAAGATTACAGTGAAAATCAAGCCTTTTTTACTACCTTTATCAACAAAATTCAACGTCAATGTAAATTTTTATTATTGATAACTATGTTTTATTTACTCATTTTATTGAATGAAACTTATTTTTCTACATCTATGCATATATACATATACATACAATATATAAAGTCAAAACATGAAATTTTTGCGTAAAGATTGTAGCCAAACAAAGAGGATTATAAAGAAAATTTTTTCACAGCCTGAAAGCCGTGATCAAACTACATCCACGAAAAATAGTCTGAACTTCATCGGAATTTAGGTACCTGAAGAATAAGCGTTTAAACAGGGTAGGGGAAAAATGCAGAATCCGTATCTTTTACCATTGACTTTGGGGGAAAAATTTTTTGGTCTTCAAATGTGGATTGGATTTATAGTATTCCGTGAAAAGAAATTTACGATCAGCCATGATTGGGGCTCAGCTTGTTAAATTAACATTAAATTAATTCACAAATTAACTTTTTCAGCGGCATTCAAATATTTTGCTGTCATCTCCATTGATTTATCCCAAAGCTTCTTGGCTAATTCAGGGTTGGAAGCCAAGTCAGAAACTTCTCGTTCTCTGCAATTGTCGAAGTATCTGCCGGTGATATTACTTAGAGATGGTTCCAAAGCACAATATATTGATGTTTGAGCTCCTTCTTCTTCTGATTTCAAAAATAATCGTTTAAATGGGCCTACCCATTGATAAAAGAAGTCAGAAAAGATTGGATTGTTAAGTAGTAGAGTCTCAGTAGGTCCTGGGTTGAGACAATTTACGGTCACCCCAGAGTCTTTAAGTTGAGCGGCTAAATAATTTGTGAATAAGATATTCTCCAATTTGGTGACGCAGTAGCTTGTGTAAGGAGAATACTTATTTGAAAAGTTGACATCATCCAGGTCAATTGATGAATTTAATCGATGACAATCCGATGAAACATTGACAATTCTTGAAGGCGAACTGGCTTTTAGTTTGGGTAACAATAATAAGGTCAAAAGAAAGGGCCCTAAATGGTTTGTTTGAAAATGTAATTCGTTTCCATCGCCAGTCATCTTTCTATCTTCTGATCCACATAGACCAGCATTATTAATAAGAACATCAATTTTCTCGTAACTGGTATTTATTTGTTGGACAGCCTGTTTGATTGAAGTGAATGATGTAAGATCAAGCTCAATTATGGTGATGTTTTCATTTCCAGTTTCGCTTTTGATTTCATCGGCAACCTTCGAAGTATCTTTGGTGTTACGACATGCCATGATTACTGAGGCTCCTCTTTGAGCAAGACCAAGAACTGTTGAACGACCAATTCCTCTGTTACAGCCAGTTATCATGATTGTTTTACCAACGGCGCTAACATCACTTGCCAAACGATTCACTTCACCTCTCTCAGGTAAAAGCTTAAAAGCAGGTGAAATGTTGGTGAGAGGAATGGGGGCCAAATCAAACATCGTAAATAAAGCTTGAAAATAAGATAAAAAAAGCACAAGTTATATTTTCGTTTACTTAAAGAGGGAAATATGTTAAGGTGATGAGCACAGTTCACAAGCCAAAGCCAAAAAGAATTCACTAGAAGATTTATTGGTAATCAATTATACACTAGAGCCAGAGGCCGAGTGGCTTCATAACCACCCCACAATGACCATTAACCTGGCGGGTTAGATTGTTGGTTTGACAGAAACTTCATTGCAAGTAATACAAGAAGAATTTGAACCACTGGATGATGAAATATTCGCTTAGAATTGCATAACAGCCAATCAAGTTTGACCAGAAGTGACTTGAGATAACTCACAAGTGGTGTAGGAGTAAACTAAAAGTTAATATTTAATGCACTTATCAAGGTAAATAAATGATTAAATAATAACTGACTGTTTGAAAAATCAGGAATAAGTATTGGAAACAATTATTTCAAATAATGGATTTAACAGATAACGAAGTAAAAGTAATTTTAAGAGAAAATAAAAATTGGTCAAGAGGCTTAGAAAGGCTTTTTTTCAATAAGCTAAGGAACATTGAGCGTTCAAACTCTTCAATCTATTATTGTTAACTAGTTATTAAAGGTATAATAAGTTTTGGACAAAGTACTTACCGGTAATAATCGCTATAAAGTCCAGTTATTTTATAAATTAAAGTCACTTGGCGCCTGACAAAGCTCAAACTGGTAACTAATCGTCTGCTGTAAGTTTCAAACTGGAACTTGATCTTTGATGGTTTATAAGGATAGTCAAGACCAAGTAGATTAGATAAGTCCAAAAATTAACTGCGTTTAACTGCTATTTTACAGATACTTTTTTGAGTATCGATACTGAGCTTTCGATCATACTCGATACCAATTTGTTTGAACCAAACGACCAATGACACAATAATCTTAAGAAAAGTAACAGATTTGAGTCGAGCAATGCAAGTTTTCACCTTTTTCTGGATTATACTCATCGAATGCGCGATGCTCCATTTATTCACACAGACCATTTAAGCTCATTCAACTTCATTTTTTTCCTGCTTTAAATGAGTAAGAAAAAAAAATGGTTTACAGTCGTTAGATTTTCTTAAATTTAATAGGTTACTAAACTTACCTTTGAAGCTAAGCTTGAGTTCCTTTGGTTCTCTTAGGAACAAACAAAACAAAGTACAGCGGACATCAGTATTGAACGAAATTTGCTTTAACGACTTGTAATGTAAATTGAGTAATAAACTTAACTTAAACAACAAAATGCTTAACACTTGAGGAGGAATTCATCGTTTCTTTTTAAAAATAAATCTCAAAAATAAGAGAGATTAAATTTTTTGGCTCCAATTTTAAGTCAGATGACTTGCTACGCAGTAACTGATATTCAAAGATTACAATGAAAGTGTTAACTTGATCATGTGTTGTAAGATTTGTTCTGATCAAAGAGTTAGGCCTTAATCTAACTCTTTGGTGCCGGTAAAATTAAATTTTGCATTAAATTTTTAGTTAATTGGTAAAATCAAAATCAAGTCATTTTTAGGGTAAGGTTTTACTTTTACGGAGAAAGGCATAAACATTAAAACATATGATTTTTTGGTTAGGTAAGTTTGATCAAGGGGCTGTTGGTTGGTCGGTCAGGTTAGGTTAGGTTCGGTTAGGTTAGGTTTGGTAAGGTTAGGGTGGGCTTAGGTCGGCCTGGGGCCTTAATTAGCTTCATTTAATTCAATTGTTCATAAAGAGCGCTCTTAAAAAACGTCTACCATTGGATGATTTTTAATGTTTACGCCTTTCTCCGTAAAAGTAAAACCTTACCATTTTTAGTTACTTTTATAATCCAAAATTTAACGTTAATCTTAAAGGTAACAAAATTTTAGTGATTATTATTCAATATTGAATAGAGTGTAGATATTTTTAATGCGTGCTTTAGTCAAGTTGATTTTTTATTTTCGAATATCGCGAACAGGTTAATCAATTAATGAATAAAATTCATCCCACAATTATTAATAGAAGGCTTAATTTTTTATTATTTATAAATGTCAAAAATTTTAATTCAAAATTGGTAAAGTAAATTTTTCGATAGTTACATCGATGTATCGAAAAATTCAAATGCACGTCACTTTAAATGAGAGAAAGTCAGAAAATGTGTTGTTTAATTTGCTCACCGGTTGAGCGCCAGTGATTATACTTAATTTTTTATATTAATTGTGATTGTTTTTGTTCTGTTTTTTTTGTTCATCAACAATCTAAATTTCAGTATTACTAGTGGTCAACAATCAGCTTCGATTGAACCAGGATGACAGTAGCGGTGGATCAATACAACTCTGCCGGTTGGCTACAGAGACATTTTTCTTTGGCTAGGCAAGAGAAATTGCTTCAATTATTTATCTTATTAACGGCTGCAATTTTATGTAAGTTTTGATTTTGAACATTAGTTTAAATGATAATTGTTTGTTATTGCAATAAATTCATCATTTGTTCACTCGAATTGATAATTTCTCATTGTTAATAACTGTCTTTCATCTACTTTTTGCAGCTTTCTCTGTTCGTTTATTTTCTGTTCTTCGTTATGAAAGTGTCATCCATGAGTTCGATCCTTATTTCAATTACCGTACTACACAATATTTGACGGAAAAAGGATTTTACGATTTTCTTAATTGGTTTGATGATCGAGCTTGGTATCCACTAGGACGTATTATTGGAGGAACCATTTATCCTGGTCTTATGGTCACATCAACAGCTCTCTACAATTTTTTACATTTTCTCAATATTAATATTGATATTAGAAATGTTTGCGTTTTTCTTGCTCCATTATTCTCAAGTTTCACCACAATAGTTACTTACTTGTTAACTAAAGAGCTTTATAATTCATCTGCGGGTTTAGTTGCTGCAGCTATGATCTCAATTGTGCCCGGTTACATCTCTCGTTCAGTTGCTGGTTCATATGATAATGAAGGAATTGCCATTTTCTGTATGCTCCTTACTTATTATTTTTGGATCAAAGGAGTGAAAACTGGTAAAATTATTTGGTCAGCAATGTGTTCACTTGCTTATTTCTACATGGTATCTTCTTGGGGTGGCTACGTTTTCCTTATCAATCTGATTCCTCTCCACGTATTAACTTTAATGATCACTGGACGATTCAGCCATCGAATCTATGTCGCCTACTCTGTTGTAAGTTAATAATTGTTTTAATTGCATCCTTATCAGTTACTTAGAAACTCCTTTTAACGACATCTATATCAATTTCCTCAGGTTTACAGCTTAGGAACTCTGTTATCAATGCAGATACCATTTGTCGGATTTCAACCTGTACAATCTAGCGAACACATGGCTGCTTTAGGTGTTTTTGGCTTATGTCAACTCTTTGCCTTTAATGAATATCTTAAAGCAAAACTTTCCAAGCCAAACTATGACTTTTTGTTTCGATCTTTGGTCGTAGGATTAGCAGTTTTGGGCTTTTTGACTGGACTTTTCTTGACAATCATTGGAAGTTAGTACATTTCTTGACTTAAAAATTTGAATCAATCTAACTTTACTTTACTTTTTTTAAATAGAAATCTCTCCATGGACTGGACGATTTTATTCCCTTCTGGATCCTTCTTACGCCAAAAACTACATTCCTATTATCGCTTCTGTTTCTGAACATCAGCCTACTTCATGGTCGTCGTTTTACTTTGACTTACAGCTTCTTCTTTTCCTATTTCCTGTCGGTCTTTACACTTGTTTCAAGCAAGTTAATGATGCCAATATATTTATTATTCTTTATGGTTTGACAAGTATTTATTTTGCTGTAAGTAATTATTATTTCATTCGACTTTATTAGTTTTTCATATAATTTTTATATTCAATTCTGCCATTTTACAGGGAGTTATGGTTCGGTTGATGCTTGTCTTGGCTCCAGTTATGTGCATTCTATCTGGTATTGGAATTTCTTCAATGCTTACTCGATATTGTAAACAAATTGATCCTACTCCACCAAATGTGCCAACTGGCGCATCCGGAGCTGCTCATTCAACTATTGGAGCGCACAGTAAAACTTCGTCAACTCAAAAAAGAAAACAACAAAGATTCGAAAATAATTTTTTCATGAAAAATGAAATTGCAACCTTCTTTATTGGGCTATCCGCAGTGCTTTTGTGTATGTATAGCTATCACTGTATTTGGGTAACTAGTGAAGCTTACTCAGCGCCTTCAATTGTCCTCTCTGCCCGAAGTCACGATGGATCACGAATTGTATTCGATGATTTTCGTGAAGCCTACTATTGGTTGCGACAAAATACCCCTGAAGATGCTAAAATAATGTCTTGGTGGGATTATGGTTATCAAATTTCTGCCATGGCTAATCGCACAATCATTGTTGATAATAACACTTGGAATAACACCCACATTTCAAGAGTTGGCCAGGCAATGGCCTCTAGTGAAGATAAAGCTTATGAAATTATGAAAGAATTGGATGTGAATTATGTTTTGGTTATATTTGGTGGTTTAACTGGTTATTCATCTGATGATATTAACAAATTTCTTTGGATGGTAAGAATTGGAGGAAGCACAGACAAAGGAAAACATATTAAAGAATCTGATTATTACACTCCATCAGGAGAGTTTAGAGTTGACAAAGATGGCTCACCAATTTTACTTAATTGCTTAATGTACAAAATGTGTTACTACCGGTTCGGATCAGTTTACACCGAAGGAGGTAAGTTTTTTTTATTAATATTTAACTGGGAGTGAATCTGAGAAATTTGATGCTAACAAATCATTTCAATTTTAAAGGTAAACCACCAGGCTGGGATCGAGTTCGAGGAGCTGAAATAGGTAATAAAGACTTTGAGTTGAAGGTTTTGGAAGAAGCGTATACAACTGAACATTGGCTTGTTCGAATTTACAAAGTTAAAGATTTACCAAACAGAGGATAACGCAACTTGATCGGATTACTTAAATTTTGATACAACCTTTTTTATATTACATCGAACTAAATAGTATTTGAAAATCAAAAGATTATAAATCAATTCAGAACAATTTTTCAACTTAAAATTTGTGTCGCAGCAATCAACATACTACTTTATAAAGGCAAAATATTCTTGACAGTTTTATTGTACGATCTCAAATGCTACTCCAAAGCAGAAAAGTGAAGATCAAGATCAAAGAGCAAGAAATTGTGGTTAAAATTATGATCGTCAATTTGATCCTTCAATAATCGCAAAACTAAAAGATGACAATCACAAAAATTTACTAAAACAATATTTTGTCCTCCCGGTTATTCAACTTAAGTTAACGTCTTGTAAATTAACAATTTATAAATGATAAAAGTCACAACATGACCAACAAACATGTAATTGAAATTTAATTCAAATAAATTATCAAATCTCTTTATTTTAAATGAGAGAAACTTTAAATCGATTGTTACTTTTTTATTCTCACCTGAAGTTTGATCATCGCATTCAAAAAACTCCTATTTGTAAAGATATTACAATGAGAAACTTTGAGAAAAGTATTTCAAAGAAGAAATCTGTTGTTTATCATCAGAATTGAACCAATTTAGCATTCTCAATGAGATTAACACCGAAGAATCAATCATGTATTAGAAACATCAAAATATGCCAAAGACCATCATAATATTTTCATCGATATGTCAAAGTATCGCTTTTAAAATGATACGAAATGAGTGTCGTACTTTTTAAATCTATTTCAGATATTCAAAATTAACCCGATTAAATCAGCTAAGAAAATTTATCTTAACAATCGAAAAGATATTTTGCTCAAGGAAAAATTGAAAATTATGAATTTTTAAGCATTTACCTGACAAAAATTGAATAAAATGTAAATTTAATGTGATTTATATGAAAATGTGTAAGCATACTCTTAGCAGGAAAAATATTTCTGATTATTCTCTTTATCGACAATATTCTTTGCCGTTTCTCAGAATGACAATCATGATATTTGACAATCAAAGATTAGACTACTTCAAGTTAAAGGGAAGGTTAATCAGGTAATCGGTAGACACCAGTGAACCAGTGTTTAGTAATAGATGGTTAGAAAATTATTGGCTATTTTCAATTTAGGTGAGCTTTCACCAAATAAAGATATGAATTATCACGAATCAGATTATGAGGATGGAGATGACGATGGCGATGATGAAGGAGAACATGAAGATTAAATGAAAGCTGAACGGGTAAAAGTAATGGAGTAAAAAAGGGAAAACAATGGAAACAATGAAAAGGCAGGAAAAAAAGATGATGATAAGAATCACTGTGGCAGGGAAAGATCTTTAATCATGGAAACCGTTGAAAGACTGAACTGCCAAATAATCGAAGCCTACATTTTTCTGTGAATAAGAGTAAAAAGGTTGATTGTGATCAAGAAAACAAAAAAAAGGCTAACAACAAAATAAGTTCCAACAGTTATACCATTACAATACAAGTGTCATGTTCAAGATGAAATCACTTTTTGCTACTGACTATAACTCTTGATTGTTGTTGCTCTTTTAATACCTTTAAACTTTACCATCTATTTATCTATTTATTTTAGTTTTGTCGTTACTTCGATTATGGTTTTAGTAAGTCAATGTTATCGTAATTAAATCTTTTATTCCGAGTAGTGGTTGGTGAAGGATATCATTTTTTACTTTAGCCTTTCCATTGTATACATCAAATCACAAGTCTGGTCATCAGATTACAGCGTTTTGTTAGTGTGTTTCGATCTATTGATTAGTGATCAAAGTGAGTGAATGGAAGGCAAGTTAATATTCAATAATTCAGGGTCAAAACCGATTTTATCGCCAAATTGATTATATTCCAAGTCTGATTAACTCTGATTCTTGATTATTTCACATTTTAGTTTGTATCTGTTTGTGTTTCAGCTTATACACTATATATGGTTGATTGTGTGTGTGTGTGTGTTAATGTTGATAAGATTTGAAGATCACTTGACATTACACATATTACAATTGTCTCCAATTACTTTCGATTTCTGTCGAGATTTAATTAGATTCTACTTAATGTTCAATATTAAAGTCATAAAGTAAATGTATTACATGTTTGATGAAATCAAGAAAAGCTCACCTTTAAGCTAAAGATTATTTATCATAAATCGGTAACGTTTATGGCTTTGAATATTGATTTAATTTTTCCACTCAAATTGATAAGATCACAATCAAATTTTACATTTTGTTCCCAAGCTGTTATAAAATTAAACACTTAAATCCATCTTGAAACTTTGATGATTCAGTCTATGAACTGGTTGAATTAACAGCATTTGAATTTAGGTAAAGTGACATTTAATAGATACAGATATGATATCTCGATCAACAGATAGATATCAAATACAAGTTGATAAAGATATTGTCTTTGTTCAATTCTGACCAGCTTTTGAAATAATGTCTTTGTTATTTTGACCTTTTTAATTAACTTATAATTTCCTATTGATTAGATTCCACAATAGTGTTTCCAGTCATTTTATCTACACAATCAATCCTGTGATTAATGGACTGATCAATAAGTTAATCAACTAATCAACTTACCATGTTAGTGTAACAATTTTTCTTTCTTCACCTTCCTTGCTAAACCTACTTTCAACCTCAAATTTACATGATTTTACCTCTTATTTACTGGTTTTTTTTCTTTATCAATGTGTCACTATTTATTTATTTGTCTACTTTTCTTGCCATTTCACCATTTTAACTGCTGTATCGCACCATCAGCTTTATTATCACAAGAAACAAACACGTATCAGGTAATCTGATGTAATCACAAAGCATGCACTGGAAATGTGTTCATATTTTAGCACTTTGATCGATACATGTTGTCATAATCAGTTGATAGGATGTTTCTAATGCATACAATTCACATTATGTGCTGTGTATATTACTTCAACAATCTAAATCACTGCCAAGAAATTAAGATAAAATGATATCAATATAATATATTTTGTTGTGATTCAAGATAAAAACAGTGTTAATTTTGAGATTGACTGATTAATATATTTCCCATTTCGAGGATCTTTTTTTTTGTTACATTTTATCGACAGATACAATCACACGATCATATCATCTTCCTTGATGGTGTCCATGGTTAAATGTTTCAATTGAAAACTGGTATTGTTGAAAATAGGATTACTTAGAAGCGATAAACATTTGGAACATTGGATTCGACTTTAGGAAGCATTTACCTTAAACGTGAAAGATTCAACAATATTGACGAATTAACACGATAGTAAACTTTAATTGTGCCATCTTGAGAGTTCCAGAAATAATCTCGTTAGCCTCTCTAATTAGCAGATAAATCTTGGACTACCAGTGATTAAAGACGGAGAGGAACCACAATCATTGGTATCATCGTGAAGATCAGATTTAATAAACAATTCCAGCAATACCCGGATCTGTCATTTTATGATTGAAAGAAGACAATTTGCCATTTCATTCCGATGAAAATCACTGTGATAGCACTTAAAATCTGATAAACATATCGATGGATTTGATTCACAGAATAATCAAACGTCGTTCTTTTGGCAAAACTTTCCGTTTTCTTGATCTCCATTTTGATCAGTAACTTGATTTTACTTTCACAATCAATCGCTAAGAGTAAGAATCCTAAAAAGCAATCTTAAAAATTATTTTTTTTTAATACGAATCAATCATTTAATCGTTAATGATCGGAATAACTTTAGTGGGACTTAATTCTCTTCCTATCATCTCTTCAATCAGGTTAATTAACTGAACATTTGCGGGTGATATGATAACTATTACAATTGATTATGGAGACAAGGTTTCAATTGATTTAAGGATAAAGCTTGGAAAAATAAATTCCTTGGGAAATAAAAATTACGACTGTAACCAAATAATCTTTTGTTAACCGAAGGAGAAACAAACGGAAAGCAGATAAAAAATTAGAGAAATAATCTAAACCAATCAACTAATTTACTAATTATTCCATTTAATTAAGCCTTAGTTTTGCCTTGCTTGGTTAAACACAGTCTTATGAACATTTTTTTCTTACCTCGATCTTTATCTTGCTCTTTCCACAAACTGATTCGTATATGAACCAGGTAATATCTGATAAACTTTTAATCAAAATTATTAATCAATTTACGGTTTGCATTGAAATGGACTCTAATATTTAAATCAGATAAGGTTAAAAATTCATCAGAGAGTCAAGTTGCTTGAACGAGTTATACAAAAAAATCATAATTAAAATTGAACGACACGGTTGAAAAAATGTTGAAAATATCCTGTAAATATTGTCATTTTGGATTGACCCTGAATAATTAGCAATTAACGCGATTTGGTTATAGTTAAGAGACAAAATTACATTATCGTTGTGCATTTTAACAGTTTATATGCAGATAGATCATGTTACATCTTGAGGGAAAGAAGAGGATGAGAGGTTGAAGTAAATGAGTTAGTAGTGGGAAAATGTGGCCATGCTAACAAGTACAATTTGTTATTTAAATTTGTGAATATTTTACAATCAGAAATGATCTTCATTTTGATCAAAATAATGACAATAACAGTGAGTTGCGACGATTCAAGGCAAAAATAATGAATGATAATGAATAAAGCAAAACAAAAAAAGGATTGTGAGATACAAATGATTCACAAAAGAGAAGTAAAAAGAGAAGAAAAAAAGACAAGATTGAAAATATTGAACAAAACAAAAAAGCATGGTTATGATTAAAATTAGACAACATTCTGTTCCGTTTGTTAATTTTAAGCAACCATCAGAGATTGTAAGTTGTGACCACAATTTGTTAACTACGGTATATATTGTATTGTGTATTTAAGGATGCTGATTATAATGACCAGGTAACAAGATGGACTCAAAGTGAGGTAGGAAAAGACCAAGATGCTAATCATTTATAAATTCATTCATTCCATAAATGAACACTATCCATTTCAGGTGGGATAAATTATGGTCAAGATGATTATCAAGCTTTTTAGTGATGACAAAATTAATTTAGTCCATAACAATCAGTTCACCATTTTTTCAGGATAAATATTGATTCCATTTCTTTGAGCAACAGCAGGAAAAGTGTTATACAGAGTGGGAAGTGCGTAGAGAGTAAACGAAGCGGTCATTTACGCATCTGAAAGGTAGTTTTAAAAGCTAGAAACTTTCTCCCCGCCGTGTGTACTGCAAAGACATTAGTACAATGATTTATACTAATGGTGAGATGTTTATTAGCATTCATTAAGGAATCATTGACGTCTAAGTTGATTGTACATTTTATGCTTAATTAGTTAGGAATTAACAATTGCCAAAACTCTAATCAACACGTTTGAATCGCCCAAGTGATAATATCCTTGGTCGATCATAATCAAATCAATAACCTTGATTATTCGAATTTTTCTCGGTATAATTGCTAATAGTGTGCAGATATTTATAATTGCCATGTTACAATTTTCATCAACACACTGGGATAATGTAATAAGTATCAACATGATTGATACTCTCTGCTTTTGTTGAAATAAAAAACGTTTTGAATGGTAGCGGTCACCATTTGAATCCTTCTTGAATATTTTTCTTGAATTTTGTACCATCGTTTGAATTGAGTTTGAATATCAAATTGTATTCAATCGATTTCAGTGTCCAATTAATAAATCTTGTCTTCGTTTCTTCAATGGCTATCGATGAATTTGTTCTCTTTTGTTACTGTTAAAAATCACACTGAGATGACTTAAAAGGTAGAGATGGTAATTTGCAGAAGATGATGAGATAAAGTTAATTGTCAACACAGTGAGGAAAAGTGTGAGTGATAAATATGAGAGCAAAAAAAGGGTTAACATTTGAGAGGAGAAACAAATTTGTGAATTTTCTCTCTGTTTGCTGTTGGCAATGTTAGAGTTGAGGAAAATGGCGGTGTGAGCCAATGATGAAGATGATGACTAGACTGGTGATTTGCTTTCAGGAAGAGATTGAATAACATTGGTCTCATTTGAATGGGAAGAGCAGTAATATTTTTTATGAGCTATGAATGAAGTTAAAAATTGGAAAGATATGTCACATGAACGGCAATATTTGGGAACCGCTTTTTTGGCCTGGGCTGATGCATTACTATTATTATTAGCACCATTACTATTGCTATTATTGTTTCGTATTAAATTGTTGTTGTTGATTGAACCGTTATTTCCAACATTTTGGTCAACCGGAGAGCCTTCTGAATTATTGGGAGATCCAGTTCGATTAAGTTTACCATTTAAACCATTAGATCGGTTTGATTTTAAATCTAATGGTAAATCGTCATTAATAGAGCCCATGGAATCACCTCCAGTTGCATCTTCATTAATTTCACGTTTACTTAAGCCTGAAAAAGAGGCAGTCGGGGAAGGTCCATTGCGACTAACATCTTTGTGGACAAGCTTCACATGACGAACAACGTTTCCTTTGTAAGTTGATGAGTAATAACAAAATTGACAATTATGCAAAGATTCACCTGATCCACCTTGACGAGAATCTTCTCGACCAGAAGTTTCATTTTCCGAAATGTTGCTTGCTGCTTCATCATCATTTTCACTTGATATCTCAGAATGGCTACTATTTAAATTATTTACATTGTTATTTACGGACAAGTTGACATCATTCGAACTCATTGTTCCAATATTATTGGATCCCAAACTGACAGACAAAACTCCACTAGCCGTTGATGTGGTGGTTGGAGCTGAAGTTGCCAATGAAAATGATGGCATTAGTCCACCAATCAACTGGGATGGTTTCGAGTTTTCACTAACTGAAGATGAAAAACCGTATAAATGAGGAACATTGCTATGAGCGCCAAATACTTCTAAACTTTTACGTCGTCTTTTAGGTCCACTGGGTCCATTTCGATTACTTTTAGCAACCAATGCTTCATCTTCAATGCAAGCAATAAAAGTTTCTTCCGGAAGTCCTTGGATTTTATCTTGGTGAATGCGAACATGGGTTCGCATACCTCGAAGTGTATGACCTTTGTAGCCACAAATTGTACAACGGAAACATTGACTGTGCATACGAACATGGATACGCATCCCTTGCAAAGTTTGACCCTTATAACCACATATTGTACATCGAAAACATTGTTGATCAGTTTCACTTTGACCACTTCCAGCGCTAAAGCAGCGTCCATCATTTCCATTTGTGTTGAAATTTGGACTGGAGGCTGAACCGGTCAATGATTTAGATCCATTTGGAGTTATGTTTGGAATAGATGACGATGAAATGGCACCTAGATTCATAGCTGAACACACATGACTTAGGAATGCTTCTTCGTTGCAGTAAGTTGCTTTACATTTAACACAGCTTACTTCACTTCCAGATCCTCCTGGAATGGATACTATGTACTGAAGTTTGTCGGGTGAAGAGTTAACTGAGTTGCGTTTGAGGCAGTAATAGGTTTGATGGGCTTGAAGATTATCTAAGGAGGTAAAACGTATTCCACAGGCTACACAATAATATTGTGATAGAGGTTGATGAGGTGGTGATGAACCAGGTGAGTTGGAAGAGTTTGATGCATTAGTTTTAGAAGAAACTGAGACTCGACGAGATGATCCACGATGAGAGTTGACATTTGGTAAACGAGAATGACGTTCGGCTTTAACGGAATCTAAAGATATCTCCGGACTACTGTTAGGTGATCCTTCACTTTCAAGCATATCAGGAGAAGACTCACTTCCAGTTCGTGCATTGTTACCAGACCCTGAACGTGAACCTCCAGCAGCGGCCGCGGCCACTGCAGCTGCAACAGCTTGAGTTCGTCGAGCAGAACAATAATGGCGTTTATGGATTGTATAATTTTCTTTCTTATAAAAACCGATATGACAATGTTCACAATGATAGCTTGACTGTTTGAAGACTCCTTCGGGTGCAAAAGGGCTGGGTAAACTTGCTGCAGGAACTGGTAAAGTTGCTCCACCTGATGATGGTGATGCCTGAGCAGCAGCGGCAGCGACAGCAGCAGCTGCTGCAATTACAGATGATGTCGATTGAGGTATATCACGGCTAGATGAGGCTAAGCTGGTAAAATTGGAAGATGAATTGAACAAGTTTAATGGTGCTGGCGATTCTGACTCTTCCATCGTTAGATTGGCTTCAGATTTCACTTTGTACGATGCTAATGTTGTTGCAGATGTTGATAAATTGGAAGAGAACTCATTTTCATGCCGATAATGGTGACGAAATGCTGGTTTTTCTTGATGATGATCACCTGATTGATTTGAACTCAAGTCAAGCGGACCCTCAGTCGATTGAGGTCTTCGAGAGATTTGAGGACAATCAGTATTTATATTATTCAAAATTGTATTTCTAGTGTCGATAATACTTTTACTATCACTTGTATTATTATTGATACTAATAATATTATTATTAGTTAAACTATTAACATTGATTATATTTGTTGAGTCGAAAAGACCATTGATAGGATTATTACGATTGTTATTTCGATGAGCTTCCAGTGAATTACCAAGAAGAGCTGCTCTTTCAAAAGCCAAGGGATCATTCAATTGTGCACTTGAAAGGATGTCTTCAGGTAGCTTTACATTGCCGACAGGATTGTTGATGGACAAATCTAATCCACCAGTTTCAGTGTTATACGATAGAGGGACCAGAATAAGAGGATTAGTTGAAATGGCTACATAGATTGGCTGTTGTTGAGTTTTTTGCTGGCTAGAGGATGAGTTTGATGGGAGAGATGTCGGAGAAACACTGGCCAATGACAGTGGAGGTGGTGGTGGGACTGGCTTTTGAGGTGGCATAATCAACCCAGGTGTTCTTGAATTTAAAATGAGTGAGTTGATGAGCGAGGATTGATTCAAGTCTTTGATAATTTTCTCATCGATGTTAGGTTTTGATATGAGTGAAAGTGTATCTTTCAAAGTTGTAGATGACGATGTTATAGTTGATGCAATATTCCCGGATTCAGTGGTTAATGGTTTAACAAATTGGTCTGATGAAGGTAGAATAGTTGGTGAAGATGAGGAAGTGGTTGTTGGTGATTTTTCTGTAGCAGTTGCTGCCATCATAGAGTCAGTTGTTGATACTTTTCGTTTACGAACTATACAAGATTGCAATGGTTGTTTACTTGATGTTGACGGTAGTGTTGGTGGTGGTTCCATTGTACCATCTGCAACATTTTCTTCAATAGAAGTAGCGTTGTTGACCTGAGAGCAACAAAGTAAACATACAAGTTGTGGTTAAAATCAAAAGTCTAACTCTGATACAACAATACATTCAGATAAGTGAATAATTGAAAAAGAGTGAGCGAGGGAGAAATATGTCAAGAGAGCAAAGTACAACGAAAAAAAACGAGTGATAGAGTAATCGAAAAACCAGAGGAGAGAGAAAGAGAGAGGTGGAGTAAATAAGGGGAGGTAAACTCCTTGAAAAGTTTAGCTAAGCTTGTAAGCTTTAGGAAAAAGTACAGTGAGAAAACTAAGAAAAAAAACGAAAGATAAGTTTGATGGTGATTATAACGGTGATGAGAAGTGGCGATAAAAATCACGAGTTGACTTTTATTCGGTGATGATTACAATGCAGAAATTGGAGATTTAATTTATAATAGACTTTCAAACTACTAATATATTTGTAATGAAAGTTTTTGTTTATCTCTTGATTACTTTGCTAGATAGCGAGATTTAACGATAGTTTTAATCATTTGATTGATTCTCTTGCATTCTATTACAGATTAAGTCGAATCGTAATTTAATGTTACAAATGTATTGTTTGTAAGTCCCTTCAATACCGAGAAGTTAACATGAACCAAAAATTTGTTCTCAACATGGTTTGAAAACAATGAAGAGGTATTAAAAGGTAATAAAAGGTAAAAGACAAACAATAACTTTCATTAATCTTTTAGGTGTAATTAAGTGTAATTAAAAGCATAAGTTTGAGAATAATGTTCGAACACACTTACGTCAACGTTAGATGCGACACAAAGAGAAGGAGAATGAGAGTGTTGAGGTGATGAAGATGCACGAGAATCTTGGGGCATTGATGATGATGTTGATGGAGATGATGGCAATGCGGTTTGTTCATTGGTCAATGGGTCAGTCGAGGTTTGTTCAGTTGACATGTGTGAGGGAGATTGGGGTAACAATAATGTAGGTGGTGGAGGTGATGATGATGATTGCTTGTGTGATTGGGGTGTAATCATTGGAGTTGATTCAAGATTTGCCTCTTGAGAAAAACTTTCTTCCCTGATTGGGCTTAATGGTGTTTGCAGGTGGTGGTTACTACTGTTATTGGGGCTGTCTTCACTGATAATCGCTCTACCAGATTCTTCTTCAATTGAATTTACTATTGTTGTTGGTTGAGGAGATGAAGATCGACTTGACGATGATGAAGTTGTTGATGATGAAGAAGATGAAGAGTTACATTCATCGAGATTCATTTTTTCTCTATCACCTGGTGTACTCGATTCTTGACCGGCTTCAGAGGTTGATTCAATTGCAGAGCCTATCTAAATCCAAATCATATAACGGAAGATGGTTGAAGAAGGAGGAAAAGGGAGAGAAACAAAGAAACAAAAAAAGAGATCGTGTTAACAATTTGTAGCATTTTCCCCACTTTTTTTCGTCACAAGTTTCAAAACAGAATTGAAATAATGTGAAATAATATCAAAATCATAATAATGATAATAAGGCAAAACAGAAGATAAAATTGATCAAGATGATAGTGATACAAGTTGAAAAACTAGCCAAGATGGAAGGGACGATAAAGAAGCAGATAGAAGATAGAAAAGCATGGAAAGAAAGAAAAAGTTGTATAAAATGTAAAAGAGCGGATGATGGTTAATCTTGCATTTTGATGGAATAAGATGATAATGGAGGAAAAGGCAAATGTTGATAACAATCAACTGGATAGATTGTTTGATTAGATAGTAACACAGGAAAAAAAGATGATTGAGAATCAAGTCACAGGGAAAAAATGCAATGAGAGGAAAGAACTAGAAGAGGACGAAGAAGATTGGAACCAAGATGAAAAAAAAGTGAAGATAACATGTGAGTAAGATAGAAAGGAAGATTAAAAGGTTTGATTAGGTTTCAAAGAATAAAGATAAGAGAGTCAAAAAGGTAGACAGAAGAAAAAGACAGTGGATGATAAAGGAGAGAGACATGACTTTTTTGAAGGAAAATTTCTCAACGATTAGAATTGAACTTTTCAATTTCAATTCGCAATTGATTTTAAAGGCAAATCAACCCAAACTGTCCAGCCATCTAGCGATAATTAATATGCAACTCCATAACAATGACATTATCAATAGATAATTATTAATTACTCTAGATGGCGTGATTATTTTTCTTGCAATTTTCCTAAGATTCTTGTTCATTCAATGATTTTGCTTTGATTTTATTGAACAAATTTAGAGATGGGCGATTCTCGATTAACCAGGTAATCGATATTTTTAGCGATTCGCGCAAGGGAATCGATTATATCGATGCTTAATCAAGGTAGGAAAATATTAAATCTTGAAGCATTGAACCAAATTTTCCAAGTTCTAGGCTCTTCTTTACATCAATAAAGTACAAATTAATCTTTTGCATTGCACTGAAATCACTGGAAGAGCCAATTATTTTAATTCTGAGTTGCTAAAATTATGCCAATTTCGCTTTTATTTTTTTCTGCAAACATGGAATCGCAAAATTTGTAAATTTTTAGCTCATATGAAGTTTATCGATTCTCGCAAGAACTAATCGATGCTCATTTTCTGAAAAAGAATCGATCCGTATCGATATAATCGAGGTAATCGCCCATCTCTAAACAAATTTCAATTTTAATATCAACTTTACATCATTTATACCAAAAAATGAACGATTGATGATAAAAACTGATTAAATTTTTCTTGATTTTAATCAGTCTTCTGCTAACTTATCTGGACAAAGAATCTTTGTTAACCTCTTTTCAATCTGAATCTGTTCAATGCTGTTTTCTGGTTGGTTAACTTGCTTCTTCAATTTCAACTGGATTCCCATTTTTGTTATTAATTATTAATCTATTAGTCATCTAACTTTTGTTCGATTTGGATTATCTTTCCAAGCAACTTGCAATCATTTAAATGATTAACGGATCAGACGATCTGTAAAAGTTTATCTTTCGGAATTCATTTGGTGTGTTTATTTTTTTTTGCTGTAACCTAATGGAAGAAGGCTGTGAAAATGGTTAATCTTGTTTGACTAAAAAAATGTTCAAAAATGATTTCATTTTTTGATTAATGTCTCATGTAAACTGATTTGTTTCATCGTTTGATCAAAAGAATTTATCAATCAATCGACTGTCCATGTGATTACTTTTGTCTCTAATGCTTTCCACAGTCTGGTTTTGACGTTGATTGTGCTACTTAATGATGTGTATAAATATATATTTATTTGTGGATCAATAATGCCGATTATTTAATCGGCATCAGCTATAATCACAAGATAGATATCAGAAGACAGACATCATGTGCTAGTCAACAATTCAAAAAGGCTTAGCTTTAAAACAATCTTCTGTTAAATCTGCTAATTACTAACGGTTTTTCATCAATCCTTTTCCACAACATATTTTAACCCTTTAATCATAGTCTCTTTCCCTTTTCAGATGTCATTTTAAGCCACTTTGAGCGCCACGGTTTCTGTTAATTTCTAGAAACAAAAGTAACCGCCATTAAGTCATCGGTTCAAGAAGACAATGTCTCTCCATTTTTGTTTTATTTTAAATTTTGCTGTTTTTTTTGTTTCAAGTTTTCTGATTCAGTAGATAATCTTTGAACATCAGTGAAATCAATTAATTATACCTGCTTTTAGTCTCTTAGATACACAGAGTGATTAAAGAGTGATCACACCCATCAGCCAAATCGAAATATCATGATGATTGATCAATGCTACTGATAATTTTTCCCTTTTTTCATGTTATCCCCATTTGAATCTTAAATTAACAATTATCATTAATATTATCTACATCATAATAAAAATCATCACCATCATCATCATTATAATCATCAAGTTAACCAGTTTGTGAGTTGGAACGCAGAAAGAGGCTAGAAGATTGAATTTTGTGATAGTGATTACATGTGAATCTAAACAGATCTTCAATATTCACTACAAGAGTCTTTTACTGTTGATTATTATTTTGCCAAATCAAACAATCACAATGACATTCAATTTTATCTCCATTTTATCATTACTCTGGAATTCTTCGAGTTGAATTTTCAATTATTGGTTACTGATATTTTTATCATTCTTAATCCAGGATTAATAATCCAGATGCATAAATGGATTTTAACCAAACCTTGAATCAATCTCGACATGAACAAGTGCATTCGGGAAAAATTTCACGGTAAAAGTCATCTAATCTGGTACTTTAGAGAGCAGCCTTACAATTTATCTTCGTAGACACTAACTACACCTTTTTACACCCACCAAGCCCAACATGACCATCACCATGGATTGGGAACATTAAAGTTTTAAATAGTTAATCTTTTGAGATTTACTCAGATTAAAACACTTTATCTGGACATTCAACATTTATTTTTTCATGGAAAAGTGACAAATTTCAACTTTCACTACACACATTCGTACTTTTTTAAAGCAACATCCAAACCTGATTAAAGTTAAACATCATAATTAAGAGAAGTGAAATCATCAGCTCGGTACAATGGATTTGTTTTGACTTGGACGACCCATTTTCATGGCAGTAATTTATTTCAACCTTCAGTGTATTAAAAATGTTATCTAATTGAGTTGACTCAATATATCATTGTAAATCTTTATCAAGATTTTACGTGCACAGGCTTAAGAAAGTAAGAATCAGATAAAACGAGTCTAAATGTATTACAATTAATAAATAATGGTTTTGTCGTTAGGAGAAAGTTAATTTATCGCTGTATTGAATGGGTTAACTGAAATCAAATCATATTTTCGTTTTCACACGCATTCAATGCAACAAAGTTGAAGCTAAAATACATATTTACTCCAAGAACTGCCTCAAGGAGTATCAGTATTTGAAACTGATTTGTTGATTAATTAGAATGGAAACTCACTTTGATAACAATTTGAAAGGTCACAAAATGATGAGATGTATAATTTCAACTAGTTTATGCGATATATTGGCAATATCTTATCATTGGATCGATCAAATGAAAATGGTAATCATTTCCATCTCCCAAGTTTTATTAAAATTGGCGATTTTTAAATGTCAATAATTATCAACCATGAAAATCCAAGAAGACAAACATTAATAAGATTTTTTTTTCTTTCCCCTAAACAGGTGATTTGCAAGTAATTGATTATTATTCATTGATAAGCTGTGATTGGTCTACGCTTAAGGTCAATTTAATGAATTTTCAATGGAGATTGCCGTAAAAATGGTACAAATTGGTCTATTAATGTTCATCACTTGCAGTGAAGTTTGAATTATTGCTGGTCAAGACAGATATTATTAATACACTTGGCAAACTTTATCAAGACGAGAAAAATGGTCAAAAGTGATAATACAAGGATATGGATATTATTGTGATTGCAATCAACATATTTTTATTGGTCTAATTGAGCACTTGGTTGTTCTTTGCCAATCATAACCTGGAATCCAAGCAAAAAGAACCGTAACTTTAATTTCATTTTTTCATCGTACAAAATGTTTCCTCAGAGAGTCACACACAAGATTTCAAATGAGAAATTGAATAATCTCCTTTTATTATTCAATTGCTAGAAAATCTAACATTTTCAGCTGTAACATCATTATTATCAATGTTAGTGAGCGAATGAGTTTCTCTTTTTCAACCATTTATTGACTTTCAAACTGTAGATTATTACAAAACCATGTTCAATTGATAAAAATCAAACATTAACATGAAGACAATCATCAACAAGCAAAAAGTAGAATATAAAAAGCTAACATTGACATTATACCGAGAATATAATAAGTATATGAAAACCAAGTCATATAAGCAGATCAATTTGGACCCAAATTTAAATCCTATCACAGGGACATCAACAGCTGATAAAATCTCCTGCAACTCTATTGTTAAACTTTTTTGGCAATAGCTTTTCAAGTTATCTATCTTTTACCTCTCACTCTTTCTCATAGTAAGAGAGTGCTTATCATCTCTCTTCTTTCCTGTCTTTCATTTTATCTATTCTGACTTTTACTTTCTTTTTTTGTATTGTAATATAGTGACAAACGGCTTGGTTAATATGATGATATCTATCGATGATGATGATGCTGTTCTTAACCTGACAGAAACTCGCAATGAAGATAGTAAAAAAAGATCAACAAAAGATGCCTTTATTTTGGCTTTTGCCACACACACAAACACATCAACAGTAACATCAACAATGGACTTAATCACTGTGATCAAAACGATTGGTCCGGAAATAGTGTTGTCACATGATAGGGGCAACTTTGATCAAGTTAAATGATTAGCGAGGTAAAAACTGATTTCTTGACTCTTTTTAATGAAGAGAAAGATGATGATGGTGATGATGATGATGCTGAGAAGAGCAAGATAACTGACAGATCAACATACACATGTAATATATACATGAAACAGAAGATGGGAATAAAGGAAAACAGATAAACATCATTTGATCCATTCTTATTCACTATTTGGGTTATGAGAAAGAAAGTGAATTGTCCATCAATGTAAAAATGGATACAAAGATGTAACTATTGATGATAGTTTTTGATGGTGATCATTGTGATTGCAGATAAGCAAAGTTAAATTGTATACAACAGTACAAAGTGTTGAATTTTATTGCAATTTAAAATTGACTTTATATTGCAACTTTTTTCACCATTCAACTATCAAAAAAGTTTTACGATTCTTTGAAGCTTTTTGGTCATCAGATTGCATGAGACATCATTGATCATAATATTGACCGATATCATGGAAATCTTTTTTTCCAAAAGGACGATAATTATTTTGATAACATAAATTGCATTCCTTAATTATTAACCTTTCTCAATATGGTTACAGATTAATTGGCTTGATTAGCAATTACTATTTGTTTACAATTGGTGTTGACAATGATACTCCCAACACAATACAAAACAAATTGTTCAAATTTCAACCTAATAGCTGACTAACATTTAAATCAACTTGTATAATTATACTGATGATAAACTAGATAAATTGTCAAGGTTAACAGATAGACTGATTGATACTCATTGTTTACAAAATATAAAGAAACAACAATCAACCAACAATCAACAATAAACAATGAGCAGAATACAGTTGCATGTAAAGAATGATATTAGTCAACAATTTGGTTTGCTTTTGTTGCTTGTCTTTCAAGTAATCTTTTTGAAAACTCAGTTTGAATTAATTTTGCTTTTCATTTACAACAGGACTGATCAATGGATATTAATCAAAATGATATTGGATTTGCAAAGATGATCGACAAAGCAAAGTGGTCAAGTTGGTGAACACAAAAATGGATATCAAATTGGAAACCAAATCAACATTGAATGGACATTAAACGAACTTTAAACCAACATCAAATCGAAACATTAAACCAAATTTAATCATCATTATCACACTAACGATGATATTAAAAGTTTAACCCACGACTATTTAAGGTAACTTTCAAGGATTTCACTTGGTTTTTATCACTCCCAAGAAGACGAAAAGTCATTCTCAATATTGTCACGTTACTTCTCTGAATTCTGCCTCAGGAAATGTTGCTAATCAGATTATGTATCTTTTTTGCTATTGATGCTGCCTCTGCTGTTATTGATAACGGATTTTGCCTTCACTTTTCATCAGATTGTGGTTGACTTTACCATTATTTGATATTTTTATTTAAAGAATTTGTTTTATCATTTTAACTTAACCTTTATCAACTCATAATATACAAGCTATTTCAGGCTAAAGCTGAGAATCATTTCAGTTATTAGTAAATCTAAATATACACAGATAGGTTGACGGTCTTTTTTTTCGGTCAAGAAAAATAGTTTCATGATAAGATTGTACATTTATTATTCCTTTCTCTGCATCATCTTTACCATTTTCTCCAACGATAATAGTTAATGTTGATTGTGAATTGATAAAACTATTCTGATATAATTTAATTTTTAATTTCTCACAAAATGAAGTAAAACCTTAATGATAATAATGTTAATGAGCTTTGATTATCATGATTATCATGATTATCATGACGAAGGTACCATATATGATGTATATATTTATAGTTTCCTCCATTATTGGTCCATCACAATCAACATCAATTATCATGGTTAATATATTATTGACTGTTTACCTTGAAATGATCATCAATACGATAATCTTTATCCTGTTTTACTTTCAAACTGTAGTCTAATTTTCCAACCATTACAATTTGAATGTTGCCTAGCAAAAAGTCAATTCATCTAAATTATTGTAATTTTTTAAACTTTCAACTAAACTCTTGATATTTTTTGTTTGTTTCAGGATTACCATCATTTAATCAAGCAAATGGATACAAGAGGATCTTCATTTGATGGTGCAGCAAAAAAAAGATTCACTGGTTTATAAAGAGGTTAAGGAAATGGAAAGGAAAATGAGCAATATAAAAATCATGATAATAATTATTAGCATGGTGATGACAAACTTCAGATGTAGATGAAGGTGTAGATGATGATGCAGCCATGAAGCACCGAAAGAAGGAGAAAGAGGAACAAAATTGATCATAACGATGTTAATGTTACGATAATAATGATAATGATGGTGGAGGTGATGATGGTTTGAGGTATCTAAAGAGGCCCAGAAATGTTAATATGTTGTTTTATAACTTAATGCAAAGAGGTACAATTAATCAACAATCAACTGTTCATGGTGTGAACATGCTTTTTCAACGGTGCATTTTTCGAGATGTTTGACTGAATAATGTCCAGTTAACTTGAATCTTCCAGTCTAATCATCATCAAGTGAAGAGTTAAAATCACAGATAAACTCTCAACCATTCAGTTTCCTTGCGATGATTATTTAGAGACGACGACAACGATCATTATTATGGTTAAAGTGAAAGAATGGGAGAGAAAAAAATCATCAAAAGATGATGAAACTGATATGGTTAAGCTTAATGAAGGGTTTCCCTTTCCTCTTCTAACCAGAAGGAAAAATGAGTTGAAGAATAAGAAGAAATGGTAAAAGCATTATCAATTTCATTCCAAAGGGAAACTGAAGTATATATAACCTGACAAACCATGAAATCGATTCACCCGAAGAACACAGTTTAATCAAAGATAAATATCCACAAAACTTTGAATCATTGACAACGGAAGGAGACGAAAGATGATGACAAGAGAGTCACCGAGGAAAAAGACGAAAGCTAAAGATATCAAGCGAAAATGACACAAAAAGCTAAACATTTAGTTATCATATTTAATAACAGTTTTGTTTGAGGGGAAAGAGACACGGAGTGAGAAGAGAATCAAGTGAACAAGTTGATGATTATGATAAATCAATTTAGCCTGAAGTGAAAAAAAAGTAAGAATTCAAGAAGTGAGAATGGAAACATTTTCATGATCAAAATGATGTTGATGATGATGATGATGGAACGTAAATTGTGTTAAAGATAACAATATTCACTACTTTGTAGTGGTTTTACAGTACAACATCTTTTTTAGGGTAAAGTTGAAACTTTTTTTTTCTTCCTTTTTTTCACTGAATTTCTGTTAATTGTTTTTCTTTTATCTTCTTTTGTACATTTTTTTTCTTTCTCAGTGTCACCATCAAATGGTTATGCAAACAATGGTTGTGTGTTGGAATTACATTTAATGATGTAAATGTAAAAAAGCGTTTTTTGTCGAAGGGAAACAACAAAGTTGATTATGTTTTTGTCATTATCATTTGGACTATTTCTAATAACTGTTTGGGACCAAGGAGGTGAAAATGATAGATTTTTGGCAATTATTGAATCGAGGAAAGGCGCAACATTTTGATTCATTCATCAAAGATCACCAGGATAAGGAGAAGAAAAAGTTCAACTAAATCTTCTAGATTGTACATCATTTTTCGTCAACAAATCAGTTTGATCAAAGTTAAAGATGTATTTATTTATTGTATTTTAGTTTTTTTTGTTGAGAATTCGAAATCGATTCCTAGATCGAAATCTTTTTTTCTATTAACTTTTTCTTCTTCTTTTTCTTTGATCGATACTCTTTTTTTCAACTGATTTTGATTTCTTTTCTTTTTCTTCTTCTTACAGATCAATCTGACAGGTTAACATTTAATTCAGTTTAAATGCAAGAAACATTGGAAACATGATTAACCGGATACAATTATAATTTTACATTTCATTGGATTCAATTGGTTATCCTTGCTGATCAATTTTACCTGTGCAATCATATCATGGATTTATATTAATTTATGTGCATTCATCAGTTGATTCATTTGGAAGAAGGAAGTTTTCCAATTGAAAATGATCAATCAATTTCATCTGTAATGAGCATTTAATTGATAATTGTGTGTTATCTAAATTAATTTTCATCACTTAATGATAGTGTAAAAAAGTAATTCATGCTGATTATCATCAACTTTTTATGCAAATTAATCATTAATGGTCACTTCTTTGTCCACAAACAACGACACAATGTAACATTACAAAGATTCTAATGAGTGGTGATTAAAAAGAAGGAAAGTTAATTGATTGTAAGAATCAAGGTAAAGGCAATGATTAGGATATAATTTACAAGACAAAATAATGCAAAACATTGATACATTGATACATTAATTTACCATCAATTTTTATGGTTTTCATTGATTGACTTCATCAATGGATTATCAAATGAATGATGATCACGTTAAACAATCGAGGGATTGTAAAGAAACCAAATCGACAAGAAGCAAATTGTAATTATTTGTCTAAATTAGCTAATTGTTTGATTCATCATTATACAAAAAAGATTGAGTTGTTCAAAGTGAATCAAAATTCAATGACAATAAACAAACCCAAAAAAGACTTGAATCTATTGTAAGAAATGTAACAATGAAAATCAAGATTTAATGCCATTGATTTGATTGAATCATTTTAGGTTTACTAATCATATTGTTACCAAAATAACCAGATCGATAATCAAATGATCTTTGATCATAAAAATACTGCAGATTAACTTGCAATGATATTGTAATCTAATCAGATGGTAAACACTGAATCGATATTCAAAGGTTGACAGTTTGACTCGCAATTAAACACAATCATGACCATCACAGATGAAAAATATTTGTTTTTTTCACTCACATTTTATCTTCACAGTTGATAATTGTTTTCATATTTTTAATATTTATCATTATTATGATTCTAATTATCCTAACTCGTTTCCTTTTCACTCTATTTTCATTATCTTTCAACCTTTGTTTCAATTTTGAATGAATCAAATGCAAAAAGTGGAAAATATTTTACCAAAGTTATCTCAATATCAATCAGGCAATTTTTTACCAAATAATCTGAAGATACAGCAAAAAAAGATGAATACACAAAGAGTAGATGACGAGAGAGTGAAGATAATAATCATGAAAGATCATTTTGAAAATTAGCTTTGAATTTACTATGTAAGGTTAAGCTTTCACATGGTTTATCTAATTCATTCATCTAATCGTAATCATCGAGCTTGAAGATGAAATTTTACGATAAAAGTCACTCATTTTCATCCTACAGATCCAGAGTCACTTACAACTCTTCCCATCATCAATTTTAATCTATTTAACTAGAGAGCAAAAATAAACTCCAAGTAAATGGACAATTTAACTGATTAAAAAGTGACAATTGGTTTAAAATTTTAGGAAAACATGAAAAATTATTTCCATTTTTTAGCAAAATAAATTTTCCATTAGCAAAATGTCTTCAAAATCAAACATTAATTGTTTCAAATTATCATTGGTTAATCATCATCATCATGGAATTAACCAGTTTCATTAATTATAATATATCATGGTTTAGATATAAATACATAGAATCATTATTTAGAAGATGAAAATGATAAAGTGTTCAGTTGTTCAATTTATCAACAAACAATTGTTTGCCTTATGAACACACATTACATGGTAAAGTATTTTGTTGTAGAATACAAAAAAAAATGAATAATCGCAATAATCTGAAAAATGCTTGACCAGACAGTCAATTAGCCTTTCTGTATTTACCATAGAGAAGGGCTGATGAACTTACCTCTGAACTTTTCTCGGGTGTGTCTCAATTAAATCAAAATTAATCTCTTTCACTATCACCAGCCATCATAATAATCATCATCATAACCATCTCCTTCCATGCTATCATTGTTTTTTATCATTGTCATCAGTTTGCTATCAAACCAGCGTAACCATTTTCGTAAACCTGATTTCTGGTTTTATGCTGATTCCTTATCTTCACATGAACAACAAGATTTTCATCTCTTTCACTCTGGAATCTTTCCATTTCACCTTTCTTTACTCTCTTTACTTATCAATCAACAATCTATCATCTTTCGCCTTCTTCCGACTCATATCGATGGTTGCAATCTAAAGTAACTATGAAAATATTGCGAACACATTTTTCTCATCATCATTTTGCTTATTATCTGATCATCTCTTCAGACCTGATTTCCATGAAAATCTTACTCTCACAGGTCTAAGAGGTGGACACAAAAGGTTGAAAAATTATCAAAGGTGAAAATGTTTCTTCTAAATAATCATTGAGACAAAAACATTAAGTTTAACCATTTTTGACTATTCACAATATTAAACATTTACATCTAAATGATTGGAAAAAAATGTTTTATCATTTATATCATCACTGGTTCAATCATCTTTATTGTCTTCAACAATTTGATGTGCAAAATTTATGCTATAGATAGGAATGATGAATGACTTTAGATATTGGGTTAGTTTATTAGGTTTTTGGTCATCATCAAAATGATAATGATAATGATGGTCAAAATGTCTCAAAATCAAGATGATTGTGATCAAGAAACTATATTTTGCTTTTCAATATCTTGATTTACGACAAAATTCAACATCGTAAAGTTAAATCCTAACATTGCTTCAAGCCAAACAAGGCCAAAGATGATCACAAAAAATGATATTTTTTATAATTTATAATAATGATAATATGAAAATAAACGCAAAATACACTTATAATAATGGAGTCAAGTTAAGGCGAGAAAACATTTTTATCCTGGAAAGAAAGTTTCATGAAACCAGAATAAACGAATCAACATTTTTCACAAATCGAAACCTTTGTTTACTTGCACCAACTATCAACATTTATCAGCAGATTATTTAAATGGAAAGTTCAGAGAGAACCAAGATTAAGTTATCTTTTCTTGAGAATTTTTCTTGTAGATTTTTTTTCTTCTTCTTCAGTTTATCACTTTACTTTTCCATCAACTGTTGTTAGTTTCTTATACTTCCGCTATTAAGTCATAAATCTGCAGATAACATGATAATATGAAGCAAGAGAAAAAAATTTAACTTTACTTTTTTTCACTTGAAAAGTAAAAGTTGATAAGAGTGACAAAAAGCGGCAAAAACGGATTACCAATGAATTTGAAACCTTTTATGATTTGTTCAAGTAATGATGATGATAATGTTCAAGTTTAGTTTTTTGGCCATTTCATGATTACAATCAAGGTTGACCCTTGATCAGATTGTATATTGGAAACAGATTAAACTGAGTTTCTATGGAAACCTTCTGGGAGTGAAAAGGATAACATTTGATTGAAGGTGAAAATTGATTAAATAATTAAAGTTTCTAGAAGTGTTTCAACTTTTGTCCGTCTCATTGGTTTGCTCAAGAATGATGATGACAAGTGAACGTGATTCAATTTCAATATAATGGACAATATGATAAATCATGAAATGTCTTAAATCATCTGGATATCCAAAGTGTATCCATTAATAACGTTTAACATTTGACGATATTTACGCACGAATTAAATTCAAGATTAAAGTTGATTAAAATGAATAAAAAAAGTGAACCATAAGGTGAAGATTGTATTTACATTATTGACAATCAAGTGGTTTACAGGAAATGTAATGTCATTTTCAAAGGCAAACGTGCAAACAAGACAACAATAATGTAATGTGTAATAGTGATAAATATAAATATTATATAATATTGTAAACATAGAGTGTCTGAGAGAGAGAGAGGGAAAGTTCATCAGAATTACTCAGAAGCAATGAAATGAAGATAACAAGTGGAAGAAGAAAAGCAAGAAAAAAGGTAAACATTGTTAACGTAACAATGTTAACAGCATCAGCTGTTAACCATTATCATTGATAATGAATCGGTTTGAGACGTTGATGGGTTGATGAGTTGATGATCTGCAAGAAAGTAATCAACGGACATGATGATCATGTTTAACTTGTCAATTGTCGCTGATGAAAAGAGGAAAAGTGCAAGAAGCAAGAAAAAGAATCTTGTTGATGATCATTTTTTGATCATTTTGATTATCCTCATCATTATCATCACCTTTTCTTCCAGGCAATTCATTCATTTTGCAAACTTATCCCCGGACTTTTCGTCTTTACTCCGGATGCTATTTTGCCCAAGGAGGTTTATGGGTTAGCATAGAGACAGAGGTCGACTAAGATGATGATGATCGTGAAAATGATAGCGAATGATGAGGATGAAGGGAACAAGAAGAAAATGTGAAAAGAAATCGATCAACAGTAAATAGACTTAACAAGAGTATTCAAGCTTTTTATATAGGCACTGTTTAAATATGAATGGTGTTGTTATGAAGGATGAGGTTCATGGTAAGATGATGATGCTGATGGTTTTTGTTGCTCCATTTGAATCATCTTCAATTGCTTCTTTGCAGCTTCTCTCAAACCTTTTCAAGTATTTTCATTCCTTTCATATGTTTTGACATAACTTGTTGTCAATGATAATAATGTTCAAGATTAACGCAAATCTATTGATTGGACCATTTGCAATCATTATAAACGAATTGCTTTCAATTGTTCAAATTAGATCATGATTCATGAACTTTTCATCTTTCATCAAGTTCATCAAGATTATTTCAATTAGTTTTAGTGAGCTTAATCTTTAATAGTTTGGTGACAATTTTAAATCACCAAAATCGCCTAAATGTTTCCATATTGAGTTTAATGTGTTTATTAAAACACATTAAGATGTTGATACTTTTAGCTTTGCGTGGTAGAGTCACAAAACTGTCATCAATTTAATTCATTTACACATTAAGTGTGATTTTTAATTCAATCATTCAAATGGTTAATCATTTAAACCCACAAACTTTTTGTCCAAAGATTGCCATGAAAATGAGTGATTTATTTGGTAAATTTTCATCAACATTCAACAATTTAATTAACAATTAGATTCACTTTTTTTCTGGGTTCAGTCAAATGACAGTTGACAGTTAAGGTAATCATGATTAAAAACTTGAAACAATATAAGTGTCAAATAGCATTAGCTGGTTGTGAAAAGACAACATCATTATAACCTTTTACACTTGATGTTACTTTTTTTGTAA